TCCATGTTCTCCAGAGATGCAAGTTCCGATGAATACGATTGGCTGCTCTAAGCTCTGAAGCACTCTGATTGGAGATCTCTGCTCTCCTCTTGGACCAGTCAGAGTCGGGACAAGCAAAGGAAAGCAGCAAATACGTCCATCAGGTAAACCACACAGAATAACCGGGGAACTGACTAAAGCGGCGTCCACTCCAAATAAAAGCCTGAAGAGATGGGGCTCAAGATGAGGATGCAAGTCAGATTGATGAGTTTTGACTGACGTAGAGCCCTCAGGATGGATGCAGGTCAGCACTGGAGGTGAGCTCACACTTGTTTCTTTGTCTGCTACGTTTAAACAACAAGTCGTTACAGTTGTGATCTGGATATGTGCAAGTTTACAAAAGGGTTTGGATCCAGGCTCTTCATAGAGATTAAAACTCCAGACAGACTTGTCAAGACTAAGAGTCACAAGGATCTTTTTGACTATGGTGAATGCCTGCAGACCTGCATTTTTGAGGACAAGTGAATCATCTGATACAACATGTAGCATAGGCTCAGGACTTTTGTTCACAGGGGAAGAACTATGAGAAGAAAAGAAGAAATAAAAGGTCAAAATCAAAGATTCTACATTTTAGTGACTTTACAGTTGGATATATAATAATCAAAAGACCCAATAAAATCACTTGATAACTTTAGTCTCAAAGTCAAGTGCTCTTTTGGCCTTTCTACCTGGATTTTGCCGACCCAAATTCAAAAGCTTCCTAAATACACATGCAGAGGTGTAAATGTAAAAGTTTGGTATAATTTTAAAGAAAAAAATTACATTTTCGTAAAACACTGTTGAAAGTGATTAAAATAGTTGTACATGCTGTTTGTGTTAAAATAAATTCCTCCAAAAAAAAAGAAGGCTTTTTTTCAAATTTGAAAGTGTACCTTTTAGGTTCTGTGTGGTCTAAGTTGCTGTAATTAATTTAGTTGGTTCCTGCACATGTCAGTAATCATAGGAAAAAACTAAATTTATCTGTCGTAATTTATGCAAAAGATATTCTATTCCAACTGATGAGAAAACGAAACCACTTATGGGGGTATTGGGCCAGTACGGACCTTTAAAATTTAAAGCATGCAGAAGTAAATTATGTCATGGGCCTGGTATGCAAAGTTTATTGTACCTTATTTGTTTCTTTTATTATTGTTTATGTAAAGCACTTTGAATTGCCATTGTGTATGAAATGTGCTATATAAATAAACTTGCCTTGCCTTGCCTTATTTTTGTGTGTTCAATAATGTATTTAGTTTATTCACCCTCAGACAAATTAAGATGCAAGTGGCTTTTTTACTTCCAATGATCACTGAAGAAAATGTTTGGCTGAAACTCTGCTCTTTGGTGAATCGTGTGACTACCAGGACTTTGAGAGAAAACAAACATACAAAACAAAATACATTATTATGCATGGCTTTGGATGGTATATTTAGGTTTTATGAAGCAAAATAATTTACCTGTGAAAGAAACTGAACACAACACACTGTTGCAGCTAAAAAAATGAAAATTCATCAACATATTCAATTGAAAAATTTACAACAAATTAACTTTTTGGGGTGAATTATCTCTTTAATTGAAAGTGACAAAGCATATAAATATATTATATGCTTTGAATGTCACATTAAATGTATGATAACATGTAACAATATTTTATATTTTAGGGGGTACATCTGAAATCATGTAATGCTAAACACAGAACTTCATGTATAACTTAAATTATGATCTACAGTTGAAGTCAGAATTATTAGCCCCCTTTGAATTGTTTTCTTCTTTTTAAAATATTTTCCAAATGATGTTTAACAGAGTAAGGGAATTTTCACAGTATGTCTGATAATATTTTTTTCTTCTGGAGAAAGTTTTATTTGTTTTATTTTAGCTAGAATAAAAGCAGTTTGTAATTTTTTAAACACCATTTTAAGGTCAAAATTACTAGCCCCTTCAAGCTATACTTTTTCTGGATAGTCTACAGAACAAACCATTGTTATACAATAACTTGCCTAATTACCCTAACCTACCTAGCTAACCTAATTAACCTAGTTAAGCCTTTAAATGTCACTTTAAGCTGTATAAAAGTGTCTTGAAAAATATCTAGTCAAACATTATTTACTGTCATCATGGCAAAGATAAAATAAATAATAAATCAGTTTTGAATGAGTTATTAAAACTATTATAATTAGAAATGTGTTGAAGAAATCTTCTCTCCATTAAACAGAAATTGGGGAAAAAATAAACAAGTGCTCTAACTATTCAGGGGGGCTAATAATTCTGACTTTAACTGTATATAGGGGTTGCACGGTCCAGCAAGAAGGTCGCTGGTTCAAGCCTCGGCTGGGTCAGTTGGCATTTCTGTGTGGAGTTTGCATGTTCTCCCCGTGTTCTTATGGATTTCCTCCTGGTGCTCCGGTTTCCCCCACAAGTTCAAAGACATTTCTTATAGGTAAATTGGGTAAGCTACATTGTCTGTAGTATATGTGTGTCAATGAATGAATAAATGAATGATTATGCATAGCAGATGATGACAGATGTTTGATATCTCTGCTGATTTGACTTTTGCACAAATTACATACAGGACCACTTTGGTTTTATCTGCAGCACTGACTGTAAAATGCTTCCACAGAACTTGAGCAAGTATATATATATATATATATATACTTTAATTGTTAATCAATATCTTTTTACCTGACTGGACAAAATCTGTGCCGTCAGGGTTGTTTTCCAATAAATGTTGTCAAATATTTTGTTATTAAAGCATAAGGAATAATGGAAGATATTACCTGAGCTGTTGTGGTAGAGGGATACAGTAAAGCCCACCGTTCTTGCAGAGTGCATAAAGTCGATGTTTATCATCACTTAAATCCAGAAAAGTCACCGAGTCTTCAAATTGAATCACGGTCTAAAAACAACATACATGGTGTGAGCCTGCGGCAAAGTATATCACAGAAGTATAACACAAAATTGACAACAGCAGACATTCACTTGCCTTGACTTTTCTGTCCTGCACACTGAATATAAGCACATCTCGGTGTCCGCTGGTCAAGAAAAGATTCGTGTCCTCCCGAATGAAGCGAACTGAGTCTGACTGACAGTCACTGAACTCTGATAAAAACTCAACACTGCACCGAGCCGCGGCCATTATTGTGCCTGTTGTACATTCTTTTCAGAGTTTATTGAAACTTAAAAGACGCTTCTGCTCGTAGACTAATAGCTATCAGATTTAGCCGCATGTTTGTGACTGTAACTAACTGTTTCGTGTACCCGCCATAGACTCTACAGTGACCAATGAGGGTCAAGGCTCTTCCTCTTCTGCCTGTCAGTTTTAGTGCACTGCCATCTTTCGGTGAACTGCGGAGAAGCGATTTCAAAACCAAAGTAAAAGTAAGCGATGTCCAAAGTAAAGGTAATCAAAACATCACTGAAATATCAGTGCCGCTGTACGTTTGTGTTGTATTTTTTATAAAAATTGTTATCAAAAGTAACAATGTACTCTTGACAGTTTTCAAATCGAGACTGTATGATATTAAACACGCGATTGAACCGCTCTAAATTAGTTAACTAATTTATAATGGCATTTTTTATTTATTTGTGGTGTTATTGTTGATGTAATTATTAACGTAATATTTTTGTTTCATATTTTTAATGGAAAGCATCGTGACTTTTTGAACAGAATAGAAACGCAGTAGGGGTTCAATCTTCAACTGGCTGGCAGGAACCGCCAGTGGCGGGTCACGTGACCTGCCACTGGCTGGTGGCAGCCGCCAGTGTCCAACTGTCGGGTAGCATGACCTGCCAGTGGCAGCCGCATTTTACCCGGCAGTTGACAACTGGCAGCCAGAGCCAGGTTGGAAGACATTAACAACTGGCTAGTGGGTCAGGTGTCCTACCAGGGGCTGCTTGGTAGCAGGGAACGTCTACCCAAGCAGCTCAGTTTCACAGTGCTTAAGCCCTCTGAGTGTGGCGTCTAATTAGCACTCTCTTTCTGGGGAATCAAATTATTAATTTATGAAATGTATAGTCTTCATGGTATTCTGGTTTACATACCTTATATTTGCAGCAAAAATATTCCAAACAAGGTTTTCAAATGACCCTTTAACAGACTGGTGGGATATTGACGCTAATCAACTTGTAGTCACCAGCCAGTTGGCTCAGATTCAATTCAGTGAATGATTCACAAACAGTTCTTTCACATCCTGAATTGTTTGGAACAGCTTTCCTTTCACTCATAACTGAAATACGGAGCACATTATTATACGGAAAACAAGGAGAATGCTCCAGGGTAACATTTTTATTAATTTCAACTAAACCTTCAAATACATTTTTAACGTATGCGACGACGAAGGTGCTCAATAGTGTGGCCATAGCGACTTTCTCAAAACAAAATTTAGCGTAGTTGAATAGTAGGTAAAAGCGAAACTAGTACAGAAAGTAAAAAGAAATTAAATGTTAGCAGATGTCAAGCTCAACCACACACACACACACACACACACATATATATATATATATATATATATATATATATATATATATATATATATATATATATATATATATATATATATATATATATATAATTGATTGAATCAGCCAGACTGTGCGTGGGGGTGCGTACTGGGTCTTGTTCAACGACGTCTTGCATTCCTTTACAACTCACGCCCCTCCTTTTCAATGCTTTGACCATAATCATAATGTTTTTGAGAACTACAAAATGTAGTATAATATAGTAAAATATGTGAGCCTATATATTTTCCACTCACCATATAATTCAAATAAAAGACCATGCAGTATATCAGAGCACCATCAAATTTCAAGAGTGTGATATGATGTATATGTTAGATTGTGAATCTTGCATTTCTCCAAAAAAAAAGAAAGAAAAAAAAGAAAGAAAAAATGTAGTGTAATCATTTGCTTTAAAAATTCAATTTCAACGCTGTAAAGATTAAACGTGTAGGCTAAATAAATGTAAAGCTAATGTATGGCTGAACTTTAAGCTTCCTGATGTGATCGGGTTTGCGTCCTCTACAGTTCATATTCCGGTGCAGCTGCTCGTCTTACAACTTCAAGTGTTGTTGTTGTGGATCAACGATTAACTTTTGGGAACTTTGGGACCACAGTTGCACTCGGCTCCGCTTAAAAGTCGTGAACTCGTAATTTAGTTGATTGCAGTTAATTCGGGGCTGCTTTGTTTTTAGTGCTTCTGCATTTTTAGCGTATAATGCGCCTGCATGTGTTTGGAAACGTGTTTTTGTTTGTTTGATTGCAGTCGCATCGAGTTTCTGAATTAAAAAGCTGCGCTCAGATTCTTCAAAGTTTACTTCAATCAGAAAGGCGAAGCTGAAAGAAAGATGTCTTCTAAGATTCTTCTGACTAATCTACGAACATCTGCGAGCTTCTGCAAAACCCTGAAGTTTCCGCAGAGACCCTGGACTCCTTTCATTGCTTCCCAACAGAGCTGGTAAGAACTATAAAACATGCATATTTTATGATTTGTCTGACGGAAGCTGTCAGACACGAGGCAGACTGCTTTATTTAGATCTGCTTTTGGCATTGTGTCTCCATATTCCTAGAATCTCGAAAATAACTCAGACTTCCGATGGACTGCATAAAATCAGTTGCTGACTAGTGATTATGTAATGATTTTAACCATTTAACTGACATTGCAAAGCAGATGAATGGGTTTCTGTAGTGAGAAGATTAACAGTTTCATCCGCTAAAAAAACAAAACAAAACTGGTTAAATGTTGTCAGATGGTCTCCCAGACTTGTGGCAACTATTATGGTTAGTGGTTGAGTTTGTCGCCCAGCACCGCCTGTTTTGAATGCCTCCCTTATCCAACACTCACTTGTCCATTTTTTTTCAAAAACAGACACACATCTATATATATTGATGGACTGAACATGACTGAATGATTTTTCTTTGATTATATAATGATCATACAGGTATAATGCCTTCATTTCAATATTTGGATGTACTATTTGTGTAACGTTACTACGTTTTTCTTCTGTTGCTAATATCATTAGAATATCAAGTAAAGATAATGCTCCATGAAAATATTTAGTAAATTGTCAACTGCAAATATGTCAAAACTAATTTTTTTATTAGTAATATGCTTGCCAAGCACTTAATTTGGAAAACTTTAAAGGCATTTTTTTCATATATTTAGTTTTTTATATCAATATAAATAATCTAAATAAATATAATAATATTTATAAACCCTCTAGATATTAAAAGAGTACTAACATATATATATATATATATATATATATATATATATATATATATATATATATATTTATCAATTAAAACATTGTTTATTGAGGTTTCAGGCTTGTGACTGATTTTGTCCTGTGGTACAAGTACTAATAAATATACTAAGTCAGAAATATACTGTATATACTAAGTCAACATACATATTTAAATATGAAACTAAAACTGCCATCAGGGAGCTGATTATGTCTTAAGTTATTAATTCATAAAACGTACATTGTTCCAAACCTGTAATACCTTCTCTGCTGATTACAAACAATAACTCCTTTATGAGTCTAATAGCAGAGTCACAGTTTTCAAAAAATAGTTAAATTAGTTTAGTTGTGTTTTTTGTATTTTATTTTCCATTAAATGTATATCTGCATCTCGTATAGACACACACTCTCCTTCTTGCCCCCCTTCCAGTGCCATTCATGTGGATAATCCACCCAGCATCCCAACCCTGACTACAAGCTATGTCCATGGCCTCTCTTCCCATCCACTGCAGTCCAGTACTGTGGACCAGTGTCTTCAAGCTACAGTTGAGCGTTACCCAGACCGTGAAGCCATGGTTTTTGTGCAGGATGGAATACGCAAGACCTTTGCTGAGTTTTACCAAGACGTGAGTATTTCTGCTTCTGGCTTTTCTAGAGTATACTGGTTGGAGAACTGACGCTCCTCAGTCATGGGAAAGAGGAAAACCACATTGTCAAAAGGGCAGTGTGTGGAATAAGGTATCTTGACCAAATCCTAAAATAATATCATTAAAAAAAGTACACATTCCTAAGCAGTTTTTTTATTAATCAGAGCTAAAAATGCCTTTACCACAGATTCCATGTGAAACATGGAGTTAAAATAGATAAACTATGTTGCCATTTGTGTTCAACAGGCCTATTTGTTTGTGTAGGATAGAGTGTTCTTTATACAGGTCAAAGATTAGAAGACCCATTTTGGTGTGTGCATCAAATAAAATGTCCAAAGTGAATTTATATAGAAAGTTATAGTAAAGTGTATCATGTTTTATACAATGCTTTTGAAGAAAATTCTAATGTGGGTAAGATAACTTTCTCTCACTATTCAGCTTTAGAGATCTATTTAAATATCACTGTAACATGTAATGTAAATATAACAGTGTAGTTATTCTGATCTGAGGGCTGTTGCACAAAATGATTTGAACAAACTCTGGGTTGCAGGTTGACATAACCAAACAACTCCTACCTGGTTAAGTTTGGGTGGTTTCACAACACTCAAAATAAACATAAGTCTAGATTTAACACTAAGTGTAAAATGGTTTAATGTGGATGCTGGGAGGTGCTATATGCTGTTCTGATCGATCCAGTTTGTTTTGTGATCTTTAACCAAATCAAACGATCAAAAGCAACACAAGTTATGGACCCTGACAACTCTGAGTTTGCTCAAACTAAACACAAATATACCTGCAAAAAACTCATATTGGCGCTATGCGAGAGGCCTTTGTACTTCTTAAAAATAAATAAATAAATAAATAAATATGTACTTCTTTTAAATCTTAAATCTATATACTCATACTAAATCTATTAATTTTAAATGATTACAAAATGGGTAAAACCTGGTTTGAAAGTTAATAGCAAAGTGGAAAGATTTAAAATGACATTTAATTAACATTTTGGGGATGCACCCTGATCTTTAAATGGCTGGTTGGCATTTTAGTGGATGTCCAAGTTATGATAATAGTGTAGGATTATGTTTTTTGTGTGCAGAAAACACATTCTAATGTACAGGGAGGGGGGAAATTAAGTTGTAATGCATATTTATAAACTACTTCTCATCTTTGACCTACAGTATATACTGTAGTTTCGTGAACCGCAACCAAGAGTGTCAGTCACTGAGTGGATATAAAACCTTTTCTGGGATTATCCTGCAATAATTTTGACCTTTCTTACTCATTAAATCATTGTCAGGATAACACTGAAGGCAAGATTTTGTTGTAATTGCCTGAAATGAACAACCTGGCACAGATAGGTGTTTCACGTGTGGTTGCTCTTTGGGTTAAAGTGTATCAATGTTGCAAGAAGTTAAATATTTACAGAGGAGCAATAATGCATTGCATAGCATAAAAAAGGTTAAAACAAACCAGTGTCATTAGTCTCAATACAAGTTTTCAGTGCGGATACTCCAGTTTTTTATAGTGCAGTGTGTTTCATTTTATTTTTTTGGAGTCTACAAGAACACATTAGCGTTTTACCTCAGCACAAATGTGCATATTTTAAACCAGAAAGATTATTTCTGTTCTTGACAGAAATATAACAGTTCCCATCAAAACTCCCAATGTTTAAGTGTTGGAAAATATGTACATCATGCTACTTTCCAAGGGGAAAAAATTGTTGTGGGGTTGTGAAACAGATTAACAGATACTTTTACCCAAATGAGCAACAACGATGTATTTAATATTTGTAATTGGATTAGTTTACATGGGAAAAGTGAAGAAAAACTATTCTCTTATAATACATAAGTAAATGAACTATGCGTATCATTCTAAAAAAATAAAGTAAATCATCTGATCACTTTCATCTACGAGTTTAGAGATATTAACTGTAATCTCTGCAACCGCGTCCGACAGTGGGTTTGTGGTTGAGCTTGGCTTAGCACCATCGGGTCATGTGTAAGCCTCTTCATGGCTGGTAAACTGTGTTTTTTACGTGGCATATTTTCTGATTGCCTCAGAAAGTAGTCATCTATGCTCACAATGTAGAACTCTAACTCTGAGCATGTAAAAATGTAACCTGCTGAGAGCTTTGCAATGAAATCTGACAATGTGACACTACACAGAGCCTTTTTTTAAGCTGCCATCTTGAAACCTGCCCATTTAAACAGTTTCAAGTTACAACGGGTTTGCTCACTTTTTTTTTTAAGTTGTCAGATTTTCACTCTTAAGGTAAAGTAGCTAATGACTTTTTGCAGTGTTTGTACAAAAAGTGGTGATTTTATCAAATGCAAATCTGCAAGAGTGGGTGTCTTAGATTAACCATAAACTTGGAAAATATGATGTGCTAATGTTAAGCAATTGTAATGTCTTTCAGTGTAAAAAATGTGGTATATATTTTGATTTCAGGTGGAAAAGGCTGCTGCGGGTCTGCTGGCGGCTGGGCTGAAGCGGGGAGATCGATTAGGGATGTGGGGACCAAATATCTATGAATGGGTACTGATGCAGTTTGCCACAGCTAAAGCAGGGATCATTTTGGTGAGCGTTTTTCACCGTTTTGACTTTGGTTTATCAATAATATTGAATTAGCCTGCTAAAGTGGATTGTGATTGAACAGGTTGCGGTGAACCCGGCTTATCAATTGCAAGAGGTAGAATTTGCTCTCAGAAAGGTAAGTTAATGTTTATACATGCACATAAGAACAACAAACTATCAATGTTCTGGACTGTTTTTGACTTTTTTGGCTTTATTTGCAGTAGATTAAAAACTAGGTCAGATTTATATAGAAGCCTGCGTTTGAGTTTTAAGGTCTGAAATGAAGTGACTGTGAATTAAAAATTAAGAAATTGAGGTAAACTTATGAGAATTAAAGTAATAGTTCACCCAAAATTGAAAATGCTCTCATTATTAACCCAAATTTTTCACAAACCTGTTGAGCACAAAAACAAATGTTGGAAAAATGCTGGTAACCTGTAATCAATGACCTCCATAGTGTTTGTTTTGTTCTTCTATGGAAGGAAACGGTTACAAGTTTCTAACATTTTTCAGAAAATCTTCTTTTGTGTTCAGCAGAAAAAAGAAACTCACAAAAGGTAAGTAAAGTTTCATTTTTGGGTGAACTATCCCTTTAAGATTGCATCATTGAAATACATGGTTGGACTGTGGGAAATAAAGTGTCCACTGTGAAAAATGAAAGGGATAGTTCATCCAGTAATGAATATTTTGTCCTAATTTAACTCTTGTGTACTGTTCTACTTTACAACACTTTCGTTATGTTTGTGGCTGTTTTTACCCCATTGACTTCTATTATAATGACATTTTAGATTGCAAAGTCATGACAGCATATAATTGTGCATTTTTGATTGTTGAAGGTTTTCCTTGTTGAGAAGAGGTCAAATGTGTTATTTTATTATTTATCATCAGTTGGCAGCATTAACCATCCAGATAGGCCTGTGCAAAAAAGTTTCTGTCTTTTATATGGAACTCTATTGACAAAAACAGCAGATTATAGTGTGTGTGTGTGTGTATGTGTGTGCATAAATACACTTACTATGTTTACTAAGTCCTGAGAGCTGAGCTACTTATTTTGATTTTCTCATACATATTAAGATAAGTGCGTAAATGTCTCGCTCTTTCACATGCACACACACACACACACACACTATTTTCCATATATAAAGCAGAAACTGCACTTTTTTTGCATTGCAACAGATAATCAACCGTAAAAATCAAACATGTTACCTCTTCCCAACAAGGAAAACCAGAAACAATTAAGAATGCATGATTATATGGTGTCATCATGGCTTCGCTATTAAAGATGTCATTTTAATGGAAGACAATGGGGTAAAAACAGCCACGAACATAATGAAAGGGTAGTAAATTTGCCCAGAGTATTGTTACATTTTTAAAAATTGAGAGTTTTCAAAATAAGGGTTGTCATCAAAAATCATTCTATTGGCTAAAACACAGTGAACGTTTTGGCCAAATTGAGACTCAAAATCACCCCAGAGTGGATAAAATAATCCCTAGCACACAAAGCTTCATACCATCCATACCATCCAAAGAATATTTTTAGCTGAAAACTTGGTCATTTTTGTCTTTAAGACTTTATAAAATGCAAGTCAGTGGGAGTTAAACATACAAAACAAAATGAAAATAGTAGATAAAACGTATTCATGTTCAGCTTTTTTGTAACTGTTTGTTTGGCTAAATAATACCTTTTTATAACATCTAAGAGCCCTGTACCTAATCGACCAACCTGAACGTCTTTACAATAGGCTGAACATTACCTTTTATCCATTCCATTGCCAGACAGTTCAAAGTGCATTCATTACAGTCTGAAACACAAGTTTTGAGTGTACTTTAAAAAAAAAAACCTTAAGTGCTGGATGTCATTGACTTGCATTTTATAAATCACCAAAGACAACATTCTCAGCTAAAAAAAAAAAAATTCTTTAATATTCTATTGAAGAAACAACTAGCTTCATGTTTCATTTTTTTTAATTGAGCTATTTTTTTCAAGTTATGTTTGTAAGACAGTCACAATATATACAGATGTAAAGTCACATAAAGTCCCAAATTTATTTAAATGAAGTCACTATTTAGATATGTACAATCATACTGTGAGATTTTAAGTCATAATTATGAGAAATAAGAGTGTAGTTGGCTTCATTTATACTCAAATAGTCACATTTTTTCAAATAGACAACCTTTGTGCACTATTAATGGCTGAATGCTTCTTTTAGGTGCAGTGCAATGCAGTTGTCTGCCCAACTAAATTCAAATCCCAGCATTACTGTGACATGTTAAAGCAGCTTTGTCCAGAGATGGAGACTGCTTCACCTGGAGGAATTAAGAGTTCAAGGTACCAGTGATATAATAAGACAGATATACATAATCAATATTAAGGACTAGAGGATGATTGAGCTGCCATTTTGTTGTTTTTGTTTTCTTATCAGACTTCCAGACTTGCATACTGTGATCGTGACTGACAGTCAGCAGCCAGGATCTTTCCTTTTGAAAGATCTGATGCAGGCAGGAAGCAGCCAACACTATCAACAACTTCAAGACCTACAGAAGAAACTTGTTTGCGATGATCCCATAAACATTCAGTTTACTTCGGTACTTATTCCGGGCTTATTTGTTTTATTTGTACAAAGCTAAGTGTGTCATTACTGTTCCACTTTCACCATTATTATATTACAATGTTTAGTTTTAGCAGTTTAACATTCAGACATCCTTTTTGAATGGCAGTTGAGTGAAAATTCACTCCATTGGTTGAGGTAATGTTGTTGCTTTTGAGTGGACAAACAGAACATTTTTGTCCAAAGTTTTGAGTGATAACATTGAAAGTTTTTTTAGAGATATTACTTAAAAATGTTAGCTCTGAAGACAAAGTTTTAAATAAACAACACATTTCAGCTTTATATCTGGTTGTACAGTCTATTAAAAAAAGGACAGTTCACGCAAAAATGAAAATTTGCTCACTTTCAAGTGTTGCCAGACTTGTCTCTTTATTCAGTTGAACACAAGAAGATATTATGAAGAGTGCTGCAACCAGAACCATTGGCGTCCATAGTAGTAAAACTGAAAATATTATGCAATCCAGTGATTTCCAGTTTCAAACATTCCTCAAAATATCTCCTTTTGTGTTCAACTGAAAAAAGAGACATATTTAATGGTGAGGTGGGCTTGTATGATGTAAATGTAAAATATTTGACAGATTTGATTTTTAGTGAACTGTCCCTTTAAAATACCACAAGTGGAACACTCTAAAGGTATTGTAACTGTGTTGTATTTTTATGATTCTTAGGGAACTACTGGAAAGCCCAAAGGAGCCACTCTATCTCATCACAACATCGTGAACAATGCTTATTTCACTGGCATGCGCATTGGCTACAACTGGAGGGTGGGTGCTTGTGACCAACAAACAATGATAATACAGTGAAAGCAGTGCTTGTTTCTATAAAATGGTCTTTTATCTAGGGGAGTCTGAGAAAGCTGATTTTTACATGATGCCATTATCTCTAGTCTAAGAAGACAAAATGCAGGATATTACTGTCCACAGAGGGTGTAATATAGCTGTTTGTGAATCAGAACAGTAAATGTAATTGTTCACCAAAATTAAATGTAATTATTGTTCACTAAAAGAAAGTACAGCTTTGATTTGGGAATTGCCTGAAACAAGTCATCTGTAATTTCAGTCATACTTTCTGCACAAATCTGTTTAGTTTCGTAACAAATTTGCTTAATTCCAGCCTTTCCATGAACATCTACTTGACCTGCTTTCAAACAATATACTTGTATCTAAGGCTAATCTAGAACTGACACAGACCAGATAGTTATGTTGTGTTGTTGGCATATCAAGAAGATGCTTTCAGTGATGATCTCATGAACATTTCATGTATTTAAGGATATTTTATTTATTTATTTTTACTCTGACTCTGCCAATTCAGTCAGACAATCACAACCGACTTGTTCATTTGACTAATCAAGCAGGCCAAAAAAAGCTCTTAGAGAACTGGATTCTTTAATAAATAATTGTTTAGACATTTCAAGAAAACAGCTGAGACTATTATGAGGAAATTAAAATGTTTCTTATTAAGTCTTATTAAATCTTTATTTTTAGTATGTTTAATATGTATGTAACTATAATACGTTTGCAACTTCACTGTCTTTACAGAAAAATGTGAGGATATGCTTGCCGGTGCCCCTGTATCACTGTTTTGGCTCAGTGGGTGGTGGTGTAATCATGGCTTTGTATGGCACCACAGTGATTTTTCCATCAACCGGTTATGATGGACGTGCCAACCTTCGGGCAATAGAGAAAGAGAAGTAAGCTATTATGAAAGTATGTGTATATAAAAATATACACACACACACACACACACACACACACACACACACACACACACACACACACACAAAACTAATTAGTTTAGAAATTAAGTTGTGTAATAAAAATGATACGGGGAAAAGTATGGAACACGTGAAGAAAGGGTGGTGTAAAAAGGCAAGGAAAGTCCAGACAGCAGCTGAAATCTCTCACTAGTTAGAAAGCAACCCTTGTCAGATACCAGTGTAAATTAATACTACACCTACATTACCAGGATAATTAAGATTAAACCTGTTTGTGTTTTTACCAAAATCTGGGTCAATTTAATGTTAACAGCTCTATAAATATATTTACCAGGAAAAATCATGGGGTGATTCACTGTGCGCGTGTTCGCGTGTGCTTGTGTGTGTGTGTGTATGTGTCTGTGTGTGTATATATATATATATATATATATATATATATATATATATATATATATATATATATATATATATATATATATATATATATATATATATATATATATATATATATATAATATTTTTTTTTTTATTTATTTACTTTTTCTTTTTTTATATTTAATGAATTTGTGAGTTTACAACTGTCACACATTTGTCCTTTGCCATAGGCAAGGCAAGGCAAGGCAAGTTTATTTATATAGCACATTTCATACACAGTGGCAATTCAAAGTGCTTTACATAAACAGGAATAAAAAAGACAAGTTTAGGAAAATAAAATGCAGACAATAAAAATTATTAAAAACAGATAAAAACAAATTAAAATGAGTTAAAATAGGTTATAAAAGAATGAAAAAGAAAACGAAAAACATAATAGTGCGATCTGTCGGACGCAGCACAGTGCTCATTCAGTAAAGGCACAGCTAAACAGATGTGTTTTCAGTCTTGATTTGAATGTGCCTAATGTTGGAGCACATCTGATCATTTCTGGAAGCTGATTCCAGCAGCAAGGGGCATAGTGGCTGAAGGCAGATTCACCCTGCTTAGACTGAACTCTTGGAACTTCTAGTTTATATGATCCTAAAGATCTGAGTGATCTGTTAGGTTTGTATTCAGTGAGCATATCTGTAATGTATTGAGGTCCTTGGCCATTTAGTGATTTATAGACCAGTAAAAATACTTTAAAATCTATTCTGAATGTAACTGGCAGCCAGTGTAGAGACCTGAGGACAGGTGTGATGTGCTCTGATTTCCTGGTCCTGGTCAGAATTCTGGCTGCAGCATTCTGGATGAGCTGCAAGTGTCTGACTGTCTTTTTGGGAAGGCCAGTGAGGAGTCCATTACAGTAATCCACCCTGCTACTGATAAAAGCATGAACAAGTTTCTCTAAATCTTCACTAGAAACAAAGCATCTGATTCTTGCTATGTTTAGACAATAATGATAAATCTTGGTACTTTGTTCCACGTCTATCGGACATACTGTACTGTACTGAATATATATTGTCATAACTAAATTACAAGGAACATAAAGAAGACAGCAGTGTATAATTTAGGTAATGTTTAAATGTCATATATGACATGCATAAACGAAGTGTATACAATTGAATACAATTCATTTAATACCATTGACACAAACTGTTTAACCAGGTGTACATTTGTCTACGGTACCCCCACTATGTATATCGACATGCTCGGACAGCCAGACCTGGCCAAGTTTGATTTGTCATCAGTTCGGGGTGGTGAGTCAATAAAATGTTTTTATAAAATCTAAAGTGTTGCTAAATGAAAGTTATCAATTAACTTATACACATTTGTCAAGGAGTACATTGTGCACTTCCATCAGTATTTTGCTAAGATGTAATTTTGTGTACTGTCAGGTATTGCGGCTGGATCTCCTTGTCCTCCTGAGGTCATGCGTAAAATCCTAAATGTCATGGGTATTAAGGAAATGGTGGTAAGTAGTTATTTATAATAAAAAAATGATTTCAAATTCTCTGATAATGATTGTCCAAATCACTAGAGGGAGACAGAGGTTTCCACATTACTGGTTTAGCAGCAGTTTTGGCAATATTTTCTGTTATGAATTGAACGAGCTCAGATCCACTCAGTTTATGGAACTTTTATTCTAGCTTTCATAAACGCATTCATTCTCTTCTGATAAAATCAGTGTGTTTAGTTGACTTGCCATGCATCTTACATTCCATACATCAAAATTAAGTGATTTAAAAGACAAATTTGATTAAAATACACTTTAAACAGTAATATTGAATGTTTATAATAGCAGTTTTCTAGTTTAAGTAGTTTTAACGTTGATTTTATTCAGAAATTAAGTTTGTGCTCATGAGACATTTCTAATGATTATCAGTTAAAATGCTGTTTAATAAAGTTGTTCGAACTAATATATATATATATATATATATATATATATATATATATATATATATATATATATATATATATATTGTATGATTCATAAAAACAAACATTTATTAGAAACGCATATTTTTAAATATCTTTTGATCAATTAAATGCATCTTTGATGAATAAATGAATTAACCTATTTTCAAAATCTCCAAACTTCTGAACGTTAGTTTATGTACAACCATTGTTTGTTTTCAAAAGTATTGTTAAAGGAATAGTTCAGCAAAAAATTTAACTGTAGGTGTTTAGGTGTTTTTGGAATATACATCTTTCTTACATACAATCAGGCTGTCAAGCTATAGAAAGAACCAAACACTACCTTTTTAAAAATAAATGTGCTTTATTGTGATTGATAGTTGCATATTGAAACTTCGACATTCACAAAACCTTTTAAATTGCATAAAAGGTTCTTTATAGTTGAAACAGGTTCTCTAGATTATTCAAACTTCACACTAAGAAGCTAAATATTATCATTTTTTGCACAAACTATACCTTTAAAAACAGGGTATGGGGAAAGTAACAAAATCTGAACAAATATCCAGTTGTACTGATGTTTTGTTCCAACTTGTTAGTGGATGCAGTGTTCTCATTCTCTTAAAAAAGCATTACTACTGGTGTTTTATATGTGTTTTATTAAGCATAAAATCATTGTAATCACAAATTAATAACAGTAGACTGGAGAACATCCATTTGTCTTTGTAATTTTACCTGCTCTTTGTAAATCCTCTTCTTCTGTGGCAATTGCATCATCCTTCACATCTATTTTAAATACAGCAATTCCTATAAACATAATGTGCTTTTGATAATGACTGGCTGCATATTGTACCTCTGTAGAGTGTTTACATTGCATTATACATGGACATATGGAGTCCATGCTTTTTTTCCTGGCCTATGTTGCATATGACTTAGGTCAGAGATGTAAGGAAAGAGGTCAGGTCGGGTCACATCTTGAATATGTGTCAGTTTTAGTCACGGTCAGGTTAGGTTTATGTTTACAAAGGCAGAAAAATTCCTTGCAAGAAGTCATGATGAGACATGTAAAGCCAAGGATGAAATGCTCTGTTGTGCTTATATATGGTTGTCTCATTTTAAGTGTTTTAATAATCGGAGTTTAAAATGAAATCAGTCGAATATATCAAGTTCAGTCTGAATGTCCAGTCTGTTCAATCTAATAACAGTCTGCTAAAACATATTTAGATGTTTTGTGCATCATATTACATTTACAGTATATGCTGAAAAATACAATTCTGATTTCATGTGAATTTAAAAGTAGAAGTGTATATAATTAAATTGAAATGCTTTGTCATGGAGTTAAACATTGTTTCAAAATCGACTTCAAACATTTGGTCAGGGTCAATTAAACAAATCTGTTGCTAAATAAAACAATACAAATTAATTCCATCATTTCTCGTAAGTCAACTTTTTCTGCTTTGTAGGAACTAGTCCTGTCCTAATGTTAGATTTGTCACCAGGATATTTATACATATCATTGCATATTTAGAGTTTGAGGCATATTTTCTTTGCGGTGTACACAGTTGCTCCTTCTGGGTGTTTCATTAATGCCTGCGAAAACATATGTATGCTATTCACGTTATATACTATAAACTGAGTCAGCGCATCTATATGTCACACAAAAAAAAGAGTGAAAGAGGAAATAGACAGTCCCAATGTTGAAGGCAGCATTTCTTTCCCTTTTCTACACATTGAAGTCTTGACACCTGGACAGGCTTCTTATTCTTCTCCCTGTCCTCCTGAGGGAACACACAAATATAGAGTGCCAAGTTCAGTTTTGGACTTCTGATGTTCTGGACATGAAGCCAAAAATGGAAAAGTACAAACAAACTAAAGGACAAAGAGATCAGCAGAAACATGAAGGATAGGTTGGAAAAAGCACAAGAGACAGTATTTTACCACAAGGCAGTTGGCCAAACCCATATCCTGACCATGATTATAGTATTACCATTCGCGCTTTCATGTTGGAAGAGGTAGAAACACTTACGGTTTGCATTAGCCTCTCAATTCTCTGTGCAAATATGCAGAAGTTACGGGAAGTGAGCATTTTTCGGATGAATTGTTTATTAAATTGCATTATCATGTAGAATTTAGAAATACTTGTTATTAGTGACCCTAATGGCCATTTAGTGAACTGCAAACTAACTTATTTCTTGTACTTCCCCTCATATAACACAAATGAGATGTTTAAAAGCTACAAGTTGGAAATGCCTTTGCAGAAATATGCCAGTAACAATCATCATTCACTCTGCTGAGAGTGACGTTTAGATGGGAGAATGTGTTGCATGCTTTTCTCTAACAAAATAAACACACACTAGAAATGACAGCAGAAAGAAAACAACAGTTAAGGAAGCATCCTATACTAAAATCTGATCATCTGATTAAAATTATAATCAGAGTTGAGGAAAGTTACTATTGAAAGAAATCCATCACAATATTGAGTTACTCTCCAAAAAAGTAGCTAGTTGCATTACTTAGTTACTTTTTATGCTAAGTAATCCATTATGGTACTTTTGTGCTACTTTTTCTTACCTGGTTGAAGCTTGACCTCTTTCAGAACTTGTAGTTTTGTTTTGTTTTTTTCCAAACACTGATTATAATGGTATGTTTTAATTTGATCCTAAAGTATAACTGATGAATAATAGAGTATAATAGACGCAGAACAATTTATACAATACAATACAATTTAAAGATATAAGTAAAAAAAGTGTAAACAGAAATTGGTGTAAAATAAACTTTTTAAACAAAAGAGTTGACAATAACACCAACTGTGTCTTATTTCAGAGGTCTAAATCTAAGGCTCTTTTAAACGCAGCCTCTGCATCCTTCGTTTCCCAGGTAATGAAGGACACAAACGATGGATCCTCCGCGGCCTCAAACGTCCCAACATTCATTGCGTGCTGATAATGCCAGGACGTTTTTAAAAGAAAACTCCGGTTTAAATGTATAAATTGGGTTTATTTTCTTAGATATCTAAACACATAAAAAAAGAGCATGACATGTCTTACTAAAGAGTGATTTTATAGTCAGTTTGCGTTTTTCTATGGACATGTATGGATCAAAGGAAATACATTTCCAGCTTCTGTATATCTTGTTTTGCCTTCAGATCACCTTAAATAAGTTTTAAAATCACTTTGAAAAAAAGTCATTACAAATTTTATCAGCGCTTATTAACAGCAGCTGTTACGGTGGCCTAGTGACAAGATCTGTCCTCAGTAGGCTACATCGTCTTGTTTCAAAATGCTCAGTTTAGCCTGTGTGGACTTCCAAGGACTCAGCCTCTGAAGTGAGACACAGCTACTTTCCACCATTTTGAGCTTTAGCTTTAGCAAAGATGCTAACCTCAGATGAGGTACCACATGGCATATATAAAACAGAATTGAATGTATTTTCATCTTATTATTGCTTTTAAAGCATGAAATGAGAGATTCAGTTAAATATTACAAGAACTGAGTTTACATATATATATAATGACAAATTAATTAAAATTACAAATAATGAATCTACTATTGTATCCTAAATAGTTTGCACACAGCTGAAATCTTTTAAAGTGAGTTACAGACTTTTCTCTATCAGTGCTTTGAAGAATGTTATGCCTCTATAATGTATGAAGCAGTGTTGACCAGAATGCAAGGACAGACACAAAAAATTTATTAATACTGATAGTAATAAATACAAATAATATACAAAATATAGACATTTTATGCAATTATCTTAGTAAATAAACTAAAGAGATAAAAATTTGGCGTAATTATATCATGGTAATTGAAGCTGAATGTATGATTCAGAAGGCTTTAAGTTAATGTTTTCAAGACAAAATGTCTACTAATACACATACAAGCATGATTTTTTGGTCATTAATAGAATTTGCATTATGATTCAAAGCTGCTTTATTTAAGTTAAAGTACTAAGTTTTATTAAATATAAAGTAAGGTTTATTAAGATGTCGAATGTACCTCTAAGTACTGTTGCTGATCCCATCCTCAGTGGTCTCTCAGGGTTTTTGGTAGCACTTGAGTAGGGAATCTCAAGAGTGTCTCGGGATGAAAGAGTCTTTCATAAGGATCACGGAAGAGCAGTGCATGATGTCTTGCTCCATTCACCACAGAGAGCCCTTGAGACTACTTATTTACCGTTTTTTTCTTCTTAATTTATTTATTTTTGCAAATCATGTGGAAAGAAACTAGTTGTCATATTGAGGCCTGTGATTAATGTCTCGGTTTTTTGATTTTAGCTGCAGCCTCAATCCTGTGGTCTCATTTATAAGACTTCTGTTGACCACATAAACCATGTTTGGGTTTGGATATTAGCCCTCAGGTTTGGGTGTGGGTCTAAAACCTGCAGGACTTTGTTCGGGTCTGGATTATGGTTTTATAGTTTTGAATAAACCGGTCTGGGACATTGCGTTCAGTAAACAGTTAATAGATCATCATTTTATAGTTTGACTTCTGGTTTCTGTCCTAAACAGTGATTTTAGTCCCTGCACTCTTTTTTTTATTGTTTTTTTTAAAGAGCAGTTTAGCGGGTTATAGACCTGGATGTGAATATCCTCTGGTATGATTGGCAAACAGTTTAGTATATTTGCAAATTGTAAATTCTTTGCTTCTACAATTAGATGCCAATGTGAATATTGACCAAATTAATCAGCAACTGTTACTGTTTCAGTTTGGGAAGGTCATTTTTGAGAAAATGCTTCTGACAGTAAAGTAGAGAAGGACACAGATATAGTCTCTTTTTTGCAGAAATCTTATTTTGAATGATATCTTCATGAAATTTGAAATATTCCTGAGGCATTTGGCTTTCAAGGCATATTTTTCTTGGTCATTACATGAATGTTTTCCTGTGTTTGTATATGGAAAAACAAACCTTTAACACAATACATTTTTTTGTCATTACTTCATATTGTATAGCTTTTAATATTTTTGGGAATGAAACTCCAGATGGACCATAGTAAAGCTCAAAGTGTCTTCTTTCTAATGATACCTAATTTATGCTTGTAACTCACTGGGGTCAAGAACTGTTACTATTTAAATTTGGGTACTTGTAGGTGTAAATCTCTAAAAGTGCATGCTGGCTAAGGACAGCTGTGTGGACACGTAAACATCTGCATGTGGTTTGACAACCTACATCTTTCCTTGATGGACACTGCTGTGATCTATGTTAAAAGTCATAAAATATAAATATGAAAAAACTGACATATCAAATCTATTTTAAAACTATAAAAACAACTGTAATTGTTCTGATGTGACATTGCTTTTGTGCCCAATGTAATCTGCAAAGCATTGCCTTTTAGTATTGGTCTAACTGAAAATCCTACCCACTATGAATCCATGTGATAGTTCTTATATGTAGTCTGGAACTTTAGTCTGGAACTTTATTAAATGTAAAATTAGTTTCTTAAGTTTAGTATTAGTCTTATCTAATGTTTGGATTTATTATGTAAAAAGTGGCTCTTCTCAACCTTGCTTCAGTATGAGCTGTTTTAGGCAATGAAATGTCGAGAACAGTAACCCATGATTTTGTCATATTTTCATTTCACAAATCAGTTCATGATCCCTTTAAATTCTAGAGTAAAACAAATAACCTTTCTCAGGTGTGATTGTGTTGGCTTGTGTTTTCATGCGTAATGATTTAAATTATACGCTGGCAAAATGTTGTTTTAGCTACTATCTTCATATTTTTTTTTTTTTGTTAGTTTAGCTAAATCATCTATGGGGTCTATTTTATTTATACACATGTAAATATTTATACATACTTACAACTCTGGTTACAGACACACAGTCAACATACTTATAGAAGCACCTAGAAACAGCCTTTAATAATACGTCCACTGTATGTACTGTATATTTACGCTCTAGAGGACATTAAGAAAACTTTTTTTTGAACAGCATATTTGGAATCTACATTTTTACAGCTGTCAATCTTTAGTATGTGAGAGTGGAAGTAGCTCACCATCTCAAAGTCGTGTCCCCTTCCTGGCCCTCTTTGTTTTTCCCTTGCAGCGGGTGAAAGCAGTGCTGTCTCTTATTTGCTTTCCTTTCTGGTTGGCAGGTGAAGCGCAAACTGCATCTGGGCGATTACGAGTAGTGTCCATCCATCTGCAATTCCAAGCATTTAAACCAAGTCTTATCAGCTGCTGTATAGATAAAATATATGGGGTCTTTAAAAGAATTAATAGGTTAGTAGAGTGAATGCAGATATTGTACAGCAATGACTAAATAACCATATGGATATTTGTTAAAGTTATTTATAGAGTGCATTAGTGCCTACACACTTTTTTTTGAAAGTGCTGGTATCAGAAATATGTTTTTATATTCATTTTTCCATAGTTTGTATATAAAAAAAGGCTTTGTTGAAATGTTTTAAGCCAAAAAAAAATAAAACAAACAGTGCTTGAAAACAGTCAAAATTAGGCAAAATTGTTACATAATATCATAATGCCTACTGACTATTACCTACGGATGCACCGATCTCGATACTTGGATCAGCTATCGGTTCGATGCTTCATATTTTTGCTGGATCGGGTATCGGCCAGCTGGTACCAATCCAAATTCGATCTTGCACGTGCGCTATATTCTGTGTAATTTATAAGCCAACAAAAGCCATGAAGGTGGTCTATTATAAGGCACTAGGAATTGTCATGTAGGCCTACCATATAACAAGTGTTCTAAAGCCATTCTGTAGTTTAATGTGAAACACAGATGAATATTCAAGTGGTTAAATTCGTGTTCAGTTCCGTGCTTCCCATCGCTGCGCCTGTCAATCATTTTTAATTTATTCACAATTCAAATTGCGTGTCGCGCTCATGACAACACAAAAATCTTTCTTTAGAACTATTTAGTCCTGTTGATATAAGTAATCAGTGGAGAAATGCATTTAGTTTTGCATTACACTGGTTCATTTTGACCTGCAGCAAGGAGTTCATTACTGTTTCTAAATCATGTTGCGCTGTTTCTGTTAGATCAGCAGACTGATTCACAACACTGGGGTAGAAAAGGTTATTACTTGCTCTTTACACACAAAGTAGGCCAAAGTTTTTTAAGTGTCCACAGATACCTGAGTGCTGCACGCTGTCTCAGTAATGCATCAAGAGCTTTATTCACGCACCGGCTGATGTGACCTGCGCCGCTCTGTGAAAATTATTCTTACAATGAGTTTCTGTGCTCTCATCCTTCTGAGTTTATTCTTCTGAGGGGAATACTTTTACTGCTGTGAATAGTTTGTAAACCATCATTGTGGTCAAAGTAGTTGATTTAAATCAATAAAAGTGAAACTGCTGGGCACAATATGGATTGTCATTAACAGAAAAGGGAATGTTTATTAAGTAAAACTGGCCTCAGAAAGTTTAGTTTAGTCTGCGTCAAACATGCAGGAAAACATCAGGCTTTGCTAAAAGGCTGGTTATTTATACCAATGTTTAGGTTCAGTAGTGGTAGCCTATTACAGATTTCAAAGAAAAATATTAATATTAAAAAAGGAAACATAAGCTGGACCACAACAGATCAATGTCATAACATCTGTCATATACAATAGGCCTATAGGTCTGTTATTTTTACTAAAGAAGATTTGAGTTTATCACCAGAACTATTGAAACTGTATTATGCTTAAAAAAAAAAACAACAAAAAAAAACTGTGCAGTATTCGGATCGGATCCGTGTCGGTCAGTACTTGGAATTTTGGTATCTGGATTGAATCGGTTCCAAAAAATGCATCCCTATTATTACCCCAGATTTAGACTATAGTTCCTAGTCAAAAAAGCCTAAAAAATGCAACTTAGTTTATGATGTAACTGTAAAAGAGTCAATCATTAAATTGGAAAATTGTGCAAACTGTATTTTTATTTTTTCATTTTTTTTTAAGTGAGATGCTAATGGTCTAATCCAATTCAGTGATTTGTGCTAAGCTAAGCTAAAAGTGCACGACCCAGAGATTGGCGGAATAGATTTAAAAATGGTAAAACTCAACTGTTTAAATCTACGTGACTTGTAAACTGGACCTATCCGTTTGTTAAGTCATGATGCATGAATAACTGTTTCTATGTCCAAGCCGCTATTTATTTGAGTTAAGAAAAAATTTATTTATGACCATTTGTTAGTCATATCACACATTAAAGTGAATTTTATATACAATCATGGTGTACACAATGTCTCAAATATTTCACAAAGTCTCTGGACATGAATATTTTAACAATTTCTAAAATATTAACCACTTTCTGGGCATCGGATAGTAGGCATGGATGGATACTGTGATGGTGATTTTTCGAAAATACTACATCGCTTTGTAAATGTTTATCTCCCCATTCTGTTTGATGGAGCGCTTGGACTAGGAAGCCGTTTCATGTGACGTCACACTTAACATTGGATTAACAAGCAAAAGCAGAGTGTTCCTTTAAGTATTTTTAGAGCATAGGAAGATTGACTTGATAACGTTATACATAATGTTTCATGGGAGTGGATGGAAGTAAAGATCTTTTGGCACACTATGCTTAATGCTGTTTTCGTATTGGTGGAATTTTCATATGTAGACTAGTGCACAACTTCTCATTGTCATCAAAAAACTATTATATTGTTATATTAAGTGTTACACATTGTTGTTTCTTACTTTCTGAGGTTTGTTAATGGGCAGGTGCAGCTCCAGGGATTGTTAAACAGAGTGATGTTTTGGATGGTGCTGAACTCAAGGCTGTTTGGTAGTGACCTCAGCTTGTTGTTCTCCAGATGCAGAGATTTGAGAGCCGTCACTCCCTCAAAGGCAGCATTGGAAAACTAGATAGGGGGAAAGGACAGATAGATGTGTGAATATTATGAACATCACAACATATGCATGTACTGTAGAATATATTCAGAATTAACATTCAAAGTCACTTTTAATATCTGAAGGAGACACGTGAAGGCTGAACTGAGGGCTTTTTTTCCCCTCATGAAAGGCCTTTCTCATGACTTCCAGGGTTATGTAAACCTGTCTGCGCTCTCCTTGCAGCCCTCCATCAAACTTCATAAGGATTTGTAAGACTGCTAGAAACTTCACCAAGGTGTTAGATCTGCTCGGTGTCTGCTTTATAGGAGGATGACGACGGTTGAAGGGCTTGAGACATTGTAGAGACAGTGTGTGTGGGTGTGTTATGCAAGCATAGAAAAGATGGACTTATTAAAGGGACGTTTTGGAAATTTCCACTTGGAGACGTGGAGAGTTTGGTAATTTGAGGCGATGGATAACTTCCAGCTTAGAAGGGTTGATTTCACGTTTTCTGTCTGTCCACTTCTCCATCAACCTTGCTCCTCTGCCAGAAATGCTCGCAAAGGGCTTATTTGTCCATTCAAGTAAAGCAACGACAGCCTAAAAATACTTCTCTTCATGGGCCACGGAACACCCTGTGACTGTTTACCCGTCTGCTACCCCTTACTGACCTGTTTACATGGTGCTCGGAGCAAGAGGAAAAAACACGGGACTCAAAATAACATTTTTCAAGCAAATAGGCCCTAAAATATCCACACGTGAGGGGTGAGGGGTTATTTTTTCCTTTTTCTATCACAGAAACAGCATTGACCAACTCCATGTGGCTGAGGCGAGGCAATGTGCTATGCATTACATAATATTAGGGATGTAACGGTATCAGAATTTCACGGTGCGGTAATACCTCGGTATGAATGGCACGGTACGGTATTTATTGAATAATTTACAGGAAAAACAAAACTAATGAAAAGACTCGAAGTCTTTGCCAAAAGTGTTTATTTATCTTAGCACTGAACATATCAATGACATACAAATTAGCCATCTATCTGTAAGTTTCGAAACAGGAACTTCCAATTTTTCCATTTTAATAACAAAAAACTATTAAACCATATAAAAAAAATAAAGTTTCAATTTAGTATTGTAGAAATCACTCACCCCTGCAACAGAAAAAAAAACCCTCTCATTTGGGACTGAGGTTTCTGTGACAGAGAGATATGATTTAGCCAAGGTTGACAGCAGTGGGTAACGCTGTGCATTGTCTTTCCACCACTTGAAAGGACAAGCCATGAGTGAAATAGAGGTCTCTTTCTCTGTCTGCATCAATCTAACAAGTGTGCTGTGTTCTGCAGTCCCCATGACTGTTTTTAGTCGTATATTCCGACTTATATTTCACCACAGTCTGGCAGTGCCTGCATACTGTTTTTTTCTTTGTCTGTCACCTTTTCTCCTTTTTCATATCTTTTTAGAAAGAAACCGAAATGCTTACACACATCCGATTTAAAACCCGCTTTAGGTTCGATCATTTCCAGCTCTTTTTCTTCCCCGCTACTAGCAGCACCCTCCATTTCCGCATTACTGGATCTGTAGTGACAACAGACCGCAAAGGATGATGGTCACGCCTAGGCTGATGGGAATTGTAGTTCCCGCTACCTTCTGTTCGCTTCATTTGCCTAAGCAAACTTTTCAGAAATATAGTTTTATTGAGTCATGCGCCTACGGTAATATTGAAAATTACTATTGCGGTATGACAGTATTTACAATATTGTTACATCCCTACATAATATAGATTTTTTTTAAATAATTATAATTTCAATGCAATTTACAATGTTATTTTTTAGTTGAATAACTTTTATTTATCTATAAATGTAGTGTATGATGGGATGAGTGTATGAAATGATGCATCAATGCAGTGTATAAATCAGTCTAGCATCAGTCCATGTGCAGTGTATTTGGAAGTCAGATCAAAGACAAGGAAAAGATAAATGTATCTCTTAAATGCTTTCATTAGCCATTTAGTAGTCCACAGGGAAATATCCTGCTGATATAGCACATGTGCATCCTTACATAAAGGACATGTGACTTTTTTTAAGGCCTGAAAGTATGAAGGGAATGAGCAGAATATCATAAGTCTTATCGAGGCATTCTGGAAGTTTGTCATTGCAACATCTTCTAAAATATTAAATAATCAAATTGATCCAGATCCTAAAATTTAGATTCTAGGTGATATCAGTTCACTTCAATTGATCTACCACAAAAGCTATTTTATTTTGCTTGCAAGCACTGCAGCTAAAAAATGTATCCTTTAAAAATGTAAATCTGATAACCCCCCTTAAAAAACACTGGATCAATTAGCTTTTGTACTCCTGAGAAAATATTGTATTCTGTCAGACAAAATTTAGGGCCCTTTTCTTGACACATTCCTGCAGGCACAGGACATCAACGCGACGTCATAATGACGTTGTACCCCGTCGTGGGGACGTTGGATTTTGTTTGGAAATGAAAATCAGGTGGACGTCAGAACTCAACGTCAGGTGGACATCAATGTCCAATGTGCAAGTATATCAACGTCTAATGTTACACCATGACGTTATGTGGACGTTATCACTGACATCTATCAGACGTTGTATTTTGGTCACTTCCCAACACAACCTAAAATCAACCAAATATCAATGTAACTTGACATCGTTATTGGTCTTCAAAGTAACGTTGTCCATAGACGCTGTCTAGACATTGAATTTTGGTCACCTGATGCCACAACCTAAATCTATCCTAATATTAATGTGTTATGATGTTGTGTGCCTGCTGGGATTAACTCTGTTAGACTTTAATAATTGATTATTTCGTATAATTATTGTTAGTTTTGTTAGTCTTTTTTTATGTTGTTCTTTCTTTCTCTTATTTTATGCTAATTGTTTTAATTTAATGTTTTATCATATTTGTAAATAATTTATTTGTGCATCATTTCTAGAAATGATTGTTTTTATTTATTATTACCATCAACCATTTTAACTATCTTTACGGAACGTCAAAATGAGAAATGTTTTGGCAGAATTTGTGACAATTATACCTTGTATGGATGGGGGATGGCGGGGTGGATTGTATTTGCATTTATTATTTTTTTTTTTTCTTTTGCTAATTTAAAACAAAAATCCCAATACTTTGTATTCTTACATTTTACATAATGTTATGTGACATTATTATTATTATTATTATTATTATTATTATTATTATTATTATTATTATTATTATTATTATTATTATTGTTGTTGTAATAAAAAAAAGTCTTATTGAAATAAATTGTGTAAATCTCCATCAGTTTTTCAGACTACATAGTTGATTTAGTCTGAACGAATTGCAGGGTCACACTTTACAATAAGGTTCATTAGTTAATGTTGATTAATGCATTTACTAAGATGAAAAAACAATGAACAATACATTTACTACTGTATTTGTTCATGTTAGTTAATGAAAATACAGTTGTTCATTGTTAGTTCATGTTAACTCATGGTGCATTAACTAATGTTAACAAGCATGGACTTGGATGTTAATAATGCATTAGTAAATGTTCAATTATGATTAATAAATGCTGTATATGTGTTGTTCATTTTATTAACTAATGAACCTTATTGTAAAGTGTTACCAATTGCAGTATATTGCCAAGGTCTGCTTTGTTGAGATGCAAAGCTCGTTTGCCAATGCCAAGCTTCCAAAAAATCCAACACTAGCAAGCAATTATTTAGCCGAAACTTTATAGTCCAACATTTTATTCAAGTTACCGGCAGCATCTTGATTTCTCATGTTTTATTTGACATTTTTAACAATGCAAAATAATTGGTGACTGACTTACCTTCTCCAGGCTCATGTCATTTAGATGGAGCTTCTCCATGTAGCGTCCGAAGCTTCGGAATGCATGGTCAGGGATGAGGCTGAGAGGGTTTTTGGAGAGGTTGAGTTCCTCCACAACACGCAGCTTGCTCATAGCCGGGAGAGGGTATGTGGACAGGTTGTTCTGGTCCAGGGTTAGAATGGCCAAGTTCTCCACTTCATCAAGAGAACCAGGCTGTATGGAGCTCAGCTCGTTGCCGCTCATATAAAGCCAGCGGAGATCCTTAGCACCTTTGAAAGTACCAGGCTGCAGCTCTCGAAGCTTGTTGTTGTTGAGCTGCAGGATGAACAGGTTGATCATGGGGGAAAAGATGCCCTTCGGAAGGCTTGTGATTTGGTTGCCGTCCAAGTAGAGATAGGTGAGTTCTGTTAGATCCTCAAAAGCACCGGGTTTAATGGTGCTGATCTCATTATCAGACAGGTAGAGGTAGATGAGCTTGTTGAGCCCTTTGAAAGCCTGGCCGGAGAGCTCTCGGATCTGGCAATGCTGCAGGTGCAGAGAAATGAGCCCTTTCATCTCACTGAAGCCCCCAGTTGGTAGATTCCCCAAGTTGTTGCGTTGCAGGTTGAGGAGACGCGTGGCTTCAGATATGCGAGGGATCTTCTTTAGCCCAACATTGTCACAAATAACATGCTGCAGGTCCCCATGGCAGTGGCACTGGCTTGGGCACTGAGTTGGAGCTGCAAAAGCAGTGTGAGCACAAAACTGTAGACACACTAGCACCAGTAAGACATGAAAAGTGTACATGTTGAGCTTATTGCTGTCTGGATGTTTGGTCTGGTTTCTGCTTTACTCCGAGAAACTGTGGCGGCAGGAACATATACAGACAGCTGAAGTGGTCCACACAGCCTCAGAGTAAAGAGAGGGAGTGTGTGGGAGAGCAGAGCGAGAGGGCTGGAGGTGAGCAACATAGAGAGAGAGAGAGAGAGAGAGAGAGAGAGAGAGGTATGTGTGTCAGAGAAAAGGAGGGAAGGAAGCTGAATGCAGTAGTGTTTATATTACTGTTCTGCTCTTGACTTGATGTTAAAGTTTTCTCCATTTTCAGTTTTGTCAATAATCCACCTCTTCAAACTTAAACTAGTTCTTCTCCGCCAAACTTGAAACGCATGAATCTAAGCATGGTCTGAGATTACATTGGTTGTTTCGGCACATCATCATCTACTGGTTATTTACATCTACTGTTTTTTATTCTTATTTATTTATTGATTTATTCATTTTAATTATGTCTTTAAAATTTGTACCCAATTTTTCCTGTCAGTTCTTTTGTACAATGTCATTGTACAATGTCAAAAAATGCCATTTTTTTATTTTATTTAAAGGCATAGTCCACTCGAAAATGAAAACTCTTTCCTCATTCACTCACTTTTGTTTCAAACCTTTGAGTTTCTTTCTTCTGTGGATCACAAAAGAGGATATTTGAAGAAAATCTTTAACCATTGACATACAATGGAAGTCAATAGTTACAACTTTCCAACTTTCTTGAAAATATATTCTCGTGTTCAACGAAGTAAAGAAGCCCATAAAGGTTTGAAACCACTTGAGGGTGGGTTAATGGTAAATAAATTCCCATTGTGGGGTGAACTATTACTTTATATACTATATTTTATCAATACTTTGATGTATTCTTAGTACAATAAATGTGCTTTCAGCACCAGTCAAATATGCTTACAAATATCTTTGACAAATATGCTGTAAATTCAGGGAGTATTTAAATTGATAGAAATTAATATCAATGTCTCTATTCTTTGGCTCCTACATATTCCAGTGTTATACATTTTTTGACAGTCTGACAATTTAAGTTTTTTGGTCATCCTTGACATACAACTAGCATTTCTTTCTCTCTAAAATGCCACCACACACTTGAACGCACCATATCGGATTGAGAACAGCACCACCTATTGGACAAACAGAATACAATTTTGCTTAAAGAGCCCATATTATGGGTTTTTGAAAATTCCCCTCTATGTAGTGTGTAACACAGCTCTAAGTGAAGTGAAGTATCCAGCTAAGGCTTAAATCTGTAAGAATACAGTGTTTAAAATTGTTGATTCATCTATAAAAGAGTCGACTCATAGTGCTTCAAACGAGTCGCCTTGATACCGATTCATTAGGTGTTTCGCCATGACGTACGAACGAAACCAAGTTATTCACGTGCACGCGCAAACCCGGGAGATTTCAAACCTGAGGCCCCGCCCTCTGACGCAGAAACCCACACACACACACACACACACACACACACACACACACACACACCCACAAACACACGCACACAAACATGCCGGTCGATTGAAGTCACACTGCAGATGGACATTATCGATTCTCTACCCAGAGATGAAACCTCAGCATTATAACCAAGCAGTTGGAAACTTCTGGAAACTACATGCTACAAAGAATACTTCATCTGCGTTTGTTAAAGTAAGGATCAGTAAAGAGTTACTTACTAATGGACGTCAGGATGAGTTTCTTCCTCCATTTCTCAAGTGTAAGTACGTGCGATTAAAGTTGCCTCGTTGACTCTAGCTTGCAAATGTATTTAGTTGTGATTTGTTACTTGTAACCGAGTGTACTGTATCAGGTTAACTGGCTATATTCTCTTATCGCGTGCAAAGTCACGTTAAAAACGCGACGGGTGCTGTTTGTTTACGGAGCTCCGTGGTAGAGGTCTGCATTACCGCGGCTTTCCCCGCGCCATATTTCTGCGGCGCGGGAATAAATTTCCGAATCAATCGCGGGAGCGGTCGGTAACAGGTTTAATTTGGGACGGGAGCGGGCTGTCTAGCAATATCGTGGATATTGCTATGCGAATGAGACAGAGCTTTGCCTGCCTGTGTGTCTGTTTGGCGCTTGTGTGTATGTGTTAGTGCGCGCGTATGAGAGAGAGAGAGAGAGAGAGAGAGCTCTGTCTGGCTGTCTCTGGACTGTTTTGCTGGGTGATTTTCGGTTATGTTCTACCCCGCTCTTTAGCGGGATCGGGCGCGGCGGGCAGAAAACGGGGCGGTTCGGGCACCGGGACAAGAAATTCTAAATATAAGCGGGAGCGGTCGGGTTCAGGCTAAAACCTGGCGGGTGCGGGCGGAAGCGGGAGCGTTGTCGTCCAGAGGTGTGTGTGTGTGTGTGGCAGCTAAAATCCACGCCTACACTATGGAGTGCGTATGAACTGTGATTACTTTTATATTGCTGATTAGCTATTGGGCATTTGATTCTCTGACTGAAGGCAGTCGACCAATCGTGACAGGCTGTCATCGGTCCAATCAGCGCAGATTAGCTTCGCGCTAAGGAGGGGTTTGGGAACAAATGAATCACTGGACGATTCATACAGGAGTCGCTGGGATAATTAGGTAAAAATAAATGCAGATTATAAGACCATGAAAGTGTTTTTTGACTTTGCATGCATATTAGACTGTTGTTGGAGACCCTTACAACCAAGATATGACCCTATTTCATGTATAATATGGGCTCTTTAAAATACTCAACTGTCTCCTAAGGCCGCACTCACACTAGGTACAGTTGCCTCGAACCGGGCCAAAGCACGCTTGTCCCCCCTCCCGTCTCCCCCGACGGCCCGCGCTCACACCTTATCGGGCCTCAGCACGCTTACGTCATCGCTGCTGCTCTGTTCAGTGAGAAGCGCTCACTATGGCAAGCCTTTTTAGCATTTAAATCTTTGTTCTGACTCCATAAATATATTTAGAGATATCTCTAATTATATTTTGACTAGTCATAATTATAATTCCACTACTCAGAATGACAATTAGAGATATCTGCAATTACAATTGTACTAGTACGAAATCAGATTGGAGATATCTGCAAATATATTATGACTAGTCATATTCCTCCATTGACTTCCATTGAAAAATATTTGCAGATATCTCTAAATGAGTTTTGATTAGTCACAATTGTAAATAGAGATATCTCTAACTGAGTTTTTACTAGTCATAATACATTTAGAGATATCTTTAATTCGTCATATTTAGAGATATTTACAAATATATTTGAAGATATCTCTAATTAATTTACTAATAGTCGAATTACAGTTGTAGATATCTTGAATTGTATTTTTGACTAGTCAAAATTCATTTGGAGATATCTCTAATTACAATTGTGACTAGTCAACTCATTTAGAGATATCTGCAAATATTTTTCAATGGAAGTCAATGAAGGAATATGACTAGTCAGTCATAATATATTTGCAGATATCTCCAATCTGACTAGTCAAAATATAATTAGAGATGTCTAAATATATTTATGGATAGTCAGAACAAGGTTTAAATGCTAAAACGGCTTGCCATACGCTCTCACCCAGTAGCACAGTGGAGATTTCTCTAGTTATATCCTTTCAGTCGTTTGTTATGCATTGACATGCAGTCAAATATTTCGCCAAACAGTCCTTAGGGATGCGGTGACATGCAGTCAGATATTTCTCCGGACAGATCCGCCACTTTTGGCGCTCATAAACAATCATAAAGCCCTCGTGCTGCAGGAATGAGGAGGTCTGCTGAAGGCGCGCAGCTGACGTGCAGTGAGGGGTTTGCGTCTTTAATAAACTACGGCAGATCACTTTGCGTTCAGCGATTTGCGATCACTGAACAGTAAGAATGATTAATAAATCCATATGAAACAGTCCCTTAAAAGTCACGTCTCGCTTTAAGTTTCGGGCTTTGAGGCGTTTTGCACTCACACACAAGCGTACCGCACCAAAGCCCAAGTAATCCGCGCTCAGGCACACCTCTTCCAACCGGGCCAGGGCCGGCCAAGTGAACCGTGCTTGAGCCCGATTCAGCGCACTCACACTTCTCAAACGATCCGGGAAACGGGCCTGGGCACGGTACGGATGGCATAGTGTAATCTCCTCTTAAAATCCGCAGAGTTCAGCTCCAACCATTAGTAAACAAACCTCAACTAATTAACCAAGATGATTGGGATTGGCAGCCTATCAGACACCACACAAAATTGATTTTAAACAGACTTCTGAGACAGCATAATGATTCAATCTGTACAATAGAATTGACAGAGCTTTGGTGATAACTAAGGTAACTTTTGCTTAATACAATACTAAATTCCTGCTAGAAATGACATCAAAAGTAGAACACATATTTATAGCTTAAGTGTCATCAATGCAATGGGCTGATGATGATGATGATGATGATGATGATGATAAGGTACATTTAATCTACTAACAAGCATCTACTTTTTTGCAACCCAGGCTAATTCTGAAAACGTACCACTATATAAGTTTTTGAAGAATGGCAAATACATACAGCTATGTTTTTTGTTTTTGCGAATCCAGCAGAGGCCGCTGTGTGCGCTTTTTCAGATCTGAAATTTCTCTTGTGCACCTGCTCTTCTTGCATAAATCCACCAGAGGCTGCTGTCGGCTGACTGTTTGATTGACTGAATGACTGACTGACTGACCGATCAACTGACCCACCCTCCTCCTTTCCTAAACCCAACAATAGAGTTTTCAAAAGCACAGATTGACCCGTCCACCCATTTCCCTAAACCCAACAAACAATTTTAAAAAGCAATGCAGTAAAAGAAAAGCCCTCATCTAATTTTTACCATGTTTTCAGATTTTACCACGTTCTCACCCTGTTATTTACTTGTTTATTTTATTTTTTGGATTCTGTTTTTGTCTTGCTCGCTTTCTGAAACTGTCCTTCACTGGACTCGAACCCCATCCTTGTGGTCAGCTCCTCTTTGAGTCTCAAGTCCGCAGACGTACATTTCGAGCTACCAGACAAACTGGTAACAGTGGGACAGCTGTCCACATGGAGGTAATCGGTCAGCTGGTAAGCCCGAAAAGAATCAGCATCTCACCCTCCCGTAGCATTCATTTTAAAGATGAAATGCAGCCATACGTACTTCTGGCTACGTAATTTGCGATCTCCAGAAATGTATAAAGGGCTACGTTTTCAGTTATTCAGTATATTTGGTTCTTGACCGTAAAACTGTGCCGTGCCATCCAGGATTTTTACATTCTTCGGTTTCCAACCATGCTCTGCACATTTGAGTTTCTTCCCCAGAGAACCTTAAACACAATAATAAGAAATTATTGCAACTATTCAGTTGTTTTGAACAAACAATAAATACAAGTATTGAAAAAATAGGCCTGTCTGACTCAATTCCAGTTTTCTGGAGCTACAGTATATGCTAAAGTGTGCACTGAAGAAGAAGTCATTATTGGATAATAATATTCTCTTTCAAATTTAAATGTCCTGTAAATCTAAAATAAGGTATTTTAGATGTTAGTAGTGTGTTTGTTTTAAGCATATGTATAGGTAAGTGTGCTACAAAACATTAGACAGTGCATGTTAAGATGATATAAACATCCAAAGCTTGCAGTTTGTCACTATCATCAATTCAAAACAGATCAACGATTTATTTCACGTCATCTCATACTTCAGTTTGTCATCAAATCTGGACTAATCAAATGCTCTCTAGTATTTGACAGGTCTCGCCCCCTTCTCATTTGCTTTTCATCTGAAGCGCTTGAGCTCAATCACTCTCACTTGCAGAGCAGTGATAAAACAAAACGCTATTGGCTGATATTGAATAAAAAATACACTTTTAGACAGTGTATGTTTTGCTCATTTGTTTTCCAATTGTAAACAGAATCTAGGAAATGAAGAAAATTGTCGTTTTTCGTTTGCTCACAAAAAAAAAAAAAAAAAAACCTGATTCTTGGCTCGATTTTTGGTTTAGGGTGGGAAAACGGATAAATGACTTTAAAATTCATTATACACATGTAGGTGGTGCTGAAATGCCCTTTTTCCTCTGATTGGCCAACCAAATCTGCACTCATAACGTCACCCTCAAAATAATATTCCTCTGCGGATCAGCACCCAGGCTTTTAATTATTATTATTTAATTAAATTAACTAAGTTTACATATTCTATCAATTGAACCACACACAGTTAGCAGGCTTACATTCATTGTATATGCATAAATTAGTAGTATTATTAGACAATTGTCATTAAAATAAGGCTATTGTTCACCGCCAAACTTTTTGCTGATATGCACCTGATGCTTAGCAAAGATTTGCAAAGACATTTCCGAGCAGAACCTGGTTTGCATAATTGATTCTGAGTAAGGCCTTTATAATAATAATAACAATAATAATAATATGCTTATAATTCGCTGCCAAACTTCTTGCTGCTGTGCACCTGATGCTGAGTTTAAAATTGGCAAACAAATGAGCAAAACGTACATGGACCACATTTCAAAGCACTTCACAGGACCTTTAAATGTTCGTTTTGTGTGAATCTTTCATTATACTTTCATTATATTTCAATTTTCAGCTCTGTTGAGTTTGTGAAGCAACTCAAATTTGAATCTTCTTCATCATATTCACATAGAAATTTGGAAATTTCATTTATTAGCTTGAATTTAGTTTTTTCCTACCTGAAAATATACGAGCATGTTAGTTATAAGTGAGTTCAGAGGTCTGAAATGTGAGTGTTTTCTGTCTTAGTCTCTCAATTCACAGGCTTGTCTGTGTGCAGCCAAATCTGGTGAGGTTAAGGTGAGACTGCATGTCGTGCCAGACATTTCCATTGTTTTTAGTCAGCAGAAGGAGGAAAAGGAGACACTCCCATGCGGCGGGTGTTTTATAACATATAATCACCGCCAGATGTTTGGCTGGTAACGCATAACAACAATGGAAATGGAGTTTTTTCTTCTTCTTTTGTCTGCAGAGGAGCGTTTCATTTAGAGAGACACATTCCTCTATATAAATGGCCCCTTTCGTTTCAACTATGTACAGTATTCAGTATAAAAAAGAGAAAAAGTATATTGTGGAATCACAAACTATTGTTATTTAAACTAACATTTACATAAGTCAGTCACACTTTTATCCTTGTACTCCTTTGGCTCAAAGCTGTAAGATTTGTTTATGAGCGTCTCACCTTCAGGATCGGCGGAATCTAGTGTTTGCTTAACAAATTTAACATTTTATCGGGAAACTCCACTTTCACACCTTACACTTTACAAATGCAACTCAAAGAAGCTAGTGTAGCTAGTTTGGCTAATGGTTGCATTGACTAGTTATTGTTATGTGGGTAACACTTTGCAATTAGGTATCATTAGTTAATGTTAGTTAATGGATTTAGTATTATGAACAAACAATAAACATTACATTTATTCTAGTATTTGTTCATGGTAGTTAACTAATGGTACATTAACAAATGCTAACGAGCGTACATTTTGATGTTAATAATATATAAATGTTACTCAATACTGTACAAGTATTGTTTATAATTAGTTCATGTTAGTAAATACCTAACCTTGAATGAACAGCAGAATGAACCGCCAACTATTCCGACATGTTTTTTACAGCGGATACCCTTACAGCTGCAACCTAGTACTGGGAAACACCCATACACTCTCATTCACATACGCACTCATACACTATGGCCAATTTAGTTCATCCAGTTGACTTTTACCACATGCCTTTGGACTGTTGGGGAAACCTTATTGTAGAGAGTGACCAATATCTGTTATAAAATAACCAATAATAACAAATGACATGTAAATAATTATGATTAGGAAATTGCATATCAGGAAATGACCAAGAATAGTAAATGCCAGTAAACAGTAAAACTACTTGCTCTACAAACAACTGTATTGCAATACATAAAAATATAATAAGAAAATACACATTTAAAACATCATTAAGGCAGCATAATAAGCTGTTTTCTTATAGTTAAAAACAAATTGAACTGAATGAAGTGAACTGGAAATCTCAAGAAAATTTTGTTCTGCTGAAGAGCGAATAAACTTTTATAATAGGAGTAATGTTGAAGATGTCTGAATAATTTTTAAATGTAACATTTATATGTAGAAATATCAAGTGAGTAATGATGCAGTAGGGTTTGTCACTGAAATACCAATAACGCAGCACTGGAAAAGGCCATTAATGATGATGTGTGCATTTAAATATACAGTATATATACTTATTGAGTCCAGAAGCTTGTGACTCACTTAAAATATTCCACACAAACATCATGAATGTCTGGCACATCAGTGAGTCTCTCAGCAGCCGGCAGCTTGTGTTATTGAGTTTTGTAAACACAAATTGAAATGATGAGGTTATGTCTCTCAGTAACAGTGTGAGGAGTTGTTTCCAGGGCACATTATCTCGAAAGCCTGAGTGTTTGGGAGATTTGTTTTAGACTGTAAAGTGAAAAGGCTGCTGTGCCAGTTTGTCAGATGGGCACCACATACCTCACCTGCCTCTCAGCCCTGTCCCATTCAGATCATTCATTTAGCCTTCTGCTTGCCTTTTGGCAAATTTGAGGAATAGAATATCAGATTTAGGTCTTTACCACAATATGCTGTGCAGAAATAGTAATGCAAGCACACAGGCTGAAGTTTACTAGTGTTTCATAGCATAAATGTCAGGAGGTTATTGTCACAAACCCTTACATATACAGTACACAGTCTCACATTTCAGTACTATGTATTACTATTATTAACATTAAATGATAAAAGAAGGTATGAGAAGTATGTGCATATACATACATACATGCATACATACATACATACATACATTTGTCTATTTTATGACCTATTTTATCAATTTAACAAGATCCCAAATCTATTATAAATTAATAATTGCTTATATAACACTAGATTTTGTAAAACACATTATAATTGCATACATGTGCGCACACACCCCTATATAATTTATTTTATATGTAATTGTCAATTCAGGACCATTTATATATATATATATATATATAATTTTCTTTTATTAATTTAATAGCTTTTCTAAACTTTAACATTTTATTACATACACATTATATAGTAATGTAATGTTTTATAATAATATTTTCTAATTTTTTTAATTCAAGAAAAATCTGAAATTTTGAAATCATTGTTATTGTTAATCATTATTTATTATTAATAATGATATTATATACTGCATAATATACATACATACAGTGCTCAGCATATATAAGTACACACCTCACAAATCTCTTTAAAATTCATATTTTTAATAGGAAGTTATGCAATATTATATTTGTGCATTCACATTAGTTTACTCAGTACTGAAGCCAAATCTGGAACTTATCTAACAAAATAATTTACGATAACGGTCCAAAAACTAGTACACCCAAATTTATATTATAGAAAAATATTAAATACAAATTAAAAAAAGGAAAAATCTAGAGAAGAGAAAAATGTAAAGATTTAGTTGAAAATGTGTAGGTTGTGATTTTTTTTTTTTTTTTTTTTTTTTTTTTGCAATTTTAGCTTGAATTTATTTGTATTATCTTTCAGTTTCTAAATATGTTTGGTGACGACTAAAATATTATTTTAATAGATATATCTGTTTAATAAATCTGTTTTGTTTAAATGCACCAAAATACATTGCTATATTCACTGAGAAAAATGAATACAAATATTCATTTACAGAATGGGGTGTACTCAATTATGATGAGCACTGTATACTGTTTACAATTGTAATTGTTTGTACAATATCATTTAATATTATATATAATAAAATTTTATGCTATATTAAGGCTCTTCGATTAGTTTTTTTTTAAATCGCTGTGCAGCTTCCTGAAATTTCTGCTTGAATATTGTCACTTGAATATGTTCATTATTAAAAAATTATATTTTTATGTGCTTTACTCTCACTGTGTCATCCTTGTGCTTTTGAACAGATTGGCTATGGCACAACTGAAAACAGCCCTGTGACATTCTGTGGCTTTCCTGTGGACAGTGCAGAGAGAAAGATAGAGACTGTTGGATGTATTTCCCCACACACCGAGGTGCACTTTCAAACACCACTTTATTAAGGTGCTCTTTAGGCATCAGTTCTAGCACACTGAATTATTGTTTCTCCATTAGGCTAAAGTCGTGGACCCTACAACAGGAGAGATCGTGCCTCTGGGGGCTCAGGGGGAGCTGATGATCAGAGGGTATTGTGTGATGCTGGAGTACTGGCAGGATGAGGAGAAGACCCGTGAGTGCATCACGAAAGACCGCTGGTACAAAACTGGGTAAGTGTGCTTGATACTCCTCATTACATTGTTATAAATTATATCCCAGCTGTCTTGACTGAGTGTCTCTGCTGTGTGGTTCATACAGTGATATTGCCAGTTTGGACCAGTTTGCATACTGCAAAATAGAGGGGCGCATCAAAGATTTGATCATCCGAGGAGGAGAAAACATCTATCCTGCTGAAATTGAGCAGTTTCTGCACACACATCCCAAAATTCTAGAAGCACAGGTCAGCAGCGTCTATAAAAAAATGTTTATATTTACCTTTAGCACTTCATAATTCTCAGAAACAAATTATTAGCTTCAATAATGTTAGCTGGAGAAAGTCAATATAGGCTACTGATATACTAGCAAAGACTAACAACTAACTAACTAAAACATGCTAGCAAAGAGTGTAAATATGGTATAATGCTAGTGTAATTATAATTAATGCTTGCATGGTGTTAAAACTTGGTACTAAAGTGTTAGAACCATCATAGCAACTTGCAAAATCTGCCTAATAATCGGTGCTGACAAAATGTAATTTGTGGTAAACTATGCTAACAATATGCCAACTCATTCTATTAACATGTCAAATGTGTTAAAAATAGCATGCTAATTCAAGTTAGCAACCTGGCGACCTGCTAGTAAAATACTAACCATTCTAACAACATGTCAATTGATGGTGTCAATGTGTCTTGTAGTAAATTCATTTTAGCCACAGGATATAGGATAATAAAACATGCTAGCAAAAATTTAAGTCTTATCTGTTTGGAAGCAACTTGTTATGTCATGCTAGCAATTAACTCACTGAACAGTTCAAGCGTATTGCCCATGTGTTAAAAATACTATCAACAAATGTTTAACAGGGTAGAAAAGTGAAAGAAATGGCTATTAATTGCTGAAAAAGCCTGTGTATGTTGGTAAGTTATGTTTTAATCCTGGTTTATACTGGTTCCTGCTGCTTCCCTACAGCACATGACCAGGAATGAATGAATAAAGAACCAGAAAGAACCATAAACCAGCATCCAAACAAACCTTGCCAGTGCATTCTGTTTTTTCATCAAGGATTAGAAACATGCAAGCAATGGCTAATGTTAGAAACAAATAAAATAGACATGCTAGTAAGATGCTAATTAATTCTGTCAACAAATTAAAACTTTAGCCTTGTGTTAAAACATGTTAGAAATGTGTTTAATCATGCTAACAACATGCCAATTCTTTCTAGCAGTGCTAACTGCATGGTTGCAACCTATAAAATCATGTAATACACGTGTTGAAATATTCTAGAAATATTTCAAAATCTGCTATGTTACAGTTGAATGAATTATGTCATGATATCAACATGTAAACATGGTTTAACTTTTAGTCCAGGCTTTTTTAACTGTGCTATCTGGTTTTCATTAACTGTTAGCCACCATTTTATAGTTAGCAAGGTTGTTTGAGCATTTTTAATGTCTGTTTTTTTCACACAGGTGGTTGGTGTGAAGGATGAGAGGATGGGAGAGGAAGTATGTGCTTGTATTCGACTTAAGGAGGGTCAGGAATGCACTGTAGAAGAGATTAAGGCTTACTGCAAAGGAAAGGTCAGGAAATTTGGATTCTCAAGCTTGTGTGTGTCTCCCTGCACATGTACACACTTGTTCACCATTAAAATGTTTATATACAATTTATTAGATTGTGAATATTCACTGGAGTAAATTTAATATGTAATTTAAACATAGAAATACACAAACAATTATTATTAAACAAATATAAAGAATATCTGAAATCATGTTACTTGAGTCATTTAGGAAATCTAATTCTTATATAAAAATAAATACATTTCCTTTAATTACATTTCTTCCATTATACTCAATAATCCATTTTTAAAATAAACAAAGTTACTTTCAGAGTTAAGCACTTCAATATACTTTTTTCCTTTATTTTTATGCTAAGAACAGATGTCATTGTTTATACAGAGATAGATGTTTTTTAAAATAAACCCACTTCTTAAAACATTGCCAAATAAATTGACTGTAATGATAATAAAAAGTGAAGACACACATGAAAATAATAGAAATAAACAGCAAAATTGTATAAAATAAGATAGTAATAAATAAATAGACAACCATACTTGCCCAAACTTGGTCCTGGAGGGCCAGTGTCCAGTAGAGTTTAGCTCCAACTTGCCTCAACACACCTGCCAGGACACTTCTAGCGAGCCTACTAAGAGCTTGATTAGCTAGCCCAGGTGGGTCTGATTGTGGTTGGATCTAAACTATGCAGGACACCATACCCTCCAGGAGCAAGTTTGGGCACCCCTGGTCTGGACAGACAAAGAAAAGAAAAGGAAATTACAGTTACATACAAGATAAGTCACATTGTTCCCCAGGAAGTACATTTATAGCGGAGCACTGCCAAACGTTTGCTCTTCAGATCTTCAATCCAGTGTGATGCTTTAGATGGATTTAAAGACTCCCAATGCAATAGAATTAGTCTGTGAGCGAGTAAAGATACAAAGTCAGACTCAATTCACCACGTAGAATGCCAAACAATGCAAATTCCGCACATGACTTAAGCTGCACTTAAGACTATATATCGAATATGGTTGACGAGTATGGCAAGTCTTTTGACATTTAATCTATAACCCATACTAGTATTTATTTATATGTTAATAGTGCATAGTTTTCAGATTCTAGTATCTTTCCATTAAGTACTATTACTTATTTGTGCATATTCATTTGATTCTAGTGCCTATTATTTAGATACTAGTGCTTTTTAAAAATATACTAGTTCTTACTCATTAGACACTAGTTCTTTTTATTAGATACGAGTGCTCATTCATTAGATACTAGTACCTATTAAATAGATAATAGTACTTATGTATTAGATATTAGTACTTGTTTTAGTAGTGACTAGTAACTATTATGTTGTTACTAGTAATACATTTAAAGAAATTCTATTTATTTCTATCGGATCTGTCATTGAAATATCAACTAATCAGTTTTAAAATATACAAAAGTATTTTACTATTACTATTTATAACTATTTTAATAGTTATAAAAGATACTAGTGTCTAGTAAATAAATACTAGTACTGATGAACAGTTACTAGTATCTAATGAATTGGTATCCATTAAATAAATACCGGTATCTATTAATTACTTTCTGATTAACGACTAGTATGTAAAAATATGTCCAGCTGGAATACATACTAGTCAAAACTGAATAGATGATATCTCAATGAAAGATCCCATAGAAATCATTGGGAAAAAAATTAATGTGTTACTATTAACAAAAGAATAGTTACTAGTCACTATTAAAATAGATGCTACTATGCAATGAATAAGTACTAGTAACTAATGAATGAGCACTAGTATCTAATAAAAAGCACTAGTGTCTAATGAGTAAGCACTAGTATATTTTGTAAAAGCACTAGAATCTAAATAATAAGCACTAGTATCTAATGAATAGGCACTAGTATCTAATACATATTGAAGTATCTAAGTACTAGTACTTAATGGATAAAGTAATAGTATCTAAAAAATAAGCTCTAGAAACATGAAAACAAACACCAGTATGGGTTATAGATTAAATGTCAACACAGCTTGCCATAGGCGCATAAGGAGTAAGCTTAGGGCACATTCAAAACATGTGAGATAAGTCTGCTTCACCTGTGTGACAATTTATACAGATCTTGTCAAAAGTAGAGTTAAAAGATGCTCTCCGTGATCTCTGTATAGTTTTTTGCATGAATAAATGTATTTTGTTTATTTGTATCTATAATATATTAATCAATTCAATTACACTCCATTTTTAAAAACAAACATTTAACAAATTGGTGAAGTTTGTTTCTCGCCACTGTCGCCTCTGGCTTGCTTGGTTTAGGACTTGTGGAGCTGTGCATTGATGGATTTGCTCTTCAGTGTTTGGACTTTCAGCAGTGAAATTTAAACCACACTGAACTCAACTAGACGGAGAGTTTCAATTTACTAGAGCTTCTATGTTAAGCTGCTTTGACACAACCTACACTGTAAACGCGCTATTGAAATAAAGATGAATTGAAAATGCAAACAATAATAATTATGAATATGATTTAACAACAATACTACACAACTGTTCAAATTCTGCTGTTATTTTTGCAGATTGCCCATTACAAGGTGCCGCGCTATATATTGTTTGTTCAGGATTATCCTCTGACAATTACAGGCAAGGTAAGTGATACGCTATTATATTAAAGATTCATATTATTGCTTACAAATGAACATTTCAGAAAATTCCTTTAGTTTAGAGAAAGTCAATTCACCATCGCCTTTACAGAATCAACCTCTTTTTAGTCACCACTCCTTTCTGTATCTCTGTAGATACATCATGTTAAAAATAAAGTGTAGGAACTGTTTTGTTGGGCTGCTTCACATTTGTCTCTAGACAGAAGAAATTGAAGCAATTTCCCTGTCTGAATCAAACCCAGAGAAGTGGTTTCAGGCATTCGAGGGCTACTGTGACACCTTTTGCTTTTAAAGGCTTGTGGTTTGCTGTCGACAGATTGAACCCTTTAATAGCACTACAGCTGTTCTTTTCTTCATCTCTCTCTCAGATCCAGAAGCACAAACTGCGCGAGCGGACCGAAAAACAGCTCGGACTGTGATGATGGCATCTGTGGGATTTTTTTAAACCGTTACAAGCAGGAAATTATGCTAAGGACTTTACTAGGTCACTTTTGTGATTTCCACATTTATAATTAGACCCATCATGTTTTATATGTGCACGATATTACACTAAGTTACCACAATTTTAGAAAAACCAGTGGCATTTCACTATCTTAATGGAACAATTCACCCCAAAGACTTGCTGTTAATTTACTTAAACTCAGGCCTTCCAAGATTGAAGTCAACTTGTTTCTTCAGTATCAGCTCACATGTGGGATTGTATCCGCAAATTCTCAGAAGCCACAGATATTGGTTTTGTTTAGTCTGTATATGGCTTTTATCAGTGTTTGGTATCTGTTTATGATGGAAAAACAGCTACCGAGTAAATTAACAGCAACTTTTACCTCTCTCTCTTTACAAATCATGTACTTTTAATTGTTTTTATTTTGTTATGAATTGCATACGATTGATTCACAATCATGGGTAGTGGGATACAAAAATAGTCATAGAAATTAGTTACTCTATGCATGCTTATATTAAGTAAATGTATTAATACATGTCTAATAAAATGAACCTACCAATTATAATTCTCATGAAACAAAAAGACAAAAACAATGTGTTGTCAGTTGTCTTGAATGGACATCTGCTCCACAAAAAACCTTTGAAATTCCCGAAACACCCTAAAGTAGTGTATTTAAGGCATTAATGTGGTCTTTTTGTTGGCTGTGGTGTGGTTTGGGCTCATTGTGATCTCAGGTGCAGCGTGTCGGTGTTCATTTAGGCTTCGCTGCTTTCCTGCTTGGCTTGAGATGTGAACATTTGGACGCTGGTTTTGAGACCATATGGAGAAGCAGGTCGCCTCTCAGCTTTCTAATGGGTCTGCTGGAAACTAATGGCCACTCTGGTTTGGACTAGCGCATAGTTTTGTGAGGATCATTTATTTAGGTTGAGACTTTACAAAGCAAGGCACTGGACAAAACCCCAGACATTCTTTGCGAATTTCTGCGCAGCTCATAATGGAATCAGTCATTCTCCGTGTGTTTCTTGAGGTCATTATGGGATGCATTCAGTGGGCTGTGTGACGCATTTCATCAAATTAACGGTGATTCATTATTCGGTGAAAGGATCATCGAATTTGGAGTCTAGCATGAGTGAAAATCTGAAAAGGAGATGAAGTACAGTATGTGAACAGTGATGTCTCCCCCGTGTGTCCTTTGGTAGAATAGCAATAACAGGATGTCTTTAAGCTGCTTTTTCTACATCTTTGGGATTTAGAAATTGAGTGTGATGCAAAATTTTTTGCTAAAATACAAAACAATAGTCAGGTTATTTATGTAATTTCGTCAAATAAACACAATTTTATTTGACTAAAATACATAATTATTAATAATTACATGTTTTACAATACTAATGACTTTACAGCACATCCTGTATTTGACCTAAAAAAAAAACATAATTTTAGAGCAGTTTATTTTTAGAATGAATTTTATATTTCAGTGGCTTGAAAATGAGAGTAATTAAACCAACTATTAAACATAAGTAAACTACCTGACAAAAGTCTTGTTGTCAATCCCAGTTGTACGAGCAACAAATAATAACTTGACTTCTAGTTGATCATTCGGAAAAGTGGCAGAAGGTAGATTTTTTTCAGATAAATTATCTGTTGAACTGTATCCCAATCATTACAAACACTGCAGAAGACCTACTGGAACCCACACAGACCCAAGATTCTCAAAGAAATCTGTCAAGTTTGGTGAAGGAAAAATCATGGTTTGGGGTGACATTCAGTATGGGAGCGTGTGAGAGATCTGCAGAGTGGATGGCAACATCAACAGCCTGAGGTATCAAGACATTTGTGTTGCTCATTACATTATAAAGCACAGGGGAGGGCAAATTCTTCAGCCTCCACATCTAAGTTCCTGAAAGAAAAAAAGGTCAAGGTGCTTCAAGATTCGAGGGTCCAGCCATGCTTTATAAAATAATTTTAATTGCTTTATAAATAATAATTCAATATGATTTCTTTATTATTTTATATTATTATACAAGTAGGATTAGAGTTCAGCCAAAAATAAAAATAATATTATCGCTATTGCATGTTACAGTAGGTCGGGCTGCTGAAATAACCTTGAATGTTTTTTTTAAATTAGTTTTTTTCAAACAAAGTTGCAAACAAGCATCTGAGTTATACAGTAATTCGAATGTGCATCCTATACTAACACTGAGAAGAAACTGTTGAATGTTGTTATTTTTGATTTATGTGAATACAGAAGTATTCTGGTAGCTTGATAATATTTTATTTGAAGACATATGGTCTGTCTTGAGGATGTTTTTTCAATGTTTGGACCATTGGTGTTAATGGAGGATGAGGGAGCTCTCAAATTTTATCTAAAATATGTTCATTTGTGTTATGAAGATGAACAAAGGTCTCAGGGGGTTGAAATGACGGTCAGTAAATAATCACAGATTTTTGCTTTTGAATGAACAATTGATGAAAATCATCTTTTGGACGCTATTTGGACAGAACTGTGGTAGGTATTGGGGTCATATAAACACAACAAGTCTCTTTAAATTTCCTGACGTTAAAATAGGATCCAAATCCTTCCCATTTTAAGGCCCACCTTAACGTGATGTTGGAGTTTGATTTCCACACCCATTAAATCGATTGACAGTTGAGTATTAACATGTCTCTGTAGTGACGTGTATAATCATATTAACAAGATAGCACGTTTGCAAAGCAACTGGGATTAAAAGATCTGTTGAGCTTTCTGTGATCATCATCAAATGTGATCAAGAATGAGTTTTACAAGTTCAAAACGTTTTTAAAACAGTGCATGTTTGTAATTATTTACAGAGATTTTACCGTCTTCATCTCCACAGCCGCTTGCCAGTACAATTATAAAAGAAGACGATTCAATCCCGGCTTGTGGATGTTAAATCAGGTTTATTTTGTACATTAACATCACGGATATCCATACAGCAGTGGATATTAACGTGTATCCTGTCACATTTGCTTGCAAAGTTAAACATGCACTGTCGGTGTCTGCTGTGTGTGTGCGTGAACATTGTGTGTGACTCATCGTTGCAACTTCACAACAAATACATCAAATAACCACTGGTAAAGTTCTTAATGTAGTATTTCTCACAAATGTTATGTGAGATCTGCTTCCTTCATGTCTGTCACTGTGCTGTTTATCTCACGCAGCAGAGGTGGAGATTAAGGCACACTCTGGCAGGTACATGGAAACGGTGGGTGGGGAGAACTAGCATTAAAGGCGCAGGCCAAAAAAAAAAACAGCTAAAATGTGTTCAAGCAGTCAATATCAGTATTCTGAAAGCTATAATAAATAATCTGATGGGTATTTTAAGCTGACACTTTACAGATGCATTCTGGAGAAACAAAAGACTTCTTTTAAATCTTGAAAAGGGGGAAAAATGTATGCCCTTTTAAGTTATTTGATTTGTACATAAATATCCTGAAAGACAATATAACATTACTTCATATATATTTTGAGTTATTACCCCACAAAAGTTTACACTTTTCTTAGATTTAATATGCTTTTTATCCATACAAAATGTTTTGTGTTTTATAAATGTAATTTATTGCAGCCACTAAAATCAGATCCCTATACATTTTCTTTAAATTAAAAATAAACACAATAATATTAATTAAGAAAATAGGCATTTGTTTATTTTGAATAACCTTAAATGGCATAATGTAAACATTTACAGGCTGTGTCTTCAGTCTTTTGGCAGTGGAATTCCGACTGCTGATTGGCTCTGTCCCTGCAGTGCGTGTCTGGCTGTGTCCACCTGTTTTTGTGTGCAGTGCTCCTGTAAGAAAACACAGGCCAGGTTCCGGAGGCGTGGGTTCTGTGTGTGGGAGAAGCGCAGCATACACTGCACCACAGCACTGTCTGTGATCTCAGAGCGAGAGGACGCTGTGATGAGGTTCATCAGTGTTGTGATGGCGGACAGAACCGTCTCGTCTCTGCTGCTGGACAGGCAAGAGATCACCAACGGCACACCACCGCTCTGCAGAATCTGATCTCGAGACTCCAGCTCCATACTGAGGTTACATAAACCACCTGCAGGGTTTCAAACACTCTTGTTTTACATAAATGGATTATGATATACAGTGCATATACAGATCATTTTATTGTTTGATCTTGTGCTCAAATTATTCTTGAGTTGTTTTTAGATGAGAGTAGAGGCTTTTTTCTTCTTCTTGAAATCGCCTTGCGGTGGTGATGTCGGATTGTAGTTTTAGAGACTTTCAGAAATATTTCTGCAAATCTTCGCTTGTGATTCTTAGAGATTTTTTAGCCCCTCAAATCTTGCTCGTAATCATGGCACATATATTTTAAAAATATATTATTAATATTATTATATTAAGTGCCTATAGAAAATCATCATACTCCTTTGAAATAATTACTGTCATACAGCTTGAAATCAAACCACATTTTAAATAACTTTTCCAGCCTTTGAAATGTTTTTGTAGCCTTCTAACCTGTGCTTTTCTACAACTTAATCCTGGGTGTAATGCGAGTAAAGGTATAAATCTTAACAAGGTACAATGATTTTCTATGGGCACTGTATTTTTATAAAACTGTTTGCATAGTTTTCGCTCATTGAGTGCAGGTTTTTGTTTTAGCTAATACTTTGAGCAAAAAGATCAAAATGTTAAAACAGTGATATTACAGCTATACTAACCAATTCCAAACTCCACAAAGTTTTCGTTCTCTTCTGTCAGCATGTCCAGGAAGAGCTCAGTGACCTGCAGTGTTCGCAGAGCCTCCATGTTGGATGGATCGTAAGCAAAATTGGCCAGATTAGCCAGCACTTGCTCTTTAGCCTCTGTTAAACATGAATTATTATTAATATTAATAACAACAATACATTTTTACCTATTCTAATTCTAAAAAGGAATAATATTAATATATTAGTAATATATATGAGTAATATAAGGAATAATATATATGATTACATTTCTTATTGAATATATGAACTCCATTTTAATGTTATTTTATATTAATCAATTTAATGGCAGTGCATTTTTAAAATACACATTTAGTCATTAAAAAAAGGTTATTAAAATTATTAAAAACTGTTGAGAAAATTGTCTCTCCATTAAACAGCATTAGGGAAATTTTTGACACATAAAATTTCACAGAAGGGCTGATAATTTTATCAACTGTTTGCAGTATATCTTATGTGGAGTGGCTGTGACAATTATTAAACAGCATTGTTTCCCACTGTTTGTCACTGCAAAGGTTTACATCACAAAAGCAGTGTTAACTTATTTTAATGGAGCAGAGTTTAATAACTAAAGGTGAAAAATCAATAGAAACTATCATCAAATTCCAAACTGTTTTGGTACTGTATTGAATTGTATTGGTTTAAAATGAAATGTAATGGTCACTGTGATTGTTGCATGCTATTGCTGTTTATAATCAACATTTTAAAACTAATAAATCTTAATGGAATATGACCTGAAGCACACCAGAAACCATCCAAATATAGTGGTTGACTGTAGCGCAGTTATTTGAGGGTTTTCTGGCAGAGGATGGCAGGGTGTTACTCAGAACACTGATGTTGGTTAAGTGATTGTAATAGGTGCAAACTGCTGCAAGCACACACATGTGTAAGGCTTTATCATACCATCACTGTCAGTGTCCTGAAACTCTGTGACGAGACCCTGCAGATACTCAAACCTGTCAGATACAGAGAAGCGGTTCTTTCCTGCCATCACTGATAAATCATGGGTAACATGGGCTCAACACCTGCACACAGAAAAGAGGTATGTAAATATCTGTTACTAACTGTTTGTGATGGATGGATAGATGGATAGATAGAGCGAGCTTCATTACACTATGAAACCCATAATAGCAATATAAACTGTTCGTAATACCTTTGTAATATATAAAACACGATAACAAAACCGTTAATAAAGTCAAGACATTACATTAAAACAGAAAAATTGACTTACTAGTGCAAAGTCGGCTGTAAGTTGCGACAGGCTTCTGTTTCTATTTTATTTAACGTTACAGATAAATTTAATCAAGAAAACTTATTTGAAGCCGATGCAGCAACACATCTGGTCCGTCACCAAAGAACTTCCCCGCTTTTACCGTAATCTGTAGTTCCTTCGATTTAACGTTCCCTTCTCATGAATCTGCTTGTCCGCAGAATAATATAGCGCATACTTATAATGGATAAAATAGTAAAGAAACCCCCTCCTACTTCTTAAAACAACGTCGCAAATACATTTAGTAAACTATTGTATAACGTTAACCCACACACCGGAAGTAATGCTTAACTTAGGGTTAATATGCGCAGTATATATTCATCCGTGTGGAGGTCAGAAATACAGTTTCACTCAGACTTTTGCCATTCAGTTGATAGTTAACGCTAGTTACACTGAAGGTAAAAATCTCCACAATGAAACAGCACAAACTATCAACAGGAAAGCGTTTGACAAAGCCGATACTTTTCGGGACGTTGCTCGTAGGTTTGGCCACGGCATTTATGAACAGGTGAGAAAACACACTCACACACACACACACACCCCCCTTGACATTCACACCCTCAACGTGTCACAGTGTTTACATATACAAAATATTGTGCAGTATATAAAATCTAATTACGTGCAAACATGAGCCCTTAACGAACGGCAGTGCACGATTTCATTGTTTACCAAACATAACATTTGTGTAACGATACTCTCTTAAGGTAGTTTCTTTATTTGCATCACTGAAGACTCTTTAACACATGGGTCTCAAACTCGATTCCTGCAAGGCCTCAACTCTGCAGTTTTGCTCCAACCCTGATCAAACACAGCTCCAAATAATCAAGGTGTTTAAACTAAGCAGGTGTGAGTTAAAGGTGGTTAACAGTTAGAGCTAAACTGTGCAGAGCCGCGGCCCTCCAGGAATTTGGACACCCCTGGTTTAACATCTATGAACATTTTATTCCACAAATGTTATTATTTTAATGGAGTTAGGTTAGTCAGATTATTAAAATAAGCGACACGGTGGCTCAGTGGTTAGAACTGTCAGGGAGAAGGTCGCTGGTTCGAGTTCCAGGTTGGTCTGTTGCCATTTCTGTGTGGAGTTTGCATCTTCTCTCCCTGTGTTGGTGTGGGTTTCCTCCGGGTGCTCCGGTTTCCCCTCACAGTCCAAAAACATGTGTTATAGGTGAATTGAATAAGCTAAATTGGCCTTAGTCTGTGAGAAGGTGTGTATGGGTGCTTCCCAGTACAGGGTTGCAGCTGGAAGGGCATCCGCTGTGCAAAACAAATGCTGGAACAGTTGGTTGGTTCATTCTGCTGTGGCGACAGTTGATGGATAAAGGAACTAAGCTGAAGGAAAATGAATGAATGAAAGATTATTATAATGCTCTACACACACACGCACAGTTTTGAATGAAAGAATCACTGAGGAACCCAAAATGATTATGATACTTGATTATGGTACACCGACCACATTGCTGCTGCTTTTTAAAATAATTTTTACAATATGCACTTTTTTCATTATACCTTTTATGCAACAAATGTTTCATTAGTGTTAAAGGTTCTTTATGGGACAGTATTTAACCAACCCTTTTATTTTAATAGTGTACCAGAATCTGAAACTACAATTTGAGAATAATTGCAAGCACTGACAAAAGTATAGGCTTAATGTAGAACTTTGAGTGATGCCTATAAGCACTGAAACAAAATCAGTGTGCTTACTGCTGATCTTTGATTGTGGTTTGTACATGAAGGCATTTGTTCATGGAGGATGTGTCAGATCTCAGAGAGCAGGAAAGATCCCGTCATGAGGCCAAACGTCTGGAGGTGCTGGAAAGAAGGCAGAAACAAATGGAGGAACTTGCAAGTAAGAGTGCAGGCGGCAGGTGAGACGACTGACACACACCTGCAGGAAACCACCACTGAAGAAAACAAACACAGGACCTTTTTTGCCAATATCATTTCGGGAAGTGTTCTTTGAGTCCTCGGTTGTTGCTAATATCGGACTGATGATGCTTTGAGTGATGTAGAAAGAAAGTCAAGTATAGCCAACGTAGTATTGTACAGTGTATATATATACATGTTTTGCTGACAATTATGGTTTTAACTGGTTGCCTTGATTATATTTTGTAAGATGTGGTTAAGGCATTGATAAGATGCAATTGGTGTAAATCGTAGGCCAAATATGTGTTCCTAAAATGTACGGCACTGACAAAAACTATGTGGATTGAATTAGAGGGGAAACATATTGATTAAAATATTCATTTCTTTAAATAAAAAGCCTACACATTTCTGTTTTTTTTGATTAATTAAAAATCGTTAGACGGTACTTTATAATGTTGTCTAAACATATACAGTGCAAACATTTTAAATCATTGAAATAAACCTGTTTAACATGTTTTGTTATGCTGGTGGAAAGTCTCTTCACATTTCAATAGTAATGATTACAGTAAATGTTCTAAATGTATTTATATGTGTTTTTATTTTCTGGGTAAAGTATAAGACTAAATAATGTTTATCCAATTAAAATTTGTCAGCCGACAATTCCCATAATTCTGATAAGTAGCCCAAACTGTCTGTCAACAAATGTAGATTTGTACATCTGTGCACCCCTGTTCATGTAGATCCGCTGTTTGCGCATGTACGCGCATGTACGCGCACCTCGTTTAAGTGCACACGAGGCCATGAGAGCAGTAAAAACACCATAGCTGAAGTATTTCTTTAAGATGGGTAATGTTTTGTTTTAAAACTATTTTAGTCTTGCAAAGCTGATGTAGATTATGTTGTGTTATGAATGGGTTATATGCACAGAAGTGTTGTTCAGCCACTGAAATATCCTGCTGAAAGAGTTCATAAGCTCCCTTTTACAGCATCAATAATGTAGACTTTTATATAGTTTTACATCAAAACATCAGTAAGTAGCGCTATTCCGCCTAGCCTGCTTTACTGAGCTAAAGTTGGTTTTATATTCACATTGGTTCATTTTTGAACAATGATGACATGTAAAGCACTCCCTTTATTGTTTACCATCCTACTCTGAACATTCGGTCTGAAATAGCATGTCAGTATGGCTTAATAATAAGTGTAATTCCTGCACCTGCCGGCCAACCATTAAGCATACAGTCGTCACTTTAGTGAGAGAGTGAGACCAGCGATTCTTGCATGCATGAAATATTGCACATTATGACAAGTTTTGCTTGCTACACAACTGAAAGCGCTCTAGATAAAAGACAGTTTATCATTCAGAATTGTAGTATTATAAAGTACTATAAAGTTTTCTAACTGGTGAATGACGTGATCTTTAAGGTGCTTGTTCGTGATTTCAGGAGGCGTGGCTTTGGACTGCAGGAGACTGTGTTTCAAGGGTATTATGCTAACAGATAGCATTTAGGCAGATCACCTACTGCACCTTTAACATATGCATATTAAACAAAACCTATATTTGTATTTTACATATGAAAATGTTACATAAAAATGTGAAAATCTTAAAAGAATATAAAGAAATTCAAGCAAATTCAAGATTAGTAGCAAGCATGAAATCAGTAAAATAAAAATGAAAACAAACAATAAACAAAATGTGGTGGTGGTAGTGTGGGGGTTGATCTAATATCCTGGTAATAAATAATAGTACTTTTTTCACAACAAGGTTTCTTTTTATCAACATTAGTTAGCTACATTAGTATAAATACCAAGATTAGTAGAAACATTTACTTCAACATTAATAAAATCATTTATATTAAATGGGACCTATTATGCATACTTATTAACACTTTCTTAAAGGGGTTTAAACACAACAGTTTATGAATATAACCAGCTTCTAATTGTAAAAATGTATTAATTTTATTTTTTTAATCACACTCGATAAAAACAGTATGCAGAACACTTTGATTGACATTCTCCCTTTGTACATATCAGCGGGAAAGGGCCACTCATTAGTGAAGCTCTCTCCCTCATTGGCATAGGACACTAGTCTTGTTTTTGAATCTGCCACTATGCTGACACATTTGTAGCTCCGCCCTTTTTTGAAAAGAATTTTGAATTTAAAGCAACAGTCACCAAAATATAATGGGCATTCTGAGCTGAAACTTCACATACACACACTTATTAGAGACATTAGATCTTACATCTTGTAAAATGGGGCACAATGGGTTACCTTTATTTAAATGGATCTGAGCTCACACAGGCTAATATGTTATTTATATATATATATATATATATATATATATATATATATATATATATATATATATATATTAAGTATAGCATTGTTTCTCATTGTTAGTTAACACATTAACCAGCTTTAACCAATATAACCTTATTGTACAGTACTAAAATAGCTAAAGTAATATTTTGCAGTGGTAACACTAAACAGTTTAACATTTGGTACAATAACACAGACCAATCAGAACTCAACAGTTTATTTGAGCAACAAATAAAGTAACAAAAGGTGCTTTTGGGAACACATTGCACTATACAAAGCAAAACGAGTAAGATATCTCATTCAAGGAGACAAATAAGGTATGAAAATCAATACAAACACTATGAGGCTGGGAAACCAACCTGAGACTCGATAGCAAATGTATTATACAGTATTACTACAGCAGTCGATTGTCAGAATGACTAAAACCAGTGTTCCAATACAAACCTGCTGAAGCCAAAACCAATCCTTCATGTGCAACTCCAAAGACGCTTCACACCAGGCCACAGAAATACAGTAAGTTCAACCATCTGAGGCACACATTAGCACTTAATAATAAAAAAAATGTATAACTGGGGATAAAAATGACATATAAGTGCACATGTAAGTCTAGATAGCCATCCTTTTTCCATCAATTATACAGTATATCATTATATATCAGGTCTACTTTCTTACACAAACAGGTGCAGTTATCGCACAACATACATTAATATTATAAATTCCCTTTGTTTTCAGGTTTCACATACGTTGCGATCCAACACTATAGCAATAAATACATTTTTTGGATTGTGTTAGAAGACATCACATCCATAACAAACAGAAAACAACGTAAATATGTACATGAATGCTAAATGAACGGTAACCATAAATATATTAGGTCAGGGTATATACTGTACATCTTTAACAACTATTAACAAGTACTTCATGTAGTATATTGCGAACCGAGACTATAACCGAGTTATGAGGTGCTGCTACAGAAGGGCTCCCATTACCAACCTTGTTGTAAACCCCACTGTAGGGTGGACTCAGCTTCAGTAGTGTATTATATTGCTGTATAGTGGATATAAATGGAGTCTGAGTGTGTTTTATACGCTGAGGACCAGGCCAGATGGAGAGTTGGATCGCGGTGGGGCTGTGATGTGTGTCGCGTCACCGGGGTCCAAACCGTTCACCGTCCTGCTGTGCTCAGAGAAAACATAGGATTTCAGATTGAGCCTGTATAATACAGGCCATCAGACCATTCAAATGAGGCTCTTTCACATCAAGAGCGATAACTGTATGAGTGTCCACATCAACACATGATAACGTTGTTTATTTTAGGAGTGCGCTATGACTTTGTTGTTGGTTGCTTTAAATATTTGAGGTCTTTTAAGGTCTGGTGGATTCTGATTGGCTTGGTTTTGGTGTTGATTGGTTAGATTAAAACCAATCTGAAGAATGAGTCTAATGATATTGTTCCTCTGTGGTTGTGATGTTTATTTGCTTACATACTGTATCATTGTTGTTGTAGTTATCGTACATGGTGTGAATGAGCCTTTAGAATTGTTGCAGTTAGGGCTGGGTGATTTATTTATTTTTTTTTAATATTGCATATATCTGTTCTTAAAAAGCAAACATTATATTAAAGAGATATTTAGATTTGAAAAATAAATGTATTCATATATTATAAATTATTAAAAAAAGCAAATATTATATTTAAGACAGAGTTGGAGACATATTATTTAAAAAAATTAAAAAATTTGTTATTAAAAAAGCAAACATATTTAAGATGAATTTAGAATAAAAATAATATTATATGTTATTTAAAAAGGAAACACATTTAAGACAGATTTGGAGACATATTTAAAAACATAATATATGTTTCGTAATGTTTAACGTAATCTCAACCGAAGCACGATGAGAGGGTGGGAAATAGAGTAGCTCCTCCCCTTTTTAAAAAAAATCCAATTGTGTTTTGTTTTATCACAGCTCTACCAGTGAGAGTGGTTGAGCATCAGATGAAAAGCAAATGAGAAGCGTCTTGAAGGGGCGGGGTGTGTCAGATACTAGAGAGCATTTGATTAGTAATGATGTGATGAGAAACTGTACTGTGAGCTGACGTGAATAAAACGTTGATCAATTTGGGTGGAAGTGACAAACTACAAGTTTTTCATGTTGATATCAGTTTTGTAATTTCTAAATGCAAATTTTGCCACTGTTTTGGAGCATACTAGCTTATTGATATCCTGAAAATTAATAATACTGATACTAATATCTAAAAAAACGTTATTTTAATTTCATGGGACCTTTGAAACAGAGTTGGAGACGTAATTTTTAAAAAATAATAATAATGATATATTTGTTATTAATAAAGCAAACATATTTAAGCGTTACATTTAATAATATATTTTGATATTTTTATTTTATTGCACTTATATTTATTTTAAACAACTATATAAACCATCGATAACAATTTGAAGTAACCTAAGCAGTCTGAATGAGAAAGTTTTTGGTATTTTATAATTAAATATTTCAGTGAAGCAAAGATTATAATTGACTGGTATTGTGTTGTAACATTATTTCTGTATTCTGCCATATCACCCAGCTCTAGTTGCTAGTACTTCTTTCAGTAAACACCAACAAGAGACAATAGACAGAACCTGGCTTGATGAAACTGAGACAGAAACAGGCCTTTAAAAGCTTTTTCAAAACCAAAAGGGCCAGTTAATATGCATAGCAATGCCCACGCGTGAGTGAATTGGTGTAGAAGCAAGCAAAACAAAACTCTGAAGCTCTGAAACTGTAGATTTTCTTCGATTTTCTTCGGTAATTCGATGATGGCCTTCAGCTACGCATCACTGTCTCTGTTTTCGTTACCTTGACATTCTTGAAATTATTTGTAAAGTTATATTATAAAGTTACCAGATTAAAGCTTGTAATCCTGATGTACACTTCGTGACGGCTCATGTATAGACACGATAAGTCTTTCGAAGCAGAAACACAAGCTCCACAGAAAAACGTCCTCACCGTAACCTTTATCATCTATTGATCTACTCGAGCCACAGCAGAGACTGATTCAGCACTGCGGAAAACGGCACTGTAATAGACACACTGAATCTTTGGAGGACTCCATTTGTCTTGTTAAACGGTTTAAATCTAATAAAGCTTCTTAATCGTAGGGCTGGACAATATGGCAAAATTTATATCACGATATACTTCTTAATTTTGGTCGATACAATATAATTCCGACATCAATATGGACAATATTAAAAAGACATGAAAAAACTGCTAGGAACGCACACAATAGATGTCTGTTCCTACAAATGTCTGCAAACTGAATTTGCAAAGTCTTTAATACCTTGAGGGTCTTATAGCTTTTCTTTAAATAAAAAAGTAAAACAAAAATGTATGTTCTCTTTTTATTTGTATTTAGCCTTTACAAACATATATATATATATATATATATATATATATATATATATATATATATATATATATATATATATATATATATATATATATATATATATATACGTATGCAAATGTAGCCTATATCGAAATACCGGGAATGAGTTTAAAAATCATATCACCATTATTGAAAAAAAATGTATCACAATTTATATTGATATTATTATTGTCCAGCCCAACTTAATCGTTAAACAAGCTTAAAGTCAACATGAAATTTAAAATGAAAAGCATTTGTTTGTGGGATGCCATTAATTTCCTGGTCTTAATGGTGGATGTATGATAAAAAAATCGTCTTTTTGCACACTTTCTTTCAAAATTTGCCTCTGAAATAACTCATTGTAGCTTATTGTAGGTTGTTTTTGTTGAAGGAATAATTAGTGCGTTTTATTAGAGAAAGGAATGTGTTAAATTGAACAAAAGTCAGTGTTAAGCAGTAATAATGCCACAAAGACTTGTAAAGGTATTTAAAAAAAAGCTTTCTATTCATCAACGTATCCTGAGATGGAAAAAGATCATGATTTCCACACAGAAATTATAGTAATTTTTCCTTAACCCTTTTGTGCTGTTGGGGATGTTTTCATTCACTCTGAGGTGATTTTGATGCTTAATTTGGCCACAACTTTCAGCAAATGGCATGGTGTTTGGTGACAAATCTTGTTTTGACACATATTTTGGGAAAATGCTTTGGAATTAAAAAAAAAAAAACTCAACAATACACTTTGGGCTAATTGACTACCCTTTCGTTATGTTTGTGGCAGTTTTTTCCCCATTGACTTCCATTATGATTACTTTTTTTTGATTGCAAAGCCATAACACCGTATAATAATGCATTCTTGATTGTTTGTTTTTCCCTTTTTTCTGTTGATAATCATTTACAGTGCACAAAAAGATTTGTTTCTGGCTTGTATATGGAGTATAGTGTGTATGTAAGAGAGAAAGACAAACTTTTGCACACTTATCTTGATGTGTTTGAGAAAATAAAAAATAAGCACCTCAGCTCTCAGAACATAGTAAGTTTATTTGGTGTCATGGCTTTGCAATCAAAGAATGTGGTTATATTGAAAGTCAATAGGCTAAAAACAGCCACCAACATAACAAAAGTGTGGTAGATTTTAACAGTACACAAGGGTTAATTAGCATATATGAAATATTTCCTAAATGGAGATAATCCAGCATTCCAGACAACTTTGTATTGGGCGTTTTCCAACTTGAACATAACAGGGCAGATCGAACAACCACAAAACTCATTTGACACTTCACAGACAGCAACTTGTTCTGCTAAAGTGAGATTAGCAAAGAGCTATGTTATGTGAAACATAACATAAACTTTCAAGTATGCTTACAGAACAAAATGAGTGGTTTCTCATAGTTTCTAATATTATTAGCATAATAGTGCAATATATAATATTTTTTTCTGGCAGCTAAATCAGCTTAAGTCAAGTCACAAATTAATACTGTTTCCAGGTTCGAGCCACTACTTATTTAAATTGAGAAAATATTTATGACCTCTTTTAATAACACTTTGCTTTGTAAACGTTTATTATTACCATTTGTTGAGTCTCCCCATTAAGTTTGATATAGCGCTTGGACCCTGAAGCTTTGCAAGAAGTCACTCTTAGATAGCATTTTGTTTGAGCCATCATTGGCACATTAACATGAAATGTTATGAAATAATGAAAATGCAACTGTGACGTATGATTGACTGCACCGAGGTCTGACTGAGTTGTCTGGAATGCAGCATGAGTGCTTCAAAGAATATATTTTTTTACCATCACAGAAGTAAATTACATTTGAAATTACAATCAAGCAAAAAAAACAAAACAAAAAAAAGTTATTTTGAATTGTAGTAGTGTAAATAATCTCTACCTTCCTAACCTCTTGGATAAAAAGAAGCACCATGCTATATTTTTGAATATATTGTTTCACTCAGAAATGTCAGATTATGAAAATAAAGCGAGTTTGCGAATGTCATTTCATGTTGACCTTACCAAGAAAATGAACATGATCTAACTAATGACTAGAACGGTCTAATCTTGTAATGTAATTGATACCGACAGACAGGAGAAAAACTCTATCGAATTCAACATTCAGAGTGAACTCCATAAATTTTGCACTTTTTTTCTGATGGCCTTTCAGCTTTTAAATCTTCAGCTAAGAGTCCAATCCTTTCACATTTACTTAAAACACATTTGAGCAAACCTATGGAGTGCACCATCCCAGATTTAGCCACCACCAAGATGTTAGTGGAGATGATGTGATCTTAACCTAGTGGATTATCATACTATAAGTTATATGCAGGGGTTGTTAACCAGCATGCATGGACCCCATCATAAAACTACCAGTCGGATCATTTACCCAAGAGTAACGCAGGGAAAATGACCCTCTCTCTTCTGCTGAGGAGAGAAACACATAAAAGTCTGAGAGAATTTCATCTCTGGTGTAAGATTCTTTATTCTTATAATCACACTTTCCATCAGTCCTCATATTAAAGGGATAGTACACCCAAAAACAAACATTGCCAAACCATTTACATTTCAAGTAGTTCTAAACTTTTATGAATTCATTTCTTCTGTTAAACACAAAGAAAGATATACTGAAGAGGTTTGGAGGAAAAAAGCAGCCATTGATATGCAGAGTAGGAACAAAACATACCATGGAAGTCAGTTTCTGTTTTTAACCAATGATCACCACCAGTACATCTTCATTTTGTGTTTAAAAGAAGCAAGAAATTCAAACAGGTTTGGGACAAGTGGAGCAGGATCTGTACATTTCTAATTTTTGGGTGAACAATCCCATTAAAACCACACTAGAAATTCATCCAAAAGTCTTTGATTAATCTCCCTCATGTTGTTCCAGTCCCCAAAAAACTTTCCATCATGTTCACAATCAGTTTTCTGCTAGAACATTTTGAGCTTTGAATCGTTTATAAAAAGTAAGCATTTAATCCCAGTTTCACGAAACAATGCAATTTTTTTTCTTTGCCAATAAATAAAATAAAATGTTGTGCATAATTCCAAAGAAACTAAAACAAGTCCCAAACAAAATATACCAAAATCTTCTATTATAATATAATGAATGAAGCTCTGCCATAAACAACATCACTTCCATGTTGTTTGCATTACAATAAGATCTAATACGATCTTAAAACGATTCTGCTTTGGGTCTTCAATTATTTATTTTAAATAAATAATTTAAAATAATTTAAAATAATTTAAAATAATTGTTCCTAAATGGGGCATCAGTCCTTGGTGCCCAGCTACTACTCAGGATGCTGTTCAAAAATTTCTGCTTCACTGAGCCATCTAAATAATGTCATTTTAAATAATGCTATACACTTCTGATTTGGAGTGCGAGCAGCTTAAGAATGCATTACTAATGATTACTGGTAAACTTGTCTGGTTTTCATGTGGAAGTGAAGATATTTAGTCTATAAATAAAGCTCAAACAAAGAATTCATAGCATTTCATAAACCTGGGATTAACACAATAGATTAATGCACTGTTTTTCTGAATATTTTTAAAGCTTGAGTTAATAGAGTCAAAAAGTTCCCAATTTTTAGGAGATAAGCAAATGTCTTATGGGTTTTTAGTACAACATGAGAAAAAAAGATTACAGGATGTCCGTTTCTAGGTGACTGAACCTGAACTTAATAGTTTATTCTTATTTATCTGTTTTTTGCAAAACATCAGAATGAGGAAGAAAGTGCAATTATGGGCAACAGATCAATTCAAGTAACTGCTCATCAACATCTAATGATGTATTGATTGGTCTTTCTGAACTAAATGGGCAACTCACGCTTTGTCGAAGTAGGATGTGTGGAGCGAATGAGAGTAATTTGAAATGTCGCCATTAATCAGATTGCCGTTGACGTTGGTAACATAGTTCTTTCTGGCTGCCTGGTCCTTTGCAAAATTTCGACAAGCTGCGAGCTTAGACTCCAAAGCCTAGGAAACAAAAGCAACACTTAAAATTACAGCCAGTTCCCGACAAGCATAGTAATTATAAATATATCAATAAATATATGTGTGTCCACTATGTGGAACAAACTAAAAACTTTTTATTTTTAGTGCTACTTGTGCATCATAAAATAGCTTATACTGGGTAATTTTCAACATTCAAAACCATCTAGGCCAGTGTTTCTCAACCACATTCCTGGAGGACCACCAGCTCTGCACATTTTCCTTGTCTCCTTAACCAAACACATCTAATTCAGATCATCAGCTCATTAGCAAAGATTTAAAGACCTGTGATGGATGTAACAGACAAAGGAGACATCAAAAAAACATGCAGTGTTGGTGGTCCTCCAGGAATCTGGTTGAGAAACACTGATCTATGCCAGTGGTTCCCAAAAAGGAAATCGAGACAGCTCTAGGGGTCACGGGATAATGAGAGAGGGTGGCTTGGTGATCACAAAAATATAATTCTTTTTATTAAACTGTTAGAATAAGTAAATTTTTTCCATATGCTACAGAAGATAAAAATTGTAGTTTACACTTATAAAACAAAACACTTTTTTTGTCCATTGGATTGCGACCCCTGAGGTCTCATTACATTAGTTTAAAGACACAGCAATAGGGTCAGATGCAGCAGATTGATTTCATGGCACCAGAGTAAACTTTATGAAACCTTTACGGCCCTCAAGTACTTTAAAATTAAATACAGGCCACAATTGAACATGGAGGATGACCTCCGAATTTAAATGAAAAACAGACTTAAGCCTGTTGGTGTGTGTGTGTGTGTATGGGCCATTTTGTCTTTGCAAGGTTTGTAAATTTATAACCACCTCAGAGGATATTGGGGATCGCGAGTCACTGGCATTGTTATTTTGGGAATCGTGGGCTAAAAAGTTTGGGAATCCCTGATCTGGGATATCTTCATGTTTTTTGCAAGAAAATCTGAATTCCATATTTTTTTTTGTTTGTCTGAAAAACACTGACTGCAATGAACTGTGTTTTGGGCTCACCTGCGCTTTTGGGGTTAACTGTATCTCTTTCACCTGCCATGCTGAACTCTCAACACACCGACAAGTAATGAAACGTCAACAACAGATTTACATACTATGAGGCAATTAGATGCTTCATCTCTGATTTATCAGAGGTTGCCACAGTGGAATAACCCACCAATTATTCCAACATATGTTTTACGGAGCGGACGCCCAACAAGCCACAACCCAGTACTGGGAAATGGACTCACACATGTGAAAGGCAATTGGAAGTGTACGAAGGTGAAACTTTCTGCAGTTGTTTTTCCTCATCAATCTAATAACAATAATGCATAATCTGAACCGTGGATCACAGGGTGCACTAAACTGTGGGAGGACAATGGAACAATTTGATTTTTAGGTCTATCCAGAACCATTGCACCCCTAATGATCAGGAAACCAAACCTTCAACAATTATTTGTCTCTCATTCATACAGCATTTCCTCACCCCAACTTTGCGCAGTAAATCGCCCACAATATTGAGCGCTGATATTCTAGCAGATGGTGTGAGGGCTGCGTTAGTGGAGCCGTTGGCCAGAACTGAAAAAGAGAGAAGAAATAAATCAGTTGATGTTGAACAAGTGTGACATTGTGTACATCTCAGAGACAGAAATCAACCTGTCTGACTGGTGAAAGCATTGTCCAGATTCTTGCTAAGAGGTGTAGCAGGCAGAGAAAGGGATGCCTGGACCGCAGAGTCTGTTTTGTCGTTATCCGGAGTCGGAGAGCTGGGAGCTGACATTCTCGTCACCTCTGACCTGGTGTCTCGCACTGCAAGCTCTTGCCGCAAGTCTACAAATGCATATATATGCGCATGTTAAGATAATGCGTACAGTATTGATCTTTAAGTTTCACTCACAGACAATAATGCTGATCAGACTACGTAACATCATAACTTCATTCCACTAGCAGGCAGGAAAAGCTTTTTACTGACAGAACAGGATCAGTAAACAAAGCTTGGAATGAGGAACTGTCTGTAATTACACATGACCAGATTACTGAGAGCAGAGTCAGTAAATACCTCTGGCTTCATCTTTTAGTCTCTGCACAGACACAAGGAGAGATTCTTTCTCATCCAGTTCACTCTCCAGAAAAGCGTTCCTCTCGATGGCCTGGTTCAGCCTCTGCTCAAAGTCCTCCAGAGATGTTATGGTGGCTCTGTGGTTACAGACAGAATAATATACAGTAGCAGAATAAACTGTCAGTTATAGTAGAACCGTAGGAAACAATGCAAACCACTACAAACTACTAGCGTTTTTTTTTTTAAGAAAACCTGTTACCCAAAATCTATTATTTTGTTTTGTTTAGTAATCTCAAGGATGACAACAAATAATAAATAAGTAGAATCTTTAAATTAGCACGGACACAATAAATTGATATTAATTGATAAAAAATAAGTGTTGTTCTGTTTATTTTTCTATTTATTGAGAGAATTTTCATTTAAGAGAATTCATGAACACCTGACTTTATCATGTTTTTGAATGTTTTTGTTTCAATGTTATTAGCATCTGTAGAGATGACACTTTTTTGGCTAATGGTTGCAGGCTTGCTGTCCATTGACTTGATTAACACACTGCAGTAGCACAGTATTAGGATATTTTAGTACACTACTGGCATCATTGCTAATATGTTAGCATAAATTAGCATGCTGCTAACACATTTCCAGCATGGTTAGCATATTGTTTGCCAACATAATACTTTTTATTAATATTCTCCTGCCAGTGGAACCATGGACATATATAAAACATATATATAATTGCAGAACCCTACAATCTGCTTTCATAGCTTAGGGGGAGTTAGCCAAAAGCTTGTTTGTGGTACAAAACATGCTAATATAGACCCACTAAAGAAACCTATGAGGGTTTTGTCAGAGGAAGCAAAAAATAAATAAATAAATAAAAACAATTCTGAGACTGATAGACACAAACCCAAACATTGATTTGTATTGAACGAGCTTACACTTAATGGCACGAGCTGAAGTAGAAGAATGTAATGATATTTGTTGGACAGTGTAGTGAATCACAGGCTATTTTACCTGGTTTCTGGACATAGTTTCCAAATGAGGTGTCAGCTTACGCTGGTCCGGTTAGGTTAGTCAACAAATGCATGTGAGTTGCGCTGTCCATTGGGAAGCTCAACAATAGTTTTACCACACTGGTAGCCAATTGCACTCCCACAAGGGGAAGTCGTGAAAGAATTTTCATGGTGTGGCTTTTATTTACAGATTTTTTACATGGACAGAAAATTTGGAACCAGAAATTTTTTTCTGCCAAATTTTAGAAACGAGAGGTTGTAACAATACCAGTAAATTCTGCAGTGTTTGAACGCAGTAGTAAAATTGCCTGTATGAGCATGTACAATTTCAAAACGTGCTGATGTAAAATGTCTACGCTGGGCCTATCAAAACATTCTGATATTAATGACTGATATTAATGGCTCTAATAGCCAATTGCGCTTCCACAAGGGGAATTCGCTAGACATATTTGCATAGTGTTGCTTTTATTTACAAATACATGCAACCTTAATGAGCATAAGAGACATTAAATATCAGACCAACTCCAAAACGTTTGAACAGCAGTGTAACTTCCCTCCAAATATTAATTTCATGGTGTCCTCTTAGTAAGTATTTCTGGCTGTGATACAGCTAATTGTAATGGTGAAGGATAAGATGATGTCCTCTGACCTCTTAGCTCTCTCCAGGTCGTCATTGGCCTGTTCTAACTCTCGGACATATTTATGCAGCTGTTCCTTGATGCCTCGAGTCTGGCTGAGGTCGTCCTCCAGCACAGAGATCTGTTTATAGCTCTGAGCATACTGATATTCCAGCTTCTCCTACAGGACAGAATACGTAAAACACACTTGCATTAGTCCTGTCCTCACTTTAATGTTCTTCACACACACACTTAACGCCTGTGTTTAGCTCACACACTGTCACCTTGAGCGAGTCGAGCTCATGCTGCAGTCTCTGATTGTCTGCCTGCAAGTCTCTGATTCGATGCTCCGCTTGGCCCAGTTGTGTCTCCAGCTCGGTTTCCAGCTCTCTGCTGCCCTCTTGAAACTCCAGCAACTCCTCCTGTGCCTCCTTATAACTGAACACACATACATATCAGGATATAGTTGAACACCCTTGAACTAATAAATCAGGCACAAAGCAAATACACTATTAATTTGAGTTTGCCTTGTACTATGCCTTGACTATTCATGTCAAAAGTAATGACTTCAGTACCTATCATTAGCCACCAATCAGTAACTAACCATTTGCAGCTAATGTTTGAATGGAGTTGAGTGGATCCTTGAACTGGTGACTCAGTCACTCAACAGATGTGACTGTGATTGTCCCCAGTGATCATTGGTTGACACTCTTCATGAAGCCCTTTTATACATACACACTTAACTGTAAAATTACAGGTAAACTGCTGTAAAGATATCACGTGTGAACAGGTGCTTTGTGCACTCAAAGGAGTCTTATTTTCTTACAACACGATTGCTATATCACACTATGTGTAATACATTTATAATTTAATTCATGCAAATTAATTAATCTTGTAAAGTGATTTACTAATGTTTGTAGTAGTCACCTTTTACACTTTTTTGTGTCCGCCCAATAGCCAAACATCTGCAATCGATTAACCAATGGAAAATCTTATCTCGTCCTACACATTTCCTACTTCTGGTTGTGTGAGAATGGTCATTGTCTCACAGACAATCTCACATGCTCTGCAGAGACCCACAGAGATGTGGGACTTAGAAATGCATCTGACCGGTGTTTTAAATCTCCTAAAATGTCCAAGATTCGGCTTTTGGTTAACTGTATGCGTTTTTACATTACATTTTTATTTTAAGCCTGATTTACTTTGAAATGGCTTCGTAGCTGACAGCGCGTGCACAGCCAAAAGACAGAGAGAAGCATTAAATAAATAATTCTTTGATATAAACGACCCAGATAAACTTTTCTATATACTCAGAGAGGACGAAATTACATCTAAACTGGCTGCAAAATATTCGTACACCGTTAGAAATGCTTAATTAACTCATTTGCCTGATTTAATTAATCAACATTTTTTATTCTTGTAATTATTATACTTTTTTATTCCTTTGATGATGCTGAAATACTACATATTTTATACATATTTGACATGCTTTAGCAATACTGTATAAAATGTCAGCAGCAGATTTTACTTGACAGTGGGTGCACATGGCTCCTGAATAGAATTAAAGTTAAACAAATAGTGAATTTCTTTTTTATTTTAAAAGTCTTTTTTTAATACTTTAACCAATTGAAAAGAAACAGACTTATAGGTGTTATAATGAACGTGATAAAAATCACTTTTGTCGCATGTAGGTAACCATGTGCCATGAGTAAAAGGGGTGTTTCAATCCGGCTACCACCGCAAGTATATTTAAAATCTGTGGAAAGCACTGGTCATCTTACTGGTATTTGCCTCATTATTTAAATAGGGTGATTTAAGTTGAATGAGTCTGGCTTCATGGGGCAGATCTGCTGTAAATAAGCAGTTTTGTTTACAGTGCACCAGTGACCGGGAGAACGCTGCCCTGGGCCTCTTTATGTAATCACCAGCCAGCATTATGGTGTGGAAGGATCTAAAAATGGCACCAGAGCAATATTTTTGTACCTAGTCATGTTACACCACGTGAGCCAAGAGATTGAGCATGACGACCTGTTTGTCCAGGCACAAGGAGACCACTAGAACTGCACAAAGTGCATAATGCCCAGGCAGCGCAGGAGAGCATGAGAACATCTGGGACTCATTTTTGGATAGTTTCTGGTCTCTGAAGTGCCGATTAGTGTGTTTTACTAGCAGGTCAGAACTGGGCAGATGGAGTTATCATGTCAGACACAAAGGAGTCTGTCCAGTCATCCATACAAATACATGACTACTGGAAGTGTTCAAAAATGGGCTTGCTTAATACATCTCAGAACCTGTTTGGATCTGTATTTAGTCCTGTCCACTTAAAAATAAGCGTTCACATAAAAGTGCATCTTAATACCAGGTATAAGTAGGCCATAAAGATGCCATTTTAAATTGTGAAGTAATCAGTGTTTTTGAAACTAATGAAGAGAGCAGAAGTCAATGATTCATTTGAATTATTTAGCTTGACATGTTTACTGTAACAAAATATTATAAATCTTTAAAAAATAATATATATATATAGGGCTTTCAAAGGGGAAAAAAAGACATTTTACCCAGAAATTTAAAAAGAATATGTTTTAGAGCAGTGCGCACAATCCCGTGATACCGTGATATTTTTATCCAAGGTTATCATACCATCAGAATCATATACCGGTCCATGCCTAGTACTGATTGCTTGTCACGCTGATTGGCTGAAACTTTATAATGCATAAAGCACATTTTCACTCTAAGCATTAAACCTAAAGAGAGAACTCTCCTTACCGAAGAGAATAAATAAAGGATGTTGCATATAATCCCTTAAACATGTCTCTTATAACCATTTAGTGAGGACATGTCATGGTCCGAAGCAGCTTTACAGAAAATAATAGATTAAACAGACAAAAAAATTGATAAATAAATAAATCCATTACTTCTTAACTAAAAGGAAGTAGCCCTATACACTACTATTTGTTAAAATAAGTATATTACAAGACATTATATTAAATATTGAGGTTTAAATAATTTTTTTTTTATTTCCTTAATATTTCCAGCCAGATTTTAGTAAACTTGCAATGTTGTCAAAAACAAAGAACTTGCGATTGGTTCATGAGATCGGCCAGATCAGCAAGTCATGAAATGTGATTAACAGATAATCCAGAATTATTATTATTATTATAGAATGACAATTATTTAGTTCTCATTATTTTTTAACCAGGGTTAGTTAAAAAATACTAAAAAAAACTAAACCAACATAAATAATATATATTTAATAAAAAAATAAATAAATAAAGTGCATATTGTTTTGCCTTTGGTAGATGCACAAAAAGATACAACTATGGTTAAATCTCAAAGCATAGTAAGGAAAGTTGAGTTAACACTGGTAAGCTGAGTTAAAGCCTTGCTAAGATGTTCTATGTGGTTGTAACCAGCTCAAGTAAAAAAAATCAAATAAACAACACACCACCTATATATCTCTATAGGCCAATTTCTTTGTTCAAAGTAGTCCTATGGGATTTAAACCCCATCTATGAGGCAAACTAGACCCACTGCTTGACTATTAATATCACAACTCTACTTAAAAAGCTGCCCAATCATATATTTCAGACTTATTTGACATGCAGATGCCATGATGCTAAAAATAGTTCACACACACACACACACACACACACACAAAAGAACAAAGCAGATTTGTAGACCAAATCTCTGATTCATAATAAATGAACTGATTTATTGGAGCTACAAAACCCCATCATAATAATTAGTTTTTTTTTACGTAACCAGACGTAACATGCACAAACCTTTGCCAAGTTTGCCATGGGACTCTTAGGCACGGGCCAGTATAAGATTCTGACGGTATGGTAACCTTGGATAGAAATGTCACATTTTCATGATATTGTGATTACTGCTCTAAAATATATTCTTTTAAAATGTCTGGGTAAAAAACTAAAACTTTTTTTCTCCTTTGAACACAATATATTTTATTTTAAAAGACATTTTTAAATATTTTGGAACAGTAAACATGTCAGGCTAAATAATTAAAAAAAAGTCATTGACATCTGCTTTCTTCATTAGTTTCAAAAACACAAATTTCTTAACAATTTAAAACAGCATCTTTGGATATCTTTTCTGCTGGAGATACTGTTGTCCTAAAAAAGTAAATAAAAAAAAATCGTAGTCTTCTTAAGACTAAGATCTTAAATCTATTTTAAAACCTTGACTTTTCCAAACCACATTATACCTTGAAAACAGCTATCGTCCCATGCTTAATTCCAAGTAGTCTAAAAACCTCTGGAATTGAGAAATGCTGCTTTGGAATACAAACTTTACCAAGCAACAAGCTTGTTGTGTAATATTTTTTTGAATTTTAGCGGCAGGAGTCTATATCAAATCACAAAAGCTAAACTCGTTAAAGGAAATTCTCACTGTGGTGGTGGATTGCATATGGTAAACAGACTAATGAGACTGAGAGGAAGTCCTCAAACATGCAGATACTTCCTCAACATGGTGGTAATGATGTAAGGGAAAAGGTCTCGTTTGCTTTATTCCCAGCATTCACAGACATTACTTCAGGGCAAGCTAATGTTGTTCTTTTAGAGACAATACTGAAGGTTGAGAACAACATGAAGGAAAGCTCTCAGATGTCAAGAGTACAAAACAGAGAAATGAGCTGTGTGTGAGTAACGTTCAATGTGCTTACCTTTTTTTGTACTTGAGTGAAAGAGCCTTCCAGAAGTCAATTTCCTCCTCTTTAGTGGTGAATTTTGGTATCATATTTGCATCCATGACAGATAAACCTGGTAAAATAGCACCAAAATCAAATGCCATCAAAATCAGATCTATTAAAATGTATTAATATTCCCATAAACAGAATACGAGCAGTCTTATGCAAAATATTATGGATTTTGAGGATGAAGTCCAAGTTGGCGTTCACCAAAGTTGGCTGTCTAGCAAGTCACAGATGAATGTCTGCCAAAACACTGAGTTTTATTGGATGTACGCCTGTTCTTCTGCCACAAAATGGTATGGGAACTGTTTTTTTCCCTTCAAAAGTGGTCTTCTCTACTGTTAAGATGTTTCGTGTTGGTGAGACTGGTTAAGGTGACAGAAAATTTCTTAAGCTCTCCATGACTACATTTATTTGATTAAAATGCAGTAAAGATTATGATAGTTTTACCATTTAAAAATCTATTTTCTATTCTAATATATATCAAAAAGAAACATATTCCTGAGATGAGGACAGGGCTCGAAATTGCGACCATTTTGGTCGCATATGCGCCCGAAAATGAATCTATGCGACCTCATAATATATTTGGGCGCATTAGTGCGACTGCAGATAATGGTTGTAGTGAGACCTGTTTTGATATTTTGTAAAAACGTGCTGAATCGCTCTTCCCTGCCGCTACATTGGTTCATATTAGCTGTCAATCACTCAAGGTATTCCGCTGTCAGATGACAGGGAAGGAGCTTTTATGACCACGGGAAATACAAACGGCTGAAGAGTGAAAACTTAAAGCACACAGGTTTGCAAACCCCACCTAAAGTTGAGGCGCAGATGAGAGCGATCATGACACGTAATGGATATTGATCCGCCAGCTGAGATCAATCGAGTACGTGCTTTTCGGAGAAGGTGCCCGAATCTCGATGCGTTGCATTCACTGCGTGTTCAGCGCAAATGTCCGCTAAAAGTCAAATCTAATACTGTACATATCATCGCCAAAGAAGCTCGCCTTTACTAAGTTTACACTGAAACTGCGGCTCATAACAAAGACAGGTATTGCGCCGATGGTCAGCGCAAGAATCCTGCTCTGCCTGCTCATATATTGGGTCGGCTGACTCGCCTGCTTTCCACTAACACAGAAAAGTGAAGATCAGCTCAGACTGAACATTTAAATTGACACAAACTGAAACCAAAACTTTTAGAGTGATAGAAGTGAGACTTTGCTTACTTTCTTTTATCTATTCTTTTTTGAGGTGTATATTATTTTTTTATTTATTTACTGATGACTGCTTTGCAGCTTTCAGCATTGAATTTAAGTATTTATTATAATCTTTTGTTTGTTTTGTAGCAGAAATATTATTTATTAAATTGACATTCATATAAAACAGCAGTACAAAATAAATATTTCTTACTGCAATGCTTCATTTTTGTTTGATGCAAACTATACATTTATTTTTCATAAAGTAACAGACTTTTTATTGCAGATATTCATGCACGTTCAAGGCAGCATCATAATGAGAAATGTAATTCATTGTTACTATTATTGTCATTTTAATTATCATTAATATTCTATAATTATTAGACATTCATTTTGGAATTATTGCACACAAATATCAAGTCATCACAGCATTAGTTAGATAGTTGTTTCTGGTTTTTGTTAGTCCTATTGATGTTGTTTTTAAAATACAATAAATCCCTTAAACTATTTGCAGCGGTGCTCATACATTTTTGGTGGGTGCTCCTAATTTTTTTTCTTGTGCTCCTAAATTTTTTCTGGTGCTCCTAAATATTTGAAGTTGGGAGCACCGGTGCTACCAAGTAAAAAAGTTCATTTCGAGCCCTGGAGGATAATATTAATTTTCAGCAACCATTACTTTATACCTTTAGAAATCATTCATCGCTGCTGATTTGGTACTCAAGAATCTTAAAAACAGTTAAAACATTTGTGCAAATGTTGTTTTTGTAGGAGTCTTTGATGAACTTTTATTAAAAATAACAACAAGTCTCATGAAATGAGTAATGTCTTCTACTCTTAGTTTTGAAGACATTTTTACCATACAGTTGAAGTCAGAATTTTTAGCCCCTGAATTATTAGCCCCCGTTTATTTTCCCCCAATTTCTGTTTAACGGAGAAAAGATTTAAAGCTGCTTTTAATCTAAGCGAAACAAAACAAATAAGACTTTTTCCAGATGAAAAAATATTATCAGACATATTGTGAAAATTTTCTTGCTCTGATAAACATAATTTGGGAATTATTTTAAAAAGAAAAAGAATTTCAAAGTGGGGTTTAATAATTCTGATTTAAACTGTATGTAATACTATAAATCTATGCATGATTATTTACATTTAGCATTGAACTGTGACCCATTTTTCAATCATGACCCAGCAGTTGAGAACCTCATAAACTGAATTGCATCTTCCATGTGTAATCTAGTTGTAGCATGTACCTCAGTTTACCTCTAAGCTGACTGCTGTTGTCCCAAATAATCAATAAGAGTGCGTGCAGTTTGACCCAGCCTGTACCAGCTCAGTACCCTGTTCAAACACGCCAGGACACAATCACCCTCTGGTTATAGGCCACAGCCTGACACAGCATGACTCTTTACTGAGAAAGTGTGTAGTCGATTAGTCTTCATTGATGAGCAATATTTAGTCAGATGAACTAGATTCAGTGCAGCCTTAGATCTACTTGCACAAAGACTGCTAAAACTCCCAACACACCCACACCTTTCTGTTTTTCTCTCAGTTTACTTGTTTTGTCTGTTCTTTTTTCATTCTTCTTGAATTAAAATTGTGTTTTAAAGTTAATCTGGCATCCTTTAAAGATAGATTACATACAATATTCATGCAATTTATCCTTTTTTTTTTCATTATACAACAAGAGCTGGGTGTAAAATGTGTGGCTAGTAAAAAAAAGAAACTGTAATAATCATAATAATAATAAATGTTTTTGGCATTTACCTGTGCACTAGTAAAACCACTGAATGTTAAAATGATCAAATATTAATAGCACCACATCATCATCATCATCAGTTACACTATCCTTTTATTTAACATTTCTATAAGTTTTTTCCAAATGAATTTGATGTGGAGAAATTGATAGAACATCTTGACTGCTTTTGCCAAGGAGTTCAGAGCAGAAAAAGTCTCTCATACATGACATGTTAAAGGCAAAAATTTAAAATGTAATATTAGTTCTATGTTCAAATTAGAAACCTTAACCAATTTAGTCAGTTTAGAAAATAGGACACCCTATATAATATTTAAAATATACAGTTCTGATAGAAATGACATATCGATTTTCATCAATCTTAATGGTCTTTATAAACTCTTAATGAGCTGGAGAGGGCTGCCGAACTGTACTGGGTGACAGGCGCATTAACAACTAAACGATGAATATATCTTCTAAATGTCATCATAAATACTGCCAACACATGTATCGAATACAAGAAAGGTCAATTCTGGCATATTTATTTTATAATACCATCGATATAACGGTGACCCTTCAAATTCCACTCTAGCGATACATTAGCTAGCCAACAGCTGAGCTAACTGACGTTAGCCAGCTAACGTTAACAACAGTGAAGATGCGCTTTGAATTGCCACGAATAGATGACTCTTATATTAAAAATTTTCCGAATCTAATACAAATGTCTGTAGTTAAGATGAAATGTTATTTTCCGTTTGCGTTAACGTTAATTGATTAAATGTAACGTTAACGTAGCAGATGAAGCGAAGGTAACGACAGGGTGTTGTCTTATTTAAGATAAGCCACGGCAGTAATTCAGTGTCAGATAGGATCTTATTATGTATAAAGATATCCACCGTTTGATTTAAAGAACTCACCTGCACATTTCCAGGATCTTGAACGCTGATAGTAGACTGACTGTGGTCCTGGCACAGCCTCAGTGTTTCAGCATCCTCTCTCTCGCTTCAGTGACGTTTGTGTGGTGTGGTGTAAACTGATCTTGGCGACGCCTCTTACAGTAACACGTAAACACGTAACTGGTTATTTATTTATTTATTACTGCGACGTTTTAATAACTTAACTAGTTTATTTGTTTTTAGCTATTTGTTTGTTTTACTTATCGGTACGTTATTAACCTATTAATAACTCCTATTAATAACTTGTTTCAGATTCAGGCCCGATGGGTATTATTTTCCCTCGTTCCAAATTTGTCAGGATCTTTTATAAGCGTCTTTTGCTTTCTTTTTGTAAATATCGTCCATTTATATTTGTGATAATGACAGATTAAATTCTTAAAAAGTTGAATTTACTCTACAAGGCAGTTACACCATTTATTTTGTGGTTCTGCATTCTTTATGTTGTTTAGTAAAAGAATTCACATTTAAATAGCTAAAGTCCTAACTTTAATAAGCTCCCAATATTTTTCAAAGCCTTCCTTCATTTATTCATTATTTTGCCTGAATCCAACACCAGGCTGTCAAAATTTCTATTACTTTAATTTTTAATGTTTCATTCATCAATAATGTCCTTTTGAGTTTCCAGTATCCTTTGTTTAACTTAATGTGTCATATTTATATCAATTGATAATCCTTTATGATCTGTTAAGACAGAAGGTGCTTTCTGGGTCTGAAACAGCAACAACCTAAACGAAGGCATACTTTTTTTTTTTTTTTTTTCGGAAGTGCCATCATTTTCGGTGGCCATTTGTCTACCTGCTATGTAATTAAAGTCCCTTCCTCACATTAGTTCCCCATATAGTAGCCTATCAGGTATTTATTTCTTAAATTGCATACATTTTAGTTCAACATTTCCATAAAATATATTATTTTGTTGTTGCTGGCTTATGAATTCATCAGTAATAGGACTCATCAATGCTTACTTCCATGACCTCTGATAGTACCCATCATACAGAATCATCTCACTCAAATGAACATGACCCTTACATTTTGCCTTGAGTATTGCGACCCCTGCTGCTCAATTGCTGCCATCAAATGTCGTCTATCCATCGACTCCTCCAAAATGTTTTATCTGTTATCTGATTTTGTTTCCTGTACAAACTAATAATCTACACCGTTCTGTTCACAATATAAAAACAAAGCTTTTCTTAAAAAAAGAAAAAAAAAAAATTAGATAGACCGGCATTAATAGAATAATACTGAAATAGGCAAACTTCAATGTCTTTTTCTTTTGTTAGTGTTTAAGACTCAAACAAGTAGACCCCCTAATTGTTATTAGTATTTGCAAATAATATGTTTTCTTAATTTTCAACTCTATACCTAAACTTTTATCGTAATTATTAGGCTACCAGTGTTTCTCCAATAAAGATATGTGGTTAAAAAAAAGATCAGTCCATCAGGTGGTGCTGTAGTTCATAGACTAAATGTTCAAAACATCTCCAAACTAACATCCCCTAAACAATTACATTAAACAGCAGGACATGAACTGTAACTACTGTAGTGGCCGACAAACTCTGTTAGACTAGTCTTAAATAATAGTCATCACATTTTAAAAACTGGTCATAAACTTTCAAAAGTTAGATTGATCTAATATGAATCTGAAAACCAAGTTTGATTAGTGTGATTGGAACTATTTGGACAGCTCAGTCTTAAAAAATGTATTGAAATTAACTTAAAACCCTCAGAGTGACTATCCAAGACATTTCTGAGTCGAACAAAAAGTACGTTTATCAAATACATTTGCCAAATGCTCCGTTTATTGCACAGAGCGAATGTTTTAGACCACAGTTTTAGCTTAAAATCTTCCAAAATAATTAGCAAATATAATTTCTTTTGGGTGAACTGTCCCATTAAAACACTCGTATGCTACTGCAAAATTTAAATCCCATAAATGTATGTGATTTGGTACTAAATGATCACTATTAACCCCCAAAACACAAAGAAACGGGCTTAATCACAGGTCAGAATAATAATTTTTTATTTGGGTTAGACAGCATAAAACATTTATACAGAATGCATTACATATGTTTATAGGCAGATAATCATTTTACAATTAAATATTACTTTTTGTTTTCTTCACAAAAATGTATGGCATTTCCTTCCAAGTTTTTATTTACAAAAAGTCTGTCAACAGGGTATAAAATGACCCAACACAAATTCAGAAAGTTCATATATTTCCCATTGGAGGGTAATGCTACTTTTTCACTTTATCTGTGAGGGTACATTTTTAGTCAAATAAATAAAACCGTGACATTTGAGACACGTTTCTTACATTTTTTTTATCCTACCCAGTGTGAAAAAGGCTACTACTACCACAAAGGAAACAACATCTTATTTTAAGAGCATGTATATGCTGAGGAATTCAGTGTTACAGCAGGCCATCAGTAGTTGGAAAGTTCATTCAGACATGTAATAATTCATATCTGCCAGTACATAATGACAGACGATCTGCAGGAAACGGGAGGAAATGTATATGTGTCAGTACAGTGTGAAGATATCTGTGCTGACAAATATAGTCAAGTACTGTAAGATAAACAGATCCAGTGATGAACAGAAGGACTTTTCACATTGTTTAACCCAGGATATTGTGGAACAAGGCTCTTAATATTGGCTAAGTTAACATTTCACACTGGAAATTTAGAGGTAAAGATCTGGTTTGTTGACCAAGATGGTTTAAAACAGAATTAGCACTGTATTTACACTGTTGATTCCACATTATGGTGCCAAATATGCAGCATGAAAAACATAAGGTGTTAGAATGTTATGATTAGTAACTGAAGAGCCAGTTGCCTTGTATTTGCATGCTCCAGATTGTAGCGCAATCAGTGTTTGAAGTGTAGAATTGTGACACTGGATTACAAACCTATGAGTGTCAAGATTTTTACACACAAGAGTTAAGATTTATACATAATTGGAAAACTGAATGAATAAGCCTTTAGTTAATATATGGTTTGATTGGGGGATATTGGACAATATTTAACTGCAATAAAACTTTAAAAACAATATTACTAATAATAAATTACATTTTGATATATTTACAATAGGAAGTTGATCACATATCTTCATAGAACATTATCTTTACTTAATATCATTATGAGTTTTGGCATAAATTTTGACAATTGCAATTGTAATTGCCCAGAATATACCCATACAACTTATTCCAGGGTCACAAATATTGATGAACAACATTTTAGTTGATGGAGTGAAGAACAGATTCACCTTTTTTGCAGGTGCACCTAAGGTTCTATTTTTTTTTTTTTGGTAAAGTTCAATATATGAATAGTAAATAATACATATTTTAATAATAATAATACAATTATTATTATTCATTTGTATTATTATTAAACCTTTTGTTGTTTGTCTGTTTATGATACCAAGAAGTTAAAATAATAGGATAAGATATACCCGTTTTTAAAGTCAAGAAGCTGTTGTTTCATACAACTAAAAACACTTTCATGTTACGTAGTTCACTCAACTCTTCCTCAACTTTTAGAGTTTCTTTATTTTCTCTTAAACACAAAAGAAAATATATTTGAAAAATATTGAAAACTGGTGGCCATTGACATCCTTAGTAAGAAATAAAGATCATATCGAAGTGGATACTGGTTTTCAACATTCTTCAAAATATCTTCTTTTGTTTTCGGAGAGAGAAGGGGTGAATAAATGATGACATAAATGACATGTTTAGGGCAAACTGTACCTTTAGAATAAAGTGGATGGTCCAAAAAGTTTGTTTATAGAAAAAAAAACTGATAGCAGTTAGCAGTGCCAGGGTGTACAGAGCCTTAATATAAGGTTCTTGCGCTGCAGTTAATCAAATGAATGACTGATTCCACATACATCCAGTTAAGGATATCAGCAGTGTTTAAGATTGTACAGTGTGAAATACAGAATAATAATTGTTGACATTGAGTAAATTGTTAGCAGTGTGAAATAAAAAGATGTTTCATGTTATAAAACAAGTTTCTAATAGGTAACAACAAAATAACAGTTAGGGTTTGGGTCTGCAGTTTATACTCTTCAATTGGGAAGAAAACATTGGGGCAGGGGTCATCAATCTCAGTGCTGGAGGGCCGGTGTCCCTGCAGGGTTTAGCTCCAACTTGCCTCAACACACCTGCCTGGGTGTTTCAAGTATACCTAGTAGGACCTTGATTAGCTTGTTCAGGTGTGTTTGATTAGGATTGGAGCTAAAATCTGCAGGACACCGGCCCTCCAGGAACAAGTTTAGGGACCCCTACATTGGAGTATCATCACGTTACGTTTACCACAGACCTTATTTGACTGATTCTTTGAAAAATACTCTTTTAAAACACAAAAGGAAAATCTCAACAAATGATTCTCGTGGGTTTTGACAAATGCGTTCTGCTACAACATTGATGTGCTCTGTGCAGTGATGGAAATGCCACACAGTCAAAAATGTAAATACTGCTGAAAACTGTAGACGAGAGTAAAATCAATTCTTATCATTTGCACAAAAGTGCATTGAGGAAAAGATTAGAAAGCACTATGCAACATAAATAAATGATTAGGATTCGCAATTCATTCACCCATGATTTAAGAATGTAGGCTACAGTGTAAAATGCCAGTGTACTCATACACAGATTTATCTGTCAATCAGTGTGATTTGATTCTGTTCTGAATGATCCAGAGTTAACTTTTTTTGTGAAAAGCCCACTAGAAAGACTTGCATAGGCTAAAGATTATGGCAAGCTGTTTTAACATCTAATCCAAAAATCATGCTAGTACTGTATCTTTTTACTAATTCTTATTTTTGAAATTATAATATCTTTCCCATTAAGTAGTAGCATGTTTTTCTTTTTATCTACTAGTGCTTATTGTTTCATTCATTCATTCATTCATTCATTCATTTTGTTTTCGGCCTAGTCTCTTTATTAAACCAGGGTCACCAAAGTGTAATGTACCGCAAACCTATCTAGCACATGTTTTACGCAGTGGATGCCCTTCAAGCCGCAACCCATCTCTGGGAAACATCCAAACACACTCACTCACACTCATACACTACAAACAATTTAATTAACCCAATTCACCTTTACCGCATGTCTTTGGACTGTGGGGGAAACCGGAGCACCCTGAGGAAACCCACGCGAATGCAGGGTGAACATAGCGAACCAGCGACCTTCTTGCTGTGAGGCGACAGCACTACCTACTGCGCTACTGCGTCTAAACTTATTGTTTAGATACTATTATATATATTTTTAAAGATAGTACTTATTTATTCGTAAGTACGAGAACTTAATGAATAACTATTAGTACTTTACATTTATTTACTAGTCACAATTGGAATGGGAGTCAAAACATGCCCATCTGGGCCAAATACTGTTTCATTTTCCATGGTGGTGCTGATAAGGGAGCTCTTTGGAATGTAATACAGTTGTTGCCTTGTGCAAGTGTAATTTAAACAGTGATATGGATAATGATTAGACGTTTCAGTTTTTGGGACTCCTTTAAAAAAAATGTGTACCAATTAATAAATATCAAGCTTCCACTTAGCTAGCAATAAAGAAAAATGCAGCCAGGCCAAAGAATTGCAATGCCTCACACACACACACACACACACACACACACACACACACACACACACACACACACACACACACACACATTCTGTTCCAGAATGATTGTCTAATCATCCCTAAAAGTTTGTGATGAGAAAGTTTTCAATCATGCTGTGTCATACCAGGCTGCCAAAAACTGCAGATGGAACCACACCTCACTGTTCTTAGAACCTAATTTAGGTATACTACAGGAAAAACGACTAATATAATTGTTACCAGTCACTAATTGAAGTCACCATGAAATCAAAATGTCCTTTTCTTATTTTTTTATGTATATACAGCAGTACTTATTATAAACAAAACATCTGTGAAATGAACCACTAATATTTTGTATTAAACTAATTTGTCTTCATAAACTTTAATCAAATAACTTCACTTTCTGGTCACCTGGAATTCGTTTAGGGCAGGCATATGAGACACCTGGCTTTCAACAATCCAATCGGTTCCCAAAGGAACAAATCATGCTCCTTTTCAAATGTATGCACGTCTTCCGATTCAAGGCAATTTTAAATACTAGTTTTTAATGAATAAATACTAGAAACTTTTTAATAGCTATTAATAGTGTCCATTTAATAAGTAGTAGTATCTAATAAATAAGAACTAGAATATAATACATAATGAATAAGATAAAAAATACTAATATCAAAAACTGGGTATTGCATGAAAATAAATATTAGAACAGTTTATAGATTAAATGTTAAAACGGCTTGCCACATGAAGATGCCATATTTGACTTTACATATGTACAGCAACAAAATATCTACAACTCTTTCATGTTTGCATAATTCTTTAAGAAAGTTTTAACGTTTAAACTTTTAAAAAGAACACTGTCTTTTTAGCGCTGTCCAGTCCTTTCTCTGCGGTCAGTCTTTGCCTCGATATGTGATGTTTGTGAATGTCGACGTGGCGCCTTTATAAAGGGGATTGTGACCCTACAACAGGAAACACAATGTTATCATTCAGTATCTATTAAGAATAGTCAACATATGCTTTTCTAGCCTCAATCCTCCCTAAACAAGAGTCGTATTACACACATTTTAAGATAAAAGGTGAAGCGGGGAGTGAACAGAAAGGATCAGAGGGTTCACATGTGGTTTGAGACCTCACGGGGAAAACCTAATTAGCACTGGATAATTGAAAACAAAACTTGCTCAAGGGTACGGAGACATTTTCTTTGTTCTGAAAGGGAAAACAGCATGCCACCGAAACAGTAAAACCATCCTGCCAACATCTATAGTTCTGCGAGCTGCACAGTCAATTGTCCAACAGATTCGCAGTTGATTCATTTTCATATTACAAGTTTTTTAAAATCTAAATATACAAGTGGACCATTGTTTAAATGTGTATTCATTTGTAAATCTGAATATCAAAAAAATCAGGTTTAAAAAAGAGCTGTGGTGAAAAATCATTTGAGAAATTAATTCTGCATTGAGATTTTTTAAATGCATCACCGTTGACTCTTGAATGGGTTCTGAGCTTAGTTTCTGAGCTTAGGTTCTGAGCGCTGTATGTTTAAAGCCTAGCTTACACTACAAGACTTAAAACATTGGTGTTATTCTGTCATTGTCCACATGTGCACGGGTATCTTTATAAACATGCTGCATTGCCATTGTGATCACATGCTCAACAGTGTGTATTTTTTGCACTTCACTGACCGTTTCCCACTTAGCTCGTGCCCGCTCCTCCTCAAACTTCGCAAATTCACGCCGATCATGAATGGTTATTAATAGTTTCCAGATAAGCAAGGCGGCAAGACCCAAGAATAAGATGGCACCAGCTACTGACAGCAGCACCACCAAGATATCGGGGCCTTTAGGGCAATCTAGTGGACATGAAAGAGAAAACGAGGGTGTTAAAAAGGATACAATAATATGCTACAATACACAAATTTACTGTTGGAAAGATATCATAATGTGTTTTTGAATGTAGTCTATTAACGCTGTATATATTTTATAAAAATATGGTAATTATTTAGTGCTTTTTAGTTATTTTGGACCCGTTTTTAAAGAAATTTTTAAAGTCAGAATTGTATAAAACCTGGTAATAATAAATACACACACATACACAAAAAAGACATTTGTTTTAGTCAATTGTGAGGACATTTTATAAGTTTCCATTGTTTTTATACTGTACAAACTGTATATTCTATCACCCTAACCCAACTCTACAGGAACCTGCATTTTACTTACAAGCTAATTTTGTATGACTTATAAGTCTTTTGAAAAATTGCCAGTGTCCTATGTTAAATGGGTTAAATGGTCCTAAAAAAAAACAAATTTTTGTTATAAATGAGCACATTGGTATAATCTCTAATGCTGAGTAATTTCTGAAATAATTTATGCAGATTTACCACTTAACTACCATTTATAATTATTATAAATGTGGAAACTATAATTGTTTCATGAATAGTAAGTTATAAATTATAGTTGCCTACCCTACAAGGTTTAACAAAATGTAATGTATCCTGGCATAACTAAAGTTCTTTATTTAAAAAAAAAACACAATAAATTATTACAGACCACAAACATTTGAGTAGCAGTGTATATATATGCATCTTGATTTCTTTTCTTTTACTGTTTATTTATTTATTTATTTAAAATCTCTGTAATCTCTCCTTTTTATGTTGTCCTGCGTTGGCTCTTTGCTTCCTGTCTGAAGCTTTCCTGTCCCAGTGGGAATTACACTGTGTCAGCGGCTTCCTCAGTAGCTTGCATGTTGTTTATTGCCGTGTGTTTTTACAAGGTGGGTTTTGAGGCTGTGTGCGCCACTAATAGAGCCCGTGTTCCACATGTGTGTCCATTAAAGTGGCAGACTCTCACTGCAGGCTCCTGGATTTACAGCCGTCACACATTGAACACACACACCTCCATACACTACCACAAACACTGCAAACTCCAATATTCTTCAGTCTCTAATACTAAGAAATACTCAAAATAGATATCAAATGAAACTTACCTTTGTCTTCTCAAACTCTTCTTGTACAAAGATGGAGACCAGAATTTAATATGTAATAATCACTGGTGCAGGTCATTTTTTCTATAGAATTGAGAGCATTTGTAGTATGTTACCTGGCTCTTTGACCAGAGACAAGATGGATTTGCCACTGTTGTCCTCGTAGTACTGAAACCTTTGCACACAGTCGTCCTCATCCTTATAGGTGCAATTCACTGCATTCTTATCATGGAACACTAGGGTTAGAAACAAGCTGTTACAATTAAATGTAGACAATTTATATAAAACAAAAAAACTAAAATAAAAAATAAAATAAAAATATTAAACTAATATAAAAACAAAACGACAAAAATACAATTTAAAAAAAATAAAAGGATGAAATGTTTTGGATATCTAGTCAATGTAATAATGCAATACCAAGATCATCCACTAGTCTGATTTCATCTCTGCAGATGCGAGTGCAGGAATCATCATCGAAGAGTTTCCCTCTCTTGAAGTGCTTACACTCTACACACTCCCTAGAAAAATAGCATTTCAAACAAATAATCTTAAGTATAAACATAATAATGGTTTTTAAATGTTAGTAAACAAGTCTCTTCCACTCACCAAAGCTGTGATCAAAAACATGGCATCAATAATAGTTCGAAAAATATTACAAAATAAACAAACAAACCGTTTCTATTGTTTTCAATTTGATCTGCTGTGTCAGAAACATTATTAATACAAAATATTAAAGTCTGTGTAAAAATCAGATTTTCTAATATTTATTTTGTTGTTGCATATTATTGTTCTTTGGGTAAACAATTTATTTAAAAAAATTCATTAATCAAAAAAAATTATATATATATATATATATATATATATATATATATATATATATATATATATATATATATATATATATATATATATGTATGTATGTATGTATGTATGTATGTTTGTATGTTTGTATGTATGTATGTGTGTGTGTATATATATATATATATATATATATATATATATATATATATATATATATATATATATATATATATATATATATATATATATATATATATATATATATATATATATATATATATATATATATATATATATATATATATATATATATATATATATACATAAGTTGTTTTGGTAATCTTAAATCAAAGTTTGACCATTTGCTTCTGTGTTTTTTTTGTGGTGGCAGTATTTCTATGTTGATGTCAGTTTGACAGCTTCAGACACAACATTCTTAGCCACGTCCCTCTACCGTTAGTTTGCTACAAGAGAATGATGCTCAAAAAGAAAGTCTCATCCCTACTCAATATTCAGTTTTAGTGGAAAGTACATCAACATACTAAAATAAAAGTCTCAGGAACTTCCCATTCAAATATTAATTTTAATAAAAAATTAACGTTTTTTTCACATTATTACTGCTTTTAATGGCTTTCTTAAAAACATTCATTATTAAAAATGTTTAAAAAAAAAAACCATGTTGGAATGCTGTTTCAAACATTTTTTATGCTTCTTAATATCAGTATGACACTCACTTCTTCAGTGTGCAGGCGTCAGGGCAGGTGGGACATTTGTCGCAGGTAGATCCATAAGCACCTGGTTGAGTACATTCACAGCTGCCACACACACACTGACCCCGACCGCTGCACAGCAGACCCAAGCTGGACATACAGGTGTCTGTTCGAGTGGAACAGTTGCAGTTTTCCCCTTTCCAGTCCGGATCACACTGACAAAACCCACAGTAACAAGTGCCATGACCTGGAGTGAGCCATTAAGGGGAAAATAATATGAGGATGGAAATGAGTGAGCAGACTTCACATGACTGTACTGGATAAAGTCCATTTCAAGGAAAGTATGTTAGCTCAGACGGCATATTTGCAATGCATGAGGGTGGCTATTTTAGGCATCTAAGACCAAGTTTGTGTCTGAATAATCCCACCTCCTTACTATATATTATAACAGTTTGCAAGCTAAGTAGAATGTCAGAAATCATACTAATCATTAAAATAAAAGCTTAAGAAATACAATTTCTCATTATTTACTCCTCCATCATTTGTCACAAAACTGTTTGAGTTTCTTCTGATATAAATTTTGACAAGATGTTTTGAAAAAATGTTGGAAAACGGTAAGCATTGACTTCTATAGTATTTGCTTTTCCTACCAGTTTTCATCATTCTTCAAACTATCTTTTTTTGTGTCCAACAGAAAACAAAAAGTATTAAGGTTTAAAAGGATGAGTCCATTTTTTTTTTTTAAGTGAACTATTGCTTTAAAGAGCAGGTCATATGAAGCACTCTAATATAATTTTGGAGTGTAAATGGCACATATATGACCAATGTTTCCTTTACAAATATTATTGAGAACATTACATATTCTATTCTAAAACATAAAACCTCTTACAAAAGCTAACACATATTTTAATATCATACAAAAATAAACAATGAGGATATTTATTAAGAAATTAAATGTATTTTTTAATTATTTATTACAAAATGAAAAAAAAAACACTTTAATAATAACATTGATGATAAAGATGATGATTACTACTATTATGTAGGATATTGTTTATTTATTTTATAATTTTTTCGAAAAGTCTAATTTTACACATGCAAACCACTGCAAAAATATTCTAACCAACAGGCTCATGTCCTATACAGTTTAGATACTTAATAAATAACCTACCATAAATTAAAAGCATTAACGTTTGCTATGTTTTTTTTGTTTTCACCAGCTTATAAATTCTGCTTTTAAATAATAGGTCACCTGCAGCTTTCGTCATGAGCCATGGCTATGTTTAAAATGACATCAATGTATTCAAAGTACTCTGCGAAGGGAGCACAATTGTAAACATGAAGATCGCTAAACCTGAACTGTACAAATACTTAAATTTGTTTTTTTTTAATAAATAAATAATCTCAAGTTTAAATGTCAGAATGTTCTTAACAAATAGGGTACAGGGGGGATAACTGCCAATAGAACACAGCCAGGAACTATGTTTCTAACTACAGCTCCAGAGGTGTAGTTGCAAGCATACAAGTTTCCAACGTAGTTTGTAAATGTTCGTTGGAACGATAGATTTGGGAAATGCCAAATCAATGAACTTTGTTTGTTACGACGGAACTTGCGATCAGTTGGCTAACAATGGTTTTCGGAAACACACCGCTGATTAGTCAGCTGGCTAAGTCTGTTTTTATTAGTCTTTTCATGTCTGAACTGAAACTTCACTTACAGAGTGTTCACATTTCACATGCATGTGTGGATTTTGCAGATTTTTCTACTTTGTGAAAAATTATAACTAGAATTACTCTTTTAGAAGATTTAGAGCCAAGCATTCATTTGAGAGACAGTATCTTTATTTATCATTCACACTTTTGATTTAAAATGTTGCAGACTGTTTACATTTGTACGTTTATAAACTGCAATTAAGATGATTTTCAAAAAACCTAAGTACTATTAAATACTTCTCTGACTGTCAGAAGTAATTTATCCAGATATTTGGTTTTCCACCTTAAGTGTACACCACTGAAAAATCAGATAAAAGATAGGAAAGAGTGCAACAGACCAGAAAAAACAAAACAAAAACAAAACAAAGCTCTAGTGAAATAGGAAAACAGATTTTTAAAAAATAACTGACAGTGTCATGATCACAGCAATCCACTCCTGGCAGATTACTGATAAACTACACATCACACCAACACACTACAATTCCCATCATGCTGTTTCACACACACCGGTTGCCGTTCACCACTGATGACTCACACACAGGTGAATCTCTCATCACTGATCATCTGGACTGGACTTTGTTTGCTATTTGTTTTTGCCTGCCATGGTTCTGATCTTAGTTTGTTATTGACCTAGTTTTTGACCTTATGCCTGTTTTGGACTATGCTTTGCATATCATGTATGTACCTGTTTTGCCCCTGTTTTAACCATTGCCTGCTTACACGAATACTCTTACTAAATTGCACTTGGATCCATACTTTTGTTGTCTGAGATCCATCTCTGCACATGACAGACAGATTTGTTGTGACAGCTGACGTTGTTAACTGACTGCACTGTCCTAGCTTATTGATGCACAATATGCACATACACATGCAGTCCTATGCACTGTACACTTCAGACTTGTTACTATACTTTACCACAGCCTCCAATGGCATAGGTATATACACTAGATGTTGCATACGGACCCTGAGTTTGAGTCAATAGTGCTGCCATATTTGTACAGTGCTCCCAGGACAAAAGTCATTCAACCACACTAGTCAAGACTAAAGCCAATCTGAAGATGCTGGACTTTTGCGCTGCGAATAGGTTTAGTAATGAGCAAACGAAGAAAACAAAGCACAAAGGCAGAACATTTCATAGATAAGATCTTATTTTTACATTTTTGTATGTTACTAAACAAGTATTGATGATAATACAGTCTTTTACTGAACTGACAATAAGGCAAAGTAGCAACAACCCACACTAAATACTAGGCTTATGCTAGTTTTGTTGAATAAAATAAGCAAACCATGTAAATAAAATATGACAACAAGATGCTGCGGGGCTAGAAACTTGTATTATTGTCGGCTAAATGAACAAGTCGTTCATAACGGAGATTCATTCACAAACAAATCGCTCCCTACGTTAGAATGAAGCAGACTTTCCACTGCACACTACATTACGACTACGACTGTCATATTACGCCCCTTTGTGGCAGTCGCACAATATTTTCAGTTCTGACTTGCACTATGGCAGAGAAGCTGTTCTTGAAGTGTCCAAAATAGAGGAGTGCAAAAGCAAGAGCCATTATTCTCTGTGCAATCACAGTGGTTGAATGAATGAATGAATACTAGAAACTCACAGACCACTAAAATATTGGAGGGAATGTGGAGGCAACATTAAAAAATTATATTTTTATTACTTTGTTACTTACATTTATAAACAGAAGTGTTTTCTGTTAATATAGACTTTTTTTCTAATTCAAAAAATAACCTTAAAACTGCTATTTCTCATCTCGCGCACACAGACCTGCTTGGACAACACTGGAATACATCACATCCGGTCGGCCGGTCGCATACGGTTTAGTTGCAGGAGTTTAAATATTTGAACGAATCCGCAGCTCAGTTCGGATGCGAATTTTCCGCATACGGTCATGATCGGAACTTTGACGCATTCCTTCCAATAGACAACAATAACGTAGGCAACATCTAATGTAAATATCTATGGTCCATTGGTAGCTGGCTCTTGCATTTAGAAGCCAGGAGCTATACCATCATAATGCATGTTCCACATTCTCCTGTTCATAGGTAATCTGAGTGCACCATGAACTCTTTGAAAAAGGCTTAGATGGTAAATGTTTTTTTATTATTATTAAAATATAATAAATATGTTTTATATTTGCTTGTGTCACCCTTCCGAGACAGTTTCCAATCCCATAATGTCATCATGAGGTTAGTTTGAACTCGAGCCCATAGAAGTTGAACATTCCACTCATGCGCTGAAAAAAGAGACTTGTTCCCAAATATTATGTCGAGCCTTTCCATGGTACAAAAATGAAATTCCCCTCTGGCGATCATGCTCAACTGTTGTCAAAAAGCTCCATCTTTCTTTTTTTTTAATCCAAGGATTTCTAAAAATGGACATCTGGTGCTGGTAAATGTGAGGAATGTTAGAGAATTAATGTGATGAGCGTTATATATTTCATTTGACTTTCGAAGATGGAATGCTGGGCCCCATTACATGCCTGATTTACAGATATAATTATAAACACGTCTGCGGCAATGTGCGTGTTTTTGTTAAAGATTACAACGCTTTATTCCTTAGCAAAACAGTGACTTATGAGTGACTGGGGATTTAGACTGGAAAAACCCCCCCAACAATGATGTGGCTAAATTCAAAAACTAAACCGAATGGCTAAACAATGGCTAACCAAAAGCAAAAAATAACATTGAATGTAATTACTATTCCCACAGAAAAACAATGCAAACACTCTCATCATCCCTAACACCACTTTACTCCCTCCCTAAGCTATTTTTGGTTCAATGACATCATCAGTGTGTGACAACGCAGAAAGGCATTTTCTGGATAAGTTTGAACCTCTGGGAATATGCTATTGAGGCTTTAAGAGACCTCTTGTAGATCCAAAAGATATTTTCTCCTACAAACTTGCTGAAGTCGAAATCTGGAATCATGTACACAGAGATCTGGTTTTGCTTAAGCAAGAAACCAACCCCCTTTCCAAGAGGTACACAACTTCAGGAGGAGCACAACGGCATTTAGTCATTTTATATGAAGCGTTCCAGCTCAAATGCGCCTCAGTGGAACATCAACACCTCGTCTGAAGAACAAACATGCACGTCTCAAATAGGTCAACACAGGGTTTAGTCGGCCAAGTCCCACAGAGCGTGTTTATTTATAAGAGGAGCTCGTTCTTCGGCTAATGCAGGAGATGTTTTAGTGTTATTATTGTAGGTAATTCCTTTGAGGTGATGTGAGGCAGGGAACAGGGAATCTTACTCGTGAAGAAAGACGTTTGTACAAAATAATAAGCTCTGAAGAACACAGACTGTTCATGGCTGGTCAGCGGTGGTACAGACAGTCGGCCCAAAAATATTTGGATGCTGAAGTCACACTTAAAAGTCAATAATTAAACCGGTGGCATTGTTTTAAGCACACTACTGTATGTAAGTATTTGTAAGATTTTAAAACGACTAAAATGTATTTGACAAAAAGGAAAACACATTTATAAAACTCATCTATCTGTAACTACATTAATAAATGAACAAATAAACAGCAACTTTAAGTACAACATACAACTTTAAGTAACCGCAAGCTGTATGCGTTTATTTCTTTAAAAAGAACTGACTCATCATTGAATTAGTTGCTTAGAAATGATGAGATCACAGTAGTTTTGCTGAATGTTTTACTTAACTCATTACTCATTACAATCATTTGTTATTAAATCCGTCTAAACTGGTTCTGGTTTTGGTCCATTAAAAAAACTAAAACGCTTCAAAAGAATAATTTGGTTCCGGAATCCGACTACATTGGTTGTGATGTATGTTTCTGATTCACTAAAAGAGTCATAAGAATCATTTGTCTGGGAATCAAATTTACACTGTATGAATTAGATGTACTAAATCCTACTCATAGCAATTTCTTTTCCCTGAAACTGGACCACATTGGAAGTACTGTTCGTATTTGTTTCACTAGAAACCGTGGACTCATAAAGAATCATTCATTTGGAATCCAGATCGGTTCTGCTTTATGTTTCTGACTCAACAAATGAACAATTCATTAGAATCATTTGTTTAAGAACTAGACTTGAGTGGTTGCACTATTTGATGTTCTTAATTACTAAAAACAAATAAAACAGTCATTTGTTCAGGTCACACTGGTTGGGTTGTATGTTCCACTAAATAGACTAAAAAGACTCATTATAATAATTTGTTTTTTTTTTTAAATTGAACTACATTGGCAGTGCTTCATGTTTGTAGGTTGCTAAAAAGAATTCATCTGTGAATTTAGACTAAAATAACCAATTCCAATAGTATCTGGCTGCAGCCATGATAATGCAAACTGAGATTGCATATCTCACAGATGCAATGTCAGACACAATATATTCAGTGGAGTTAGTGACGTCACCATGAGGGGTAGAGTTAGGGGCAGGCATTAAAAAGCATTGCATGCAGCTCAGATTGCAACTGCACCAGGTCTGCATCCAGACCCCTCTCACCAATTCCCATAAAAACACCCAAAACCATTGACAACAATCAATACAAGAGACGATTAGGACTCACTGCTTACATTGCATGCATTTATCAGCCAACAACCTAGTTTTACTATAGATTTGTCTGGTGTCTATATAAATTTGTAAGTGTTATAATAAGTGTTTTGAAAGTTTTATAAGCTAGTCACAACTGTGTTTGCGTCTTTAGAGAATTAATTTTTTGCAGCATGAGGCACCTTTTTTGTTTTTAAAAAAGTGTTCTATTGTTATTATGTGTTTTGCATGTATGGCTCATGCTTGCCTGCTACACAGCGTGATTTTTGACTGTGTGCTCTGTGCGCCTGCAGCTGAAAAAGTCAACTCTGCAGAAAAAGCACCTGAGCAGCATCAAGACCGTTTATACAGCGTAGTTGCCTGAACATCATAAAATGTGTTTTGAAAAGTCTTTCAAAAGAGAAAATTTTAAAAATGCAGTGCGTTTTACTTTGCTTTTTCAGAACTGAAAGCGTGTTCCACATCCAACATCAAAACATTCATTAGTGTCAAAGTTTTTTTTGTTTGTTTTATTGCCGTAATTGTCTCTTCTTAATTCATCATTTAACTTCTTTTAATTCTCTGGACAAGTGCCGCTTTGCGGAAAGCCCTTATATAGAGCTGGTGTAGGTGTGTATCATGCAAATCAGTAAAAAAAGTTCCCTAACAGAAGAATGAATTTAAGAACAAATTCATGTGTGTACGCATGTGTTGTGAATTAGGGGGAAAGTTATGGTGAGAAGTTCTAATGTGCATTTAAATAAAAAAATGCATTATTAGCAAATGAGACCTGTTGTTTTAGTTTGAAAATGCTGGTCTCTATTTCAGTATAGACTGAAAAAAGAGGCTTGGCAACCCACAATGGCTCTACGATTGGTCTTTTGGGCTACTGCAGAGATGGGCAAATGTGATGCTGCATTCACACTAAAGTTTGTGCTAGCGCAATTCTGTAGTACGGCACTGCGAAAAGGGGCGGGATTAAACAAGATGATTAGCCATTAAAAAAAGGTTGATTGGTCCATGTTGCCGGCTTTCGGATGAGACGTTAAACTGAGGTCCTGACTCACTGTGGTCATTAAAAATCCCATGGCACTTCTCATAAAGAGTAGGGGTGTTACCCCGGTGTCCTGGCCAAAGTCCCTCAATCGGCCACTATGATCTTGGCCTCCCAATCATCCCCATCCACCGAATTGGCTCTATCACTGTCTCTCCACTCCACCAATAGCTGGTGTGTGGTAAGCAATCTGGCGCCGTTGTCCTGTGGCTGCCGCCACATCATTCAAGGGAATGCTGCACACTAGGGGTGGTGTAGCATAATTGTGAAGCGCTTTGGGTGAATGGCCATACACAGAGTAAATGCGCTATATAAAAATACACATTACGTTACAAAACATGTTTTCAATTTTTGTCCAGAGAGGTCATGTTTTGATTTTTGGTTGGACTCACGCAATCATGTGAGCTTGAACTTTCCAATGCAGTAAACTGCAAAACTTGTCGCTTGAGCTTGCGTTTCCGGTTTGACGCATTCACGTGAATACGAATAGAAGTCTATGGGGAGAAAAGTGCAGTGTGACCGCAGCTTGATTCTTCAGGGCTGATGTCCCTGAAGTCTTTTGCTCGCACAGTAATCAAACACACCAGAACACACTAATCAGTGTCTTCAAGATGACTAGAAAGCTATAGGCAGGTGTGTTTGATAAGGGTGGGAGCAAAACTATGCAGGACACTGGCTCTCCAGGATGAAGTTTGCCTATCCTTGGACTACTGCGTAAGTGTTTATCATTCCCTCATTCGTAAATTCTCTCTTACATCACCATTAAATGAGTGGTAGACATAAATACAGATGGCAGCAAAATATGCACATGCTCAATGAGAGTGAATAGTCTTGTATCAGGCATTTTAGGCTATTAGTGCAGGGGCTCTCTAACTCAGTCCTGGAGAGTTGCTGTCCTACAAAGTTTGGGGTGTCCTACAACCCCAATCAGACACACCTGGGCTAGCTAATCAAGCTCTTACAAGGTTATTGAGAAACATCCTTGCGTGTGTAGAGGCACGTTACAGCCCTTTAGGACCAAGTTTAAGAACCCCTGCTCTAGTATAAATGGCATAGAAAAAAAAACTCATCACACTAAACAAAGTAAATATGTCTTACCTGAGCAGAGCTCTCCTTTATAGCGCAGGCAGCTGAAATCATCACACTCGCATCTCTTCCCCCATACTTTGCCGAAGTCATTATTGTGACAGACGCACTGTCCGCACACACAGTCTCCCCGGCCGCTGCAGATCACCTTGTCTGGCCCACTGCAGGCGTCCTGTTCTGTTGGGCTGTAGTCGCCCTCTGCACATTCGCAGCGGGGACCCAGCCGCCCCGGGTGACACAGGCAGATGCCACACTCATAGGTGCCATTGCCGTGGTGGCAGACGGGACTCTCAAGCTCAGCCTTTGCTTGGCATTTACACTCACATTCAAAGTTGACTGTGATCTGCAAGGTGTCTTTGAAGCCCACTGGTTTTATAGTGAAGGTTTTGCGCTTCTCCTTCGGACAGCCTCTGGCTCGGGCTTCAACACTGAAGGACACCTGGAAAGATGATTTTGATGAATGTGTTAGAAAGCAGACATTATTTATTTCATATGGGGATGCTCAAAATAATCGATTAACCGTTAACCGAAAGGGTGCGTTTGTGACCGATTAATGCTATCAGTTAAACGATTAAAATTATTATTTTATATATTTTTAGTTTGACTGCATAAGGGGCCGATTGAATGCGCCTTTGCGTAAAGAGGGGCATCTTTTGCACGCGGCTCATCCCAGAGCAGTAGTTTGTGTTGTCAAGACAACTACAGAGAACTTTTAAAGAGCTTGGTTTCCGCTACATTCATTCTTCCATGGCGGGGAACAAAATCTTTTCAGTTATTGTTGTTGTTGTTTTTAATATGTTTTAATATATTATAATCGCACCAAAACGTATTAAAAGGTAAGTGGATTATAACAGCGCAAACTTTTCTGTAACCGTATAGTGCTGTGCGCTGTCTGTTTAATCCTTTGGGGTTACGTGCTGACTGACTGACTTACAGGTGCGCGATGCGTGAGGTCAGCAAACACGCAGAAGCTTTCAGTTAAGATGAACACAGTTTCTATAGTTATACTTTATTTAAAGATAAAGTATTATTCTGTATATCTCTGTAATCACTCTATCTTGCTGGAGTTTATAGCCGTTTCGCTTTACTTCAGGACGCATTAATGCCGCTCTGAAGGTCTAATCGCTGTTTTAAGTTATCCAGAGCTGGATGAATGTACAAATCCTGAATGTGACAATATTAATAAATATTACAATTGTAACAACATAGACAGCAACACTTTTGCACAATCGATACCCAGCTGATTCAGTCGTTTCATAAGAGGACCGCGCTTCTTCTCTTCTTTTTTCCTTGTCAACATAAAAGCAGTGAGGTGCGCCTCGCGTTTTTGGAATGGAAAAAAAGCACGTTAGCTGTGGTCTGCCACTTGTTTAACTGCAAGACATACTTAACTTTGCAGGACGATAACGTATAACCCGTGGCTACAGACACATTTGCCAAAGAAGCAAAATGGAAGAAGCAAATTGCTGTTTGAAACAGACGTGTTGATGCTATAACCAGCGCTGATGTTGACCTGGATCTGCGTCATAAACGCAACAAATAGACTTTACCTTTTATTTTAAAGCTTATAAAGCATGTATGCACATTAATGCAATATCATATTTAAACAACATAACTTTTTACAAAATTTCAACATATGTGCGCGTTGTTTTTGTCTTTTCATCACGCAGTGCGCACACTTGAACCGCGAGGGAGAGAAAGGAAACCATACATCAGGACATAATCTTTAAAATAATGATTTCTTTTAAAAATGTAAAAAGGTTTTGTGATTATAATAATAACAGCGGGGCATTAAATAAATGCATATTTTTCGTGGAGCGGGCAATTTGAGGAAGTCAGCTATTTTTATTTGACGGAAGAAAAAAAACATATGATTGGAAAAAAAAACAGCCTATGCCGGTATTTAAAAAGAATCAGTCAGTATTTTCGTTTTGTAATATAAATTAATTATTTAAGTGAAAATAATTTAGGGCAGTCCTATTCATTTTATTTAGTTTATTCTGTTCTTCTGTGCTAAACACTGCAGGTGCGTGAAAATGCTCTGTTGTTGTGTTCTGTTATTAATATGCTAGCATATAAAAATAAATCAGTATTTTAAAATGCAATATTTAATGTGTCAGACACAAAATAGACACGTCAATTTGTTTAATATAAAATTAATAGTAATCTGACCAGTTAACCGTTAATAACCGATTAATGAGCGGCGGTTGTCGGTTAGCAAAATTAACCGAAATGAGCATCCCTAATTTGATATGTAATGCATTTATACAACAATTCTGTCTTGTTCTTGAACCTGATTGGCTGATAGCCAAGCAATATTCTGCAAATAGCACTCGTCCAGCCTATTTACCCTGCAGTATTACTCCACCTACATACAGCAACAAGAAGAGGACACTATAGTTGGACAAATATTGTTGCTGTTAGACAACATGATGTACTTTTGAGGCTTTTTAGTCAAGAATGTAGTTGTTTAGATTGCAACAATGTAGTTTATTTATAAGGATAGTGCCTATTTTTAAATATTTATATAAATCTCTATCAGCCTGCCATTGAGCAGAGCAAAGGCAGTTGACAGCGTAATTTATAACTACATTTGATCGAATCATTATTGAACTGATAAGTGACATTCTAAGTCAATGTCTCTCTTTTGTATGTTGTAGTAATGTATATATACCATAGTAATTGCAGTGTATTGATGCACTGTATTGGCGCATGTGTTTAGCGTTTTTCCTTATTGCAAACACAACAGTTATCTAGTAGTGATTGCGTTGCTTTGGCTTTTTTGGGGTTAATTATTGTGATCACCCAATTGCAACAGAGAAATATTGGGAAAACTCTGTGGACTGATGGCATTTCATGCCAATCAGCCTTATAATCTTGAAATGTGAGCAAAATCCCCTGTTTTGTCATCACTACTGTATAATCATTCAAATACTATAAGTGACGTTGGTGAATTAGTAACGATTTTGCTGTTCTGACGTTAGCTGCAGATTTGAATGGATGGTGGAAGAAAGTAGTTCCTCTTACAAAATGTTTTTTGAGACTCTGTGTTTGATTTTCTTTTTTAAATACATGATTATGCAGTCATTTTACTTAATATTAAATATAATATAATATAATATAATATAATTAGTGCTGAAAATTGTAAAAAAAAAAAACAAATCATTAAATTTTTTTCATTAATCAATAGTTAATTTTTGTATTTTGTTTATTTATTCAGATTTCATGGGATAAAATGAGTAATTATAGCCTTTCTCTTTTATTCCTGATAAAATGAAAACATAAAAGAACGACTGTATAATTAAACCTTAAATTGCAGTGTTTATTATCAATATTATTACTTTCAGAAGTATATTCTACAAGACAACAGAAGTACATTGCTGTCACAGTTTATTGAAATAATACTCATAGTAATCAAATAAACTTTTATTTTGACGGGTTGTCATGAAGACACTCGGGTTTCTGTGTACACGATAATATGATTCTCTCACATAAAACTGCTAAATACTTGTTTAGTGACTCTCAGAGCATGTCTAGACATGAAGTTGATGGCCCTCTAAAGTGTAATGTTAGCCAAAAATACAGGAAAAACAAACGCTATGTTAAAAAATATAATATAATATAATATAATATAATATAATATAATATAATATAATATAATATAATATAATATAATATAATATAATATTTCAGAGAGTTTGCTCAGTTTTCCGAGTCTTTATCTTGTTGACAGTATTGACTAACATGTGACTGACGGTCTCAGAAGAAGGCTGGGTAGTTTGAGTCATAGCAGAGCAGAGAACAGGAAATGGGCACGTCTGATCCCCAGACAGACTCAGCAAAATGAGTAATGACACATTAACACCCACTTGTCCTGCATGTGTGTAAGATTTTGCAGTTAACCACGTCCAAGGAAGGGAGTGAAACCACATTATTTTATGCAACTCATTTATCAAGGAAAGCAGATGATTGCACATTAGAAAGGGCATTTCCTCCTCAAGTGGAACATGTCAAAAGATCAGAGTTGGTAAAACACTTTGAAAAGGAAATGACTGAATTGAACTGGGGGGGAATTTTGGATGCAGCGGTTTGGTGAAGCAACACCAGGATTTTTATTATATGAGAATAAAGGAACAACATGAGAATGGAAGGAGATGGATGGAGGAAATTAGAGAAACTGACAGATAGAGATAAAGAAGGAATAAGATACTAACGGTATCTCCTCTTTTGAGGCCTGAGCAGGATCTCAGCCCAGGAATGACCTCTCCGTTGAGACATGTGGCATTAAATGTTAGACTGAGCTCTTCCGGGACGTTCAAGAGCTCCAGCTCTACCTTAGAGCGCAGTTTCTGTTGTAGAAACAAAATAGAAAACAATAGTTTAGACAATAGATGGAGAAGGAAAGTTCCATGATCAACCCAAGTACAACTCTATCAGTAACACATGTGGCATAATGTGGATCACCACAGAAAACTCAAAGCAGGAGCAACAGAAAAGGTTCAAAATAGTAAAAACGTGAAACAGTGTGGATAATTAAACCTTTTTTTTTTTGTTCAATGATTTTAGTAAAGAGATTATGGCTTTAATTAAATTAAAATTTATTCTTCAGCAGTCTTGGGCATTTCGAAAACGTGCTAATTACATAGTTAAAGGTTCAAAAAACTCTTGAGTACTTCTTTGAGCATTTAACAGAACTGTGTGTGATGAGCATCGGTTAAGACAAAGTTAACACCTGTTAGAACGTTAGCACTTGTTGCTTTAATTGTGGAAAAAACTGGATAATTTTAAGCTTTTTTTTGCAAATTTTATCTTCTGGATTTAAAAACATTTTGGGGGCGGGACCAAATTCAATGACATAGCTCCGATCTACCTGTCCAGTGAAGACATTTCGGTTTCTCATTATTATTCATAGCAGAGTTTTCTTATCCTGAGAAGACCCGGCTTCTTAAATATTCATGACTGCACGTGTTTCCGATGACAGGCACTTTCGCTTCAAGGTCGCTGGTTCGAGCCTTGGCTGGGTCAGTTGGTGTTTCTGTGTGGAGTTTGCATGTTCTCCCCATGTTCGGGTGGGTTTCCTCCGGGTTCTCAGGTTTTCCCCACAAGTCCAAAGACGTGTGGTAGTTGAATTGGAAAGGCTAAATTGTCCGTAGTGTATGTGTGTGAATGAGAGTGTATGAATGTTTCACAGTGATGGGTTGCAGCTAGAAGCGCATCCGCTGCGTAAAAACATTTTAACTCGATTACGATTTAAGAACTATTATTTTATCATTTATCATCCATCGTCCTACTTGACTTGAGATCAGATGTGGCTGCAAAGTGGCCACAAAAGTAAAAATCAGCCTTAATTGGTTTATACTTCTGCAAGCTATGCGCGTAGTTGTGAATTTGTACTCCAGTGTGCTGTTTGTGTTCCTCTCCAATAACACTTCTCACACACTAGCTGACAGGGGGGGTTTAAGTTCCTCTGTGTGTCGAGTTTCTTTGTGGGTGTTTTGTTTTTATTGAATGTATAAGTAGCTCAAACTTGCTCATTCTGAGGTGAGAACCAGAGGATGTGCAACAACTTTAAACATGAAGTAAACAAATTTTGACTTCACACTAGTAAACACTCGCTGCTTTCCCACGACTCTCCCACGTGAGGTAATGATTTAATGCTTGAACAAAGGGTGGCTAAAGCACTGGAACAGCTAACCAATTACAGCGCATTCTGTTTTTCAGAAGCGTGTCCATTGAAATCTGTCACAACCACCAGCAATCTAACCTTTATAGATTGCCAAAGAACATTCACATTCACACGAACTAAATCCTGCCTCAATATGAACTATAAGTCCTGTCATGCAACATGCACTCACACACACACACACACACACACACACACACACACGCGCGCACACACACACACACACACACACACACACACACAAGTGCTCCAAGTCTCTATTGATTACACTCCCACAGCAGCTTTCTACATGTTCCGACTCTTGGTTTGTTTTATCATTTACGTCTGCTAACTGTCTGACCATCTGCCTGTTACCTGACGACGCCTCCAGATTTAGTTTGTACCCATTTGCGCCTGTTGTTGATCATTGCCTGTCTGACCATGATTCTGAATAAAACCTGCATAAGGATCCTCACTCCGTTGTGCCTCGTCTCTCCTACGTGGTTACATAATCACTCAGTCAGTGTCTTAACTGCAGAAAGATGTCATTAAAATGGCTTGTTAACTATATGTCAAGCAAAATGTTGTTTTTAACTTATTTATTAATTAGTTTTCTTCTATTTTTGCTAACACCCATGACTGGGGAGTTTTCTCTAATCATGTCCTACTGGATTTAAACCATTTTTAATATTTCTACTGCACTGGCATTTTATTAAAAGTTCATCTTGACAGAAATGAATTATTACTCTTTAAAGTTGCACTAAACCCAGAAATTCCCTTTGGTACAATAAAAAAGAGACATTACAGCATACGCATCCTGGATCAGCTGGATGACGTTATGAGAGTCCTCGGACAGCGTACCCACTGCAGTGCCAGGGATCAACTCACTGTAGTTCTACAAAGCAAAAAGAGGAGGAGAAATCTTTCAGAGTGTTCTAGAATATTATATCTGACATACAGTATTGATTTACTGCTGAGTTATTGCTCTTCTTACCTTATAGAGTGATTCCACATGGCTAGTTACAGCAAAGATCAGATTTATATTGTTCTCAGACATTTTCTCTGTGATTAGTGCCAGGGATGGGTAGTCCTGAAAATATTTTATCCATTAGTATATGCACTACATAATAAAAAACACCTGCAGTATTTTTTCAGTACCATAGTTGTGGACATATTGTAGATGTTGTCCCTGCCCACATAGCATTGGCCATCATTGGGTCGCACAATTCCTGCCATACGCCCATCCAGTGCCACATGTGTTTTGGCATCTGTAGTGAAAACCAGCAAGTGGGATGCACCTGGCCTCCAACCAATTTTGTCCTGGAATAAAGACAAAATCATTAAATAAGAGACGTAAAAATGGCAGCAAGTCAAATATAAACATTAAATCATTTTGTTTAGAGAGCTCAACCTTGCACACGGCTGCTTGTATGATGGCGTCAAAGCCTCCCTCTGGCGCGTCCCTGTTTCGGGACACCTTCTGTTTCTTCACTTCTTCTGTAAAGCGGTTCACCTCCTCCGTCAGAGACAGAACGTGTCTGTAGCCAAACTGAGGCTGGCATTTGTACGGGATTCTAGCACATATGAGATAATGAAGAAACTGCTTAGATGCAGAAAGACTAAAAAAGGACATTTTAAAGGGCACCTATTTTACCCCTTTTTCAAGATTTAAGAGAAGTCTTTTGTGTCTCTAGAATGTGTCTGTAAAGTTTCAGCTCAAAACACCCATCACATTATTTATTATATTTTTTAGAATGTTAGAATTTTCTGTTCTAAACACTATGTAGCTGTTTTTTTGGCCTTTGTCTTTAAATGCTAGTTCTCCCCACCCACCATTCCCATGTGCCTGTCAGAGTGTGCCTCAATCTCCACCTCGTCTGTGTCAGATAAACAGCACAGTGATAGACATGAAGGAGGCGATTCTCACTTAACGTTTGATAGAAAAACTTTCTCGATTATTTGTTGTTGAGTTAATTCAAGCCTTTCTGCAATGAGTCACACACAATGTTGTTACAAAGTTCATGCACACGCACAGCAAACATGTTTAACTTTGCATTGTTTTTGCACGGCAAATGTGACAGGATACATGTTAATATCCACTGCTGTATGGATATCTATTATGTTAATGTACAAAATAAACCTGATTTAACGTCCACAATGCGGGATTAAAGAAGTGTCTTCTTTTATAATTGTACTGACATGCGGCTGTGGTGATAAAGATGGTAAAATAGCTGTAATTAATTGCAAACATGCACTGTTTTAAAAACATTTTCAACTTGTAAAACTCATTCTTGATCACATTTGATGATGATTGATGATCATTCCGAGTGCAAGAGATCTTTTAATCCCAGTTGCTTTACGTACATCCTGTCTTGTTGATATGATTATATGCGTTACTACAAAGACATGGTAATATGCGGCTATCAATCAATTTGGTGGGCGGGGATCCTATTTTAACATCAGGAAATTAAAAAAAAAAAGACTTATTTTCTTTATTTCACTCAAAAATGACTGTGGACACACTATACCTACACACAGCTCTGTCCAGATAACTTATAAAAGATAATTTATCATCATGGGTGCCCCGTAATAATCTGAAAACATTTGTCTGAAAACAAATGTTGATGTGGGATTGAGAAGACTTGGCTTTAACTAAAAACAGTTCTTTAAATAAGTTTGATGACGAGGTAACCATTGTTAGTATTAATATTGCTAGGATGTTTCAAGCGTGACTGTGACTTACTATCAACATATTTTAACCAGACTGATCTCACGATGAACGTAACTATTATAAGTTTTGTGGCTAAATCTTACGAAAAGGTAACATTTTTAAAAGAAGGCATGTAACCAAACCCCATCCTAAATCCAACTGTCATTGGGGGATAAGCAAGTTGTACTAAATTGTATGAATGAGTATGAACTCATACATATTTGTCACAAAATCAAAAAGCTATGTACTGCCTTGTGATAGCTTTGATTTTATCATATTGACTACATGTTTCTGTCATGACAGACTGCTACTGTTTTAGTATATAGTTACCATGTTTCTATAATTTAGCTCACTGTTAACATGTTAGCATGTTTGCCAAGTTTTGGCTAAATGGAATGTTGTTCCAGGATCAACTTAGATGTTAATCAAGGAACATGTCCTACTTGGTGAAATCAGGTTAGCATAATATGTTACTAGCACATTTCTATTTTCAAGCCTGATTTACTGTAGCATGCTGCTTTTCACACTGTGTGTAATACCATGGAGGGAACATGTTTCGAGCAGCTAAAACTGCTAGCATGTTTTTTTGTATAACACAATGCTAGCATGTATTAAAATGTTGCCAACAGCTTTATACCAAGATCTAGCACACAGTCAGCCTTTTTATCACACGGCTAGTTCTAGTTTTAGCATAAAAAAGCTAGCATGATTCTAGCATGATTACCGCTTGAATGTTTTATCTTATTGTTAGCTCAATTCTAGCCCGATTAAGCACAAAATTAACATGATTCAGAAAGAACAATAACAAGTTTCAATGAAAGAACAGCAGGACAACACAATGAAAAGGCTCAGGAAGCAGCCATATAACCAGGTACTACTTTTACTGTTAACTGTGTAACAGAGCCAGTAACAAAATACAACTTTTCCTTCAACTTTGCTGCCATAAATAAAACACAACATTTCAGCTCATTACAATACACCTCACCCATAATAGCAGTGTCTAAAGATGTAATATCAGATTCTGTCAGCCAAAAAGCACAACTCTCAATTACAAGATAGTAAAAAACACCCATCATCTGTAATGTTTATCTTCAGCATGTAAATATATGTCATCACTCACGAGTAGCAGGGATTTAACACGGCTTCCTCAGGGGAGATGTACATGTACGGGGACACAGGTTTATCCACAAAAGCCCCAAAGCCCATGCGCAGATTACTAGTGGTTTTGCTCATCTCTTCAGCCAGGCCTCGCCCCAGCCGTCTCAACTGAGACAAGTCGTCATTCATGGAGTAGGACAGGTCCATCAGATAGTACAAATCCACAGGGTAGTCCTCTACCTGTCGGACTTTCAGCTTGAAAACCTGCGAATCATCTGTGGGATGACAGAGTAACAATTGAGTCATGGAGGGACATGTCATTTGCGGTTGCTTACTGATGAGCTGATGAACTCACCGGGTCTCAGAGAGATGTGTATGCTTTGAGGTTGGATCTGGGTGACGTCAGTGGTGGATCCTGAGGCCTTGTCACTGAGATCTTCATTCTCTTTTACGTGCATTTTGCTGGTTGGATACTCCAGAGCTCCCTTGTTGCATCCTGCTTCTACAAGGTTCCTTTTCAGGTCACATCGGGAAGAGCCAGGAACATCTTGTCCAAAATCCTAACAAACATTTCACATTCAGTCATATGTGTACATACTTAGAAATAAAGGTATAAGCTCTGTCACTGGGGTGGTACCTTTTCAAAAGGTACTTTTTTTGTTCCTAACAAAAAAGGCATCTCATAGCACATTAGGTACAAAAGTGAACCTTGAAGGTATAAAAGTGTAACCCAAAGGTACTAATGTGCAGCTGTAAAGTACGAAATACCTTTACACTTGAAAAGATACAACCCCAGCTTTTGTACCTTTATTTCAGAAAGTGTACAGAGAAAAGTTTACATACAGTAGATCTCTGTACACTCGCAGAAATAAAGGTATGTGAGCTGTCTCTGAGGTGATACCTTTTGGCCTAAGAATGATAACATACTGACCAGTTATTTAAGCTTTTTCTAAGACAACATTTCTAAAAGCATATACAGTTAAAGTCAGAATGATTAGCCCCCTTTTGATTTTTTTTTTCTATTTAAAATATTTCCCAAATGATCTTTAACAGAGCAAGGAAATTTTCACAGTATGTCTGATAATATTTTTTCTTCTGAAAAAAGTCTTATTTGTTTTATTTTGGCTAGAATAAAAACAGTTTTTAATTGTTTAAAAACAATTTTTGGGTCAATATTATTTGCCCCTTTAAGCTAATTTTTTTTCTCTCGATAGTCTACAGAACAAACCATCGTTATAGAATAACTTGCCTAATTACCCCTGCCTAGTTCACCTTATTAACCTAGTTAAGCCTTTAAATGTCACTTTAAGCTGTGTAGAAGTGTCTTGAAAATTATCAAGTAAAATATTATTTACTGTCATCATGGCAAAGATAAAATAAATCAGTTATTAGAAATATTTTTTTTAAACTATTATGCTTAGAAATGTGCTGAAACAATCTTCCCTCCAATAAACAGAAATTGGGGAAAAAAATAAACAGGGGCGCTAATAATTCTGACTTTAACTGTATTTCATTATAAGGTCAGGCTGTTTTTATTCTGTATTTGTTGCACAAGTTTTCTAACTATTCAGATGTACAATTTTGGTAAATCAGACAATCAGAACTATGAACCATTCCAGCAGGCACACAATGTCAAAAGACGTTAATATTAGGTTAAATTTAGGTCATGACGACAGGTGACCAAAATTTAATGTCCAGCCAGTGTTTAATGACAACATTATTTTGACATCTAAAAACAACGTCAAGTGACGATGATATTTGATTGATTTTAGGTTGTGTTGAGAAGTAACCAAAATCCAACATCGAGCCAACAGCTTAAACCAACGTCAAATACTGACATTTATTGTCAGGTATGGCAACCAAATACATCTGATAGACATCATAGTGTTAACGTCTACACAAAGACAAGCTGTAAGATCATTAGACCTTGATTTTTGGATGTTTTTAAGTTGAACGTTGGACATTGATGTCAGCCTGATGTGGGTTCTGATGTCAACCCGGTTTTCCAAACAAAATTCAACGTCCCCACAGCATTGGTGTACAATGTCTATCTGACATCCCGTTGATGTCCTGTGCCTGCTGGGTATGTTTACATAACATATCCACATTATGTTGCCAATAAGTTATTTTAATAAAAGCTGCTATTGAACATACTGAACAATTTTTGTTGTTGGAATTCACTGCATGTTGTAACTCGTTCCTCCTACAAAATCATTGGCAAACCTCCCTCTATTTGACTTTTGCTTTATATGGACTCAGTTATTTACAACTGAACTTCATTTGTCTTTAAATTAAACTAAAAAACAGACTCAGATATACAATTGATTATTTTGGAAACTATAAAGAGAATATGAACAAAAATGAACATTGTCTTCAACAACAATTAATTGTTGCAACTGATGTTTTGTCAAATAACAAAACAATCCACTGACTCAGAGAGTCAGCCTATTTCAGTTAATTTGAGCCTATTTAATCTTCATTTAATTATGATCTCAACAGATCAATGTACTACTGATGAAAAATACTAACACATTTTAGGGGAAAGGAAAACACAAAACAAATTTGACACTAAAACTCAGATTTTACTATTAATTCTACTGCTCTCTCCTTTATGTAGCAATTTGATAGTGTGATAAAATCTAATGTAAACATGTTTCAACTCAGCTATTAAACACTGCAGAACGCCACACCTCTTGAAAGCACCAGGCACAGGTTGGATGCACAGCCAGGCACTGCTGACATGTACTGGCTCCTCGAGAAGTACAGACGTTAGAACCTAGAAAAGACAGGGAAATGTTCATTTTGGATCTCCAGTTGCATTAACTTGTAGCCTGCAGCTTTATATAAACACAAATGTGTCAATCCCATTTTTTATTAGTAGGCCTTAACTATAACTGTATGTATTTGCATCAAAAATGTGAATACGGTCTACTTACGGTGTACTTACTGTGTTCATAATGAACTGCAGATTTGCTGCTCTTGAGGTGGGATACGGGTAGATTTAGGGACATTTTTGGTGGTTGTATGTTTAGGTGTAGGGGTGGGTTAAGGTGAATTACAGAAATTAATTACAGATGTAACCACATGCAAGTATTTAATCAGTCATAAGTACAATGTAAAACAACAAATGATTTCAGTGTAAGTACATATTGTTTTAGTTAAGGCCACCTAATATTAAGTGGGACTTACGTGTCTAATCATAAACATCAAATTCACTGCTTTCCGTTTTAGGGAATGTTGTAAAAGTCTGTGTGGATCAGCATTACACAGTAAAGGGATGAATACATCTGACAAAACATTTTAGACATTCATTTCAGTTCACCTACAATCTTAGAATAAAGGGTCTTTAAAAATAAATGGTCTTCATTGGCAATGTTAAACCTTTAACATCTATCCATACGTTACAGTGGACACAGGTAATTTATTAAAAATTAAATGTTCTTCACAATATGAACATGGTTCTTTTAAGAAGTTTTCACAAAAAGGTTTAGGAAGCAAAAAAGGAGGTCCTTAAAAAAAAGATATCAAAGTGTCCTTAGACAAAAAGGGGAGAACTATTATGTCAAAAAATCAAACATGCTCTATCTTTAAAAACATCATCAGTTCATGCATGATAATTTATATAGCCTATATTAAATACAATTGCTATCTTACAAGAAAAGAAGAATCAGCACAGAACTAGCCTATTAAGTAGGTTCACAGAAAAGTAAAAAGACGAACGTACCTAGTCCAACATCAGATAGGAAAATAATTACACAGTAAATCCATAAGCTGAAGAGTTTGGCTGAAGTTTCCTCCATCGTTGTTATCGCTGTTCTCCTCTACTTCACCGGTGGTTTGTGCAGTCTGCGCCCTCCTCTTCCTTTCCTTTACGGTCCAGCACAGACATCAGACCAACACCAAATATAGAGTAAATTGTGGTAAAAGCTTGTTTTCGAGGGAGGGGGCATATGAGGGATCGACTCACGAACATTTGCCGCGGGTTCTGGAACTGTTGCCTATACCTGCGAAAGATCACCGTGATCAAAACCGCTTGTTATTAATAGAGGAAGATTATGTTAACATGACCAGATAAAGTAAATGATCTCACCGATGAACTATGAGAAACTGACATCATTGTAAATCGGCTGTAAACGAAAAAATCCATTGAGTTTACCAACTCCAGTTTGATTGTGGTAAATTGTGAAAAACGTACAGTGAAACTCAAGTAAAGTGATAGTGTAGCCAGCAACTTTTAAAACAATCCCATCATGGATAAGCTTATAATCATGAACCAACATAATCATGCAGCTGAGTAGTTGGTCAGCACATTTAGGTTTAGTGTTAGTCAAATTACATTGTGTAGGCTAATTACACGTTTGTAGGTTGTAGAACTATTGTTTCTAGAAGAAATATACTGGCAATGTATGGTTATTATCAAGACTTAAGTCTACTATAACACAGACTTGACTACATTGTAAAGAGTCTATAGGCTAACACAGATTACATTATTTGACTATTTTCGTGACAATATTACTTTCGAACCAACCTCTGATTAAATATTACATGCCAACTATAGAAAGAATCCGGTATTTCTTTTCATTTTGCTATAGAGAAATCGGCACGTCAATTTTGTCTAGCTGAGCATCGTTCAAAGAAAATGTAGTCTAGTTTACTATTTCATCTACCGCGTAACCGCCCATCAGTGTGAATGAACCCGTTTGGCATGAACTCCTCTCTCTAGATAACGTGGACACTCGTCTCCCTCTAGTGGCTAAATGTGAACACTTATTTCTTTATTATATCTTTTTTATTGTATAATGTTTTAGTGGAGATTTTCTCTCTTATTATTTTTTGTGTATGTTATATTACGCATTTTATTGCAAAACAAGCAAACAGACAAACCACAACCTAAAAATGATTTACAAATGCTGCTGCAAAGTTCATAATTTTTATTTTATTTTATACACATTCAGCAAACGAATGTTCTATAACTGCATGAAAGCATTTCTTGAGGATACAACACATATTCATGGTCATATACTAAAAAAGGCAAAAAGGTAAGCCCTTTCTCATTTCAAAGATGCCATGATTTTTATTTTGCCATGTTGTGGTTCTTCATACCCTGTTGCTGACTCATAATAACTATATATATATATATAACTTTATTGTATCCCTACTTTTTATATAAATGAAAAAAAATCACATTTTGTAACTTAGTTTTGTTAAATTTTCATGACAAGATCCACTGGGAATGAGCATACACAGCAGAGAGATCGAGGAGCAGTACTGTATCTAACAGTACAAGACTGTAGCCTATGACAGAATGCTCTCTAGCAGCAGAAACTTTTTTAATGTGGACATGACATTTATGGAACCGGCTTGGCTGAGATGCAGCTGAGCTATTGGCTAACATACCTGCAACCAGATGGCCTTGATACTGTAGAAAATTGTGGGCCAGGATGGAGATTATTGAGAGATTGGACTGTGATGGAGCCTGAAGCATTTACAGGAACCTCTGTAGAAGCAACAAAAGATTACACGGTCATTTTAAGTGGTTAGCACTGTTGGCTCACAGCAAGAAGGTCACCGCTTCAAGTCATGACTGGGCCATGTGGCATTTCTGTTTGGAGTTGGCATGTTCTCCCTGTCGTCCTATGGGTTTCCTCAAGGTGCTCTGGTTTCCTTAACATACAGTAGGTTAATTTAATAAACTAAATTGGCCATAGTGCATGAGTGTGTGTGAATGAGAGAGAGAGTAGGTGCTTTCCAGCACTGGGGGTTGATGAGTTTTCTCCGTGATGGATTGTGGCTGTAAGGGCACCTGCTGCCTTAAATATGTATTCATATTTCTAATCAGCGACTGCTAAAGGAAAGTAAGCAATTAACACATTATTCATTCTTTTTCTATCAGCTTAGTCCCTTTATTAATCTGGGGTCGCCACGGCGGATGAACCGCCAACTTATTCAGCATATGTTTTACACAGCAGATGCCCTTCCAGCTGCAATCCAGTACAGGGAAACATCCATACACACTCATTCACACACATACACTACTGCTAATTTAGTTTATTCAATTTACTTATAGCGCAGGTATTTGAACTGTGGGGGAAACTGGAACACCTGGAGGAAACCCACATGAACACATATGGAAGAACGTGTCACCCTAACACATCAATACAATGACAAATAAAATATTATTATTGATGATGTTTGTGGATGGGCATTTGTATGAAGTGGGTCTTTATATACAGTTAAAGTCAAAATGATCAGCCCTCAGCCGTCCTTTTTCATAAACACTTCTGAAAGTATCATGCCTTTTATTTTGGCTGGAATAAAGGCAGTTTAATTTTTTTTATTTTAAGGTCAATGTTATTTTCCTCTTTTAGGAATGATTATTGTTGATTGGCTACAGAACAAATTACTGTTGTCCAATAACTTGCCTATAAGCTAGTTAAGCCTTTAATTGTCATCTTAACCCTCTACCGCACGCATGATGATAAATCTGTAAAAAAACAAAAACAAATTTTGACTGTTTTTATTTTCTTAAAATGGCTTAACTTGAAGTGCTGTAAAAAAAAAAAAAAATTGATGTTTGTGAAAGCTACTTTATGATATGTTGCCATATGGCAACAACGTCAAACAGTGGATCTAACTTAGATATTTCAAATTTAAAACTTTCCTTATAATTTTTTTTTTTTTTTTAGTTTGAAATTATTTAATTGGTGCTGCAGCATTATGAGCTTCAACACAGAACTTATAAATTACATTTTATACATACTTTCCAACAACTCATTTTCCAACAGCTTTCATTTATTCCATTGTTTTTTGCTGAATATTACTGAAAACAATCATAGTATTGTATTATCATGTATACAACATACAGTAAATATAAATATTTTCTCCAGTAAATATTATAAAACATAAATAACAATTCTAGTATATACAGATGCATCAGAATAATACTGCAGCTACTAGCTAACAATATTTATATATTATACTATATACTATACTACGCCTGTCTTATCTGCCGCTGAGCTAACTTACCTGAACTGTCTCAATCAAATGTCCAGTCTGCATCATTCTTATGGTCACTAACCCATCTCATCCTCATTTTCATCTGCAGGAAGAGTCAATACGTCCTTTTCTTGTTTCACTTACCGTAGAACATGGTGGTGCTCGCTAATGTTCTCTGTTTTCATATCTATTCAAAAGTAGTATTGCCAATAAAACTAGATTTTATTCAGAATGCAAATGCCATTAACTCATGACTAATCAACATTATATTATTAGCTTTCATGTTGTTATTGTTACAACTTAAAAGTTCATAGCTGACCTTGCTAGCTAGCTAACCCATTGCATTATTGCATGTTCCACTATTGCACAGTGTTGCCATTTGGTATAACACACACATTTGATCCATTTACAAAAAGCTAATTTGATTTAAAAAAAAAAAAAAATTGAGTTGTGAATGTCATCATAACTTACTGGAGGTTATGTTTCCGATTTTTTTGTGGATCTGACATAATTTGATCCTTTGTTTTAACTTTTTATTGACGTTTACATTTGCATTCAGCAACGCAATAAACGCCAATCTGTCAGAAATCGCGCTACAGAAAAACACTGGATGTCATGTGACTTAACCAAAGCATATCATTGGCTACTCAAAGGTCTTTTAATTCCAATTAAAAAAAAAAAATATTGGTCTTAAAGAAACAGTGGCAAGGAAATGAACATAAGTATCATGTTGCCATATTTACGCCGTGCAGTCGAGGGTTAAGCTGAATACTAGTAAATATTATATACTGCCATCATGGCAAAGACAAAATAAATACTTATTAGAAATGAGTTATTAAAATTATTATGTTTATATGTTGAAATATCTTAAATAGCAGTTGGGTAAATATAGAAAAAGAACGCAAATTTCACAGGCGGGGGAGGGCTAATATCTTTGCCTTCAACTCTTTAGTATATGGGTAATGAGTTGAAAAGTTTTTATGCCCGTTGTATACAAAATAGACTAAAGAAATAGTGCTGCTTTTTAAAACAAAGAGGCAAAGCATTATGGTTGATGGTTAGTTCATTTAAAAACGGAATAATTAAATTTAAACTGAGATGAAATCCGGTGGTGCAGTGGCACAGTGGGTAGCAAATAGAGGTCGCCTCACAGCAAGAAGGTCGCTGGTTCGAGCCTCGGCTGGGTCAGTTGGCATTTCTGTGTGGAGTTTGCATGTTCTCCCCATGTTGGCACGGGTTTCCTCCGGGTGCAGCGTGCACTATAGATGAATTGGGTAATCTAAATTGTCCATTGAGTATGTGTGTGAATGAGAGTGTGTTGCAACTGGAAGGGTATCTGCTGTGTGTTTCCCAGTAATGGGTTAAAGCTGGAAGGGTATCCACTGTGTAAAACATGCTGCATAAGTTGGCAGTTAATTCCACGGTGTCAACCCTACATTAATAAAAGGACTAATCCGAAAATGAACTTAATGAGATTAAATCCCAGCAGACACACCACATTATAAGATGTAAATATTAGATTAGATATAGGTCTTGACATCAGCTGACCAAAATTCATTGTCTAGCCAGCATCTAAAGACAATGTTATTTTTGACGTCCAATAATGACGTAAAATGATGTTGATATTTGGTTGATTTTAGGTTGTTAGAAAGTGACCAAAATCCAACATCAAGCCAACATTTAGCGTCATATTGACGTCAAATACTGATATTTATTTGTCAGGTATGGCAAACAAAATCCAACTTCTGATAGACGTCATAATGGTAACGTCTACACAACATCAAGCTGTAACATAATCAGACATAGATATTTGGTTGATTTTAGGCTGGATATTGGCCTGACATTGGGTTCTGACGTCAACCTGATTTTTATTTCCAAACA